CGTGTTTCTAAGCGCTTTGCAAAGACTACAACAAACCAATGTTATAGTAAATACTGGTATTAATAAAACATGAAATAGAGTACACGACAAAAGAAAAGTGGCATAATGTATCGTTATACGTGATTCCCAAACTCTGAACACCGTAAACTAGATTGAAAACGTATTTGTCTCAAAATATCAGCATCAAAATGAAAGAGACGTTTCGATCGTTTGAGTTAGTGATGGATGCGGAATATGTTGCGGGGCGGTTAAATTCACAATACATTTAATATTCTAAATCTTCAATCAACACAGTACGTGTGGGAAGTCGTCTCATAATGAGATATGCTTAAGAATGACCTCATTTTTCCTAGGCCTAAATAAAGATTGGACGTGATGATAGAAAGCAGGTAGAACTAGCATAACTGCTGATTAGTTTGGATTTTCTACATCTTCAATGTTTAAACAAAGGGCATCGTTAGTGTAACTTTCTTTTTAAGATAAGGAATGACAATAGCATCCAACATCTAGTCTAACATTAATAACTTTCTACAATGAAGTTAAGGTATTTTGATGGAATTTTAAAGTTACAACTGACATGACTAGTAGGGTACATAATAATAATAAAGATACAATTTCCAAACTATTGACCTTCAAAGAAATTGCAAATCACTAACTCAGAAACATTCGCGTTTGAAACTTACCATTTTCAGACATGGCAAAATCAGATCATCTTGCTTGCGGTTCAATCGAAATCTTGACTTGTGCTTTTCCTATACATCTTGATGTCGTATCTTGACTTGGATTTATAGATCAGGGGTGGGAACATCTCCAATGTTAACTGCACTCCATCGCAGAACCGAATCTTGACAATATTGTGCACAAAAGGTGCCAAAAACCTTGTTCATTTTGGGCCAACATGTCTCTTCCCAAAGCTGCTTCAGTTGTGACTGTTGGTTTAACGGATGATTCAAACTGGCCAGACTCGTACAGCAGTGGAGTTCGTTGGAATGCAAGGTCACGCACAGGGCATACATATGCTTACGTGTAGGCCTAATACGTTTTGGCTATATGGTTTTTTCGCGCGCGGCACTTGGCTCTGGGCCAAGTAATTATAATAGGCGCGCGCTGCGGCTAAGTGGAAAAATCTTCAAAATGGACGATATATTTCGGTTAAAACAATGATGACAACGATTGGACATCAAATTTATAACCATCAGCTAGGTGACCATAATTCAACGTCTTTTTTTTAGTCGTTCAAATTAAAAAGGCGTCCGATAATTTTGTTTGGGAATTACTACGTTGCACATGCATTCCGGTTTAATGACTTTTTTTATTTGCTAAATAAATTAAGTGAAAAATAGACGTTATATTTTGGTCGAAACCATGACACTGTCGACGTAATGTAAATAACCAACAGCCGACCACAATTCAACGTTGAGTTGCTGAAAAGACGTCAGAAAACGGACGTTATATTTTAGGTAAAACCATGACATAACAATGACGTTAAATATTGTAACCATCCACTGACCAAAAATCAACGTAATTAATTGATTCGTTGAAATAACGTTAGAAAACAGACGTAATATCATGGTTGAAAACATGACCTAATAACGACGTCAAATATTATAACCAGCAGCCGACCACAATTCAACGTCGCTTTGTAAGATGTTGAAATGACGTCAGATAATGGACGTTGTGTTTTGGTTGAAAGCATACGACGTCAGATATTATAACCAACAGCCAACCACAATACAACGTCGATTTTGAGTCATTGGAACGACGTTAGAAAACGAACGTAATATCATGGTTGAAAACATGACTTAAACATGACGTCAAATATTATAACCAGCGGCTGACCATAATCCAACGTCATTTTTGAGTCGCTGAAAAGACGTCAGAGAACTGACGTTATAGTTTGGGTAAAACCGTGACTTAATAATGACGTTAAATATTATAACCATCAAACGACCGGAAAACAACGTCATTATTTGATTCGTTGACACGACGTTAGAAAACGGACGTAAAATAATGGTTAAAAACATGACCAAATAACGACGTCATATATTATAACCAACAGCCGACCATAATTCAACGTCACTTTTTGAGTCGTTGAAAAAACGTCAAAAACGGACGTTGCATTTTAGTCAAAAGAATGACATAAGTACGACGTCGGATATTATAACCGACGGCCAACCATATTTCAACGTCGTTTTTTGAGTTGTTGAAACGACGTTAGAAAGCAAACGTCATATCTTGGTTGAAAACATGACATAATTGCGACGTCGCGAAGGGAAACGCAAAAATAACAATAATACAACGTTGTTTTTCAGTCAGTTGTATAGACGTTGACAAAACAACGTCATACCATGGTTGAAATTACGTTTGGTAATATTCCCGACCAAATTTCAACTATATTTCGACGTTGTTGTTACGTTAAATTCTGACGTTAAATTGTCGACACTAAAGCAACGTCTGGCAGACGTTATAATGACAACGTCGGCTTTTGGTCGACTAAAACAACGTTGATTTTCGGTTATGTATGGTTGATCCGACGTTGCGACCATAAAACAACCATTATACAACGTCAGTCTGACGGTCGGTGCCTGCTGGGTAACGGTTAGGAATGCATATAGGCTCGAACGTGTAACCAAAACTGCTGCTAAGGTGATTGGTATGGATGTTGGAGACCTTCGTGTCATCTTTCAGGAGGTAACACTGAAAAAACTCAAGTCAATCATGCAGGACTCCACCCACCCAATTCATCACCTGGTAACTGTGCAAAAATCTGGGAGAGTCAGGCCTCCACGTACAAATACACAACGTTTTAGAAGATCATTTTTGCCCAACTCATGCCACCTTTTTAATTCCACTTTTAAAAGATGATTTTATCTTTTTAAATAAATCATGTATCTTTTTAAATAAATCATGCTTCCATGTACAAATACACAGCGCTTTTAAAGAGATCTACTTGCCCAAGTCATACCACATTTTAATTAATTAATTATCACTTTTAAAAGATGATTTATCATTTTAAATCAGACTGTATAATGGTGTACTCGTTTGTATTCATATTGTGTTTGAGTGTGATTGTAAGCTGTTTTGATAAATTGTTGTGGATTTGTCTTGTCTTTTAAACTGTTTTGAACACACGGGGTGTTGATTTTCATGTTTTTAATCATGATGGTTAATAATAAATTGAATTGAATTGAATTGAATTGAATAATGTCACTGTCCCGACCACAACGACAATATCCCCACAACAGTTCCCCCCCCCCATCCCGGCCGCTGGCCGTACACAATAATACCGGCGGTGTCACATGTCCCGACCATATACCGTTATTGTGCTTGCCATACCGGCGCATGTCCCGACCATACCGTTATTGTGCTGGCCATATCGGCGCTGTCCCGACCATACTGTTAGTTTGCTGGCCATATCGGCGCTGTCCTGACCATACCGTTAATCGTGCTCGCCATACCGGCGCTGTCCCGACCGTACCGTTATTGTACTGGCCATACCGGCGCTGTCACGACCATACCGTTATTGTGCTGGCCTTATACCGGCGCTGTCCCGACCATACCGTAATTGTGCTGGCCATATCGTCGCTGTCCCGTCCATACCGTTAATCGTGCTCGCCATACCGGCGCTGTCCCGACCATACCGTTATTGTGGTGGCCATTTCGCGATCGGCGCTGTCCCAACCGACGCTGTCCCGACCGTACCATTGTATTGTGCTCGCCATACCGGTGCTGTCCCGACCGTACCGTTATTGTGCTGGCCATACCGGTGCTGTCCCGACCATACCGTTATTGTGCTGGCCATACCGGCGCTGTCCCGACCGTACCGTTATTGTGCTGGCCATACCGGTGCTGTCACGACCATACCGTTATTGTGCTGGCCATACCGGCGCTGTCACGACCATACCGTTATTGTGCTGGCCATACCGGCGCTGTCACGACCATACCGTTATTGTGGTGGCCATTTCGCGATCGGCGCGGCTGTCCCGACGCTGTCCTGACCGTATCATTTTTATTGTGCTCGCCATACCGGCGCTGTCCCGACCATACTGTTTGTGCTGGCCATACCGGCGCTGTCCTGACCATATATATATACCGTATATTGTGCTGGCCTTATTGGCGCTGTCATGTCTTGACCATACCGTTATTGTGCTGGCCAAATCGCCGCTGTCCCGATCGTACCGTTGTTGTGCTGGCCATACCGGCGCTGTCCCGACCGTACCGTTGTTGTGCTGGTCATACCGGTGCTGACCCGCCCATGCCGTTAAGCTTGGTTTCCATATCGACGTTAAGCGTACGCAGACTACGCAGACTACACTGACAGCACGCGGAACAGTTGGCAAAGTTGAACCGGGTTCAACTTTGCCGATCGTATGCCAGGTAGTTTGCGTCTGTCTGAGTTCTCGGCGACAATTCCGGATGAAATGTTTCCATATGTCCGCGTTGCAGTTTGAGTCATGTTTGCGTTTCTCTTTGCGTTTCTTACGTCGACATGGAAACAAGGCTTGTGCTCGCAGCAACAGCAGGTATGGCGCTGGCCATGCCGGTGTAGCGTGAATATCCGACTCCATGAAATGTGGACTAATTGGTAGTACTGCGCACGCGTGAGTACAATACTATGCTATTTTTAGGATCGTTTCGGGAGAGTGACCTGTCATAGGATTTTCATAGGAGTCGGATTTTCATGTGACACCGTCACTTTCCTAGCCACATCGGCACTGCCCCGACCTTACCAGATCCTGCAAAACCATACCAAAATTGTGTCAGTACTGACCCTGTTCCGTTTATACTGATGCTGTTTTTACCGTGCCGGCATATTCACGGCCATCTCTGCAATATCCCGGCCATGCCACATTTCCGCTATCCCAGCCAAAGTTACAAAGGCAAAGACCATGCCAGCACAGTCCTAGCACTGTCCCGGCAAAAGTAACAATGTCGTGTCCATTCTGGAAGAGTTCCGGTCAGTTTGGATTTGTCTATGCCATACTGGCACTCCCCCCGGCCATGGTATCCTGCACTGTCTCGCAATGGTGAGTCATGTTGTCGGTCTTTTTGTTGGGTATACAATTTTATTGTCTCAGTTAAAATTCCTTATCGTTTTATGTTGCAGTTTGTATAGAATTGAAATCATTTATACCGGTTTTTTTTCAGACTGTTTCTCCCATCCGTGCTTGAACGGCGCGTCCTGCTTCGAAACAGATGACTGGTATCGTTGTCAGTGTACGGAGGGATTTACCGGATCAACTTGTGGCGAAGGTATGCAGAGTGTACGACACGAACGATTTTGGTTTCCTAAAATGAAAGGTCATAAGGCAAAGTGCAAATATTAAAACAATATTCGCCAATATGTTGATAAAAGTAACTTGTGGTTTTCTTTGGTAAGATATTCAAGCTCCGACTGTGACATGCCCAAGTAACATGACGGTGACCACAGATCCATCTCTGGCAACAGCCATCGCAGTCTACGGCCGTCCATCTGTCAGTGACAACTCCGGCGGTCCAGTCTCCGTCGCATACTCGCAGCTTCCCGGGAGTGTCTTTAACTATCATCCTGATGTGGAACATTATGTGGTGACTGGAAATGCCACGGATCGTACTGGAAACCTCGGTCGTTGCAACTTCTTTGTTAAAGTTGTTGGTAAGTCATTTCAAAGTTATCGAAGGCAAAGTACACTTCGTCGTGTCCGTTCAACAAAGTCGTATACGTAAAACGCGAGTAGAATGTCAATAGGTCGTATCTCACGTAAAATAACCCGGTTGTACACAACACCTTGTTGCACGGAGCGTTTTCGCGCAAGATACGACCTTGTTGCAGGATGGAGTGACGGACCTTGTTACACTGAGCTAAGGTGACGACTTTTGCCTAAAGTTACGACTTCAAAGAATGCAGGAGCTTTCTTTGGGGAAGCTTTGTGCATGAGAAATACTGCGAGCTAGACACGCGAGACCGAAGTTGCTAAAATATCGAGAGCCAACACTTCTGTCGTTTTCGTCCCAGTTTTTGGTAGGCATTTTACTCGAGGTAACAAACATGTATTGACCAATTACCGAGTTTATTTGCCAAATTTTTCTCTTAACATCTTTTATATGGGAGTGTGTGGGTTGAAATCGTCTTGACCGGCTTGAATATTTCCGTCATGAAACAGATCTAGAGAGACCAGTCATAACCTGTCGTTCCGACATGATCGTGGGCAGCAATAATGAATCTACCGTTGTAGACTACTTGGCTGGAATTGATGAATTCGTCATGACTGACAACTCCGGGTTCGCACTGGAAGGACCGAACTGCTCATGGCCTGGTTCCGCTCAGAATCCGGTGTTCTACAAAGGTGTGACCATTGTCAACTGCACTGTGACGGACCAGAGTGGTAACGTCGGCAGCTGTACATTCACAGTGAATGTTATTGGTAAGATCAGTGTCCAAGGCCGAAAGATGGCTTTAATTTTTTGACATCTTTCTTCGTTTTCTTGCGCAGATACAGTGCGGCAGCTTGCTTTGATTGAACTATACGGTTGATGTGTGATTGACAAGCTACAGTATACTATACTTCGGTTTATGCGTAGCCCATCTAATCCAAGGAAACCGTCGTCGAAATTTGATTTAAATTTGATTCAGTTAAATCAGCATGATGTCATAACACAATCGTTGATGTGGGACACCGAGCAATCTAAATAAATATTTAGTTACTCTTTCAGGGATAACCTGAGAGTAAGAACTCGGCAGTCACTGTAAGCTAGATCAGTAGCATACGTTGGCAAACAGAGACGACTATATCGAGCCAAGTCATGACAGCTAAAACTCTGAAATCAACAGTGTCAATTAAGTACAGTAGACCAGCCTTTTATTTTAAACAATTAGCGGTGCATTGTGGTTAATTGCGAAACCGAATTTAATTGCTTTCAAAGTGCAAATCTCATAGAGCGATCATACAAATCTCATATGCCATTCTAGAGACAATAAAACTATTCCGATTGACCTAACTCTCGCGTTTATAGGTCTGCCAGTGATGAAGTGCTCCAACCTACTGGTACCCACCGATCAAGGAGTTGCTGATGCTACTGTGGACATCTCGGGTGAATGGGGCAAGTCTATCATAGCAAATGATGCCTTGAACCAATCGCTGGCAGTTCAAAGTTGCAGCGAAGTGGATGTCGTAGTTCTTTCTTGGAATCCCAATGTAACAGATCCTGGAAGAATGGTCACTTGTACAAGTGAACCAGACCGAGCACAAGAACAGGCAGAATGCAGTTTTTACATTAAAGTTGTTGGTGAGTTAATATTTAAAGCTATAATATAGCTATAATAAAAATTATGTATAACTATACTGCACAACCGTGTCATGATTTATTATATCATGACACGGTTGTGCAGTAAAGTGATACATATTTTACCAAAACTAATGAGATATTTCGACATAATTCTGAAACATGAGTCAATATATATTTCTCTCTTACAATACCTGCTTGGCTGAGGGAGTTCACATTGCAAGGCAAGTATAAGTCAAAAGAAAGGGAAGGGGAGGAAAAAAACAGGCTTTAAACTTTTTATTGCTCAAACTGGAATAGAGATTCGGTTTTCTCTTTAGGTGAAAGGTTCGCTGCATTATTGGGATCATGTCAACATTGTGTGGTAAGGGCGCGATCCCTAGCCTATACACGACGACACGGACAATGCTTTGATGCGCACGTCTAGATCATAGACTCACATTGAGAGACTTGGCAACACGTGGCTTGATAGCTCAGCTGGTGTATACGTGCTCTTAAAGTCGCAGGTTCGAATCCCACTCCGTTTATTTTACAAGTCTTGAAAGCACAATTTTGACATGGAAACGTCAGTTGTTTGGGATTCCCGGTAAAACAGTTTACTGGCCATTGCAGATTACAATCCAAATGCAACCCTTTCGGAGCTTTAATTAGTACCAACTGACAGACTGACTTTCTTTTCATCACTGTGTCACGCAATTCATTCATTATCTTCTTCTTTTTTTAATCGTAAACCAGATCTAGAGAAACCAGTGGTATCGTGTCGGTCTGATATGGTGGAAAGCACCCCCGACGAATCTACCGTCGTGGACTACCTAGCTGGAATCGACGAGTTCGTTATGACTGACAACTCCGGGTTGACTCCGGCAGGACCCGACTGCTCCTGGCCTACCGGATCCGCTCAGATTAGTCAGAATCCCTTGTTCCACAAAGGTGTGACCATTGTCAGTTGCAATGTGACGGACCAGAGTGGTAACATCGGCAGCTGCACATTCACAGTGAATGTTATAGGTAAGTCCAGTTGGCAGAAGATCGTGAGTATATTATGATCTTGTTTGGAGTTGATATAATGGTAATTATACGCTCTTGATAAATTTAAGACTAGCAATAGTGCCTTTACCTGTTTACTATTGAAATTACATAAAGCACCAATATAGCACAACATATTTTGTCGTCCATCATTGTATACAGTAATCTCAACTCTTTCTTAAGAAATCAAGCTATATTAATAAAGAGTCTTCTTTTCTCTGTTTTCTGCACTACGGGAGGAATAACTTCTTAACCAACATGCATCCAACCGTTTCGTCCATTTATCCTAAAAGCAGGGGGAAAAAGTTTTGCCTCAGATTAAACTAATTCAGAAGAAATTTCCAATATCATTACTGTTATGGTACGCTCGGGCGATATAGGCCCACTACGTACCCGCTTGTTGCGTGGCGCGCCGTGTCCATATTGGCAACGTGTCTGCATGTTGATAGTGGACATATCTTGATTCATTACAAAGCCTCAGTAAATTTCACCAACAAAATAAGATAATGTAATTTTCATACTAATTGTTGGGAAAGACAGCATTTATTGGTTCACTATGATAATTATCTCGAGTTAAGATGCCATATAATTATCGTTATACGCTTTTTATTTTTTTGCTGGAAGGTGTTCCAACCATACTGTGCCCCGAGTCGTCTGTTTCGTCACCCATAAGGAAACCCACTGATCCTGGCAGCTATTTGACTTCACTCCCGTCAGACTTCATAAATGCGTACAATATTTCTGCCAAGGACTCAAATTCAGCCCCGCTAGCAATGGAATACTGCAAGGATGGAATACACCACCTAAATGGCCACCAGTTGTCTTACCGAGTACAACAGGACTACACCTTCATATGCAAAAGCGAACCTGACCATACCGGGCAATTTGCCAATTGTACCATATTCTTCAAAGTTGTAGGTAATTATTTCTTCTTGTGTTACCACAATCAAGTTGGCCGTTGAAGTAATAGCGAAATTGGGGGCAATGGCACAACCATAGACTTATACAGGGTGGATAAAAAAAAAAACCCGTAACCGAGATATTACTGCTAATTGGAACAGAAGTAGGGCACATGTGAATCAAAGGGAGATATCCTCTGTTAGGGTTGAATGTCCTCTTTAAAATGACACCCTGATCACCATGTCCTTACATTCACGGTTGACTGAGCAGTGTCCAATTTTATGAAAGGGTCTATATTTAGAGACTTGCGCCACTGTTCATGGTGAAATCTCTCTTTTCCCTACCTGCCTTGATTGGCAACCATAGACTTTCACTCTGTGACAACTGACACAACAAAAACCACAATTGAAAAGTGGCGCAAGTCTCGAAATAGACCCTTTCATAAAATTCAACCGTGAATGTAATGACATGACCAGGGTGTCATTTTAACAGAAGATATCTCCCTTTGATTCACATGTGTCCTACTTCTGTTCCAATTAGCAATATCTCGGTTTCATTTTGTTTTTTATCCACCCTGTATACTGGGTGGCCTCAACAAAAACAGAACGGTATACTTCCCCTACCCCGAAACTCAATCCATCTATACCAATGCATGGGCAATTCTGTTAAAAGAAAAATGATACAGGGATCACCCCATTCGGTCCAGTAGTTTTTGTTATAGAGCTATGATTTTGTGAAACAGAGTTGGGTGTCATTTTTGTCCCGATGATCAATTAAAGTTACGTTGACTTATTTGGATAGAGGGATTAATTGTCATACAGGGTCAAAAAAGCGGAACCCAAACCCCCAAAGATATATTTCATATTGAAACGAAATATGTAGCACCAAAAATAATGCCTGGAAAGCCAATTTCATAAACTAGTTTTTGACGAAAATAATAAATGAAATTGCTCAATCCGTTCAAATCACCATTTACACGCAATGACCCTAAACCTTTTGTCCACAAAAAGTCAAAATGTGTTCCGACTGTTTGGAACAACAAAGAAAATGACACAGAATGCTTGTTCCAACAACTGTAACAACTGTTGTAGGGCCTACGCAATACTTTTATTAACAACCCTGCTTAGGCAAACCACATGATTAATCCACTTTTTATTTTAAAGACGGGCCTTCAAAAGGACTTAATAAGGGAATAAATGTGTGCTCCGGAGGTTTTTATCACTCTGTTTAATACCACTTAGAGTCTGGGTGCTGATAATTACCCGAGCCGGAGGCGAGGGTAATTATCAGCACCCAGACTCTAAGTGGTATTAAACAGAGTGATAAATACCGACGGAGTACATATTTATTCCCATTCATAAATGCCTTTTCGGTAAAAAAAAATCTTATAATTCGTTCAAAACATCCCGATTTTGTTCAACAAATTCACTTTATGCTTTTTGAATCATCCCTCCTGCAAAATAATGGAGTGTTCAGCTGGCGAGTAAGATGAAAACAACCCTTTTATGGAGATTGACGCGCGCGTATCATGTTCTATGCGATGTCGCGCAGAACGCACCTGGCGCGTTGCGTTTTGAATTTAGAACTATAAAATTCTAACTCCCTGGTAGTGTTGCGCATGCCTACGTGAGGATTGTGAACGTTCAACCAATGAAACGATAAGAGGCACTGGATTTTTAGGAGTCCACATTTTATTGTGACACTGGAAAAGTGTTTAAGACCAGCTAGCCATGTCTTTATCGTCCGTTTAATACCGGCCACGTGACGGGCTCTCGACCAATAGGAATGGCTAAACTGTCTGAGGTATTTATGAATTGTTGATAACGCAAACACCAACTTTCCCAATTGCTTATAAAATTCCTGCTGTATGACACTTGCATCCGTTACTGAAGAATTTCATTCAAGGAAGCAAAAAATTCAGCCAAGTTGGGTAACATCGTTACTTCGTAACGTTCACCTAAGGAGAGTACACGAGAAAGTGTGGATTCGTAATTTAAGAATTCGTAAAGTATTAAACCATTGCTATGACGTCACACTATTGTTAAAAGTGTGGATTCGGAGATGAAAAGACTTGCATATCTCGTGTTGAGTCGTGGCAATTAGGGTAATTAACAAATGAGTTTTTCGAAGCTCTTATATAATCAAGCATTGTGGCGTGTGTAGCATGTGTATTTCCACACCCGTAGTCCCGTACAACCAAGTTATTTTGTGTGTTGGCTCCTTCCGGCAACATAATTCAGACGACGATTTCTTTATGACTCGGAAGTAGTTCTTGCAGTGACGGCGGAGAATCTGACAGTGAAGATGCATTGGTAATTTTAGGAAGGAACGTTTTCATGCAGACGGTCCTACTAATGCTTATTATGGAGAACATTTTGTCCAACATGCTCGAATCCACACTTAACTATTACAAATTCGTAATTCCGAATCCACATTTTTAACAATAGCGTGACGTCAAAGCAATGGTTTAATTTCTACAGAATTGGCGTCGACGTATAGGCCTAACATTCTAGACCTTTTGTCTTCTCCAACAGATGAGGAACCACCTATGGTTGTGTGTCCCGATGGTACGAGTTCGATTGAATATGTACCCATACCTAGCGCTTCTGTTCCTACCATCGATGCACAGATTCAGGTTACAGACAATGCGCAGTTACAGGCACCGACTGCAGGCTGCACCATCACGAGTTCGGGGATAACATGCACTGCGACTGACGACTCGGGCAACGTGGGTAGATGCTCGTTCTATCGAGGAAACTTAATTCCCAGTAAGTTCTAGCTCAACCGAATAAAAAAAGTGGTTTTGTGGAAGAACGGAGTTCCTTGATGAAATAGGATCGTTTTCTTATGAGGATTTTTCCCAACATTTGAACCATGTAGTTTCGGTGCCCCTAAAATGGGTTGACAAATTCACAACTTCTCAATCGCTCAATTGCAAAATAGAGCATAATTTTTTAGGGCACAATTTCATCCGAATTTCATAGAATTGCGAGCTCGCAGTCCTATTGCACGGCTTCCATTCTTTTTTTTTCACAAACCTTTCAGTTCATGGACCACAAAATGCCAAAAAAGCAAAAGAAAATATGCGGGCATACAAATCGTGATTTGGCCCGCGTAGATAGGCAATATTGGGCCCAAGTTACCGGTCTGCCTCCTTCTGCGGCTTTCTGTACGCTATCCAGTCTTTATAAACAGGTCACTGCTCCTGACCAGTCTGCTCATCTCTTTCACAATTTGTGTGTGTGTGTTCCTACATGGCATTACGCCTGAGGACAGACAACAAAAGGAGCACAAAGGGGCCATTGATCCTCGAAGGAAGGTGCCTATTGTCCTCGAACGCAGGTTTGTGCGCTTAGTCTATGGGAGAGTGTTATATTACAGGGACAAAGGAAAACACAAAGCCAATCCTCGGAAGCATAGCAAAAAACGACAACGTGGGTGGGTGAGTTTGTCTTACATACGCAGTGTGGACTTCCGAACAAAAGACGTCCACATAATGTAGGTAGCACCGACGTTGTGTGGACTTACCCCACGTCCACACAGTGTTTCCCCATTTCTGGAAAACAGGTTTAGAGGCATTTTTGGGTTAGGTTTATCTGTAGCAGAATGAAGAGAAACACTAAAGGGAATCATAGAAAAAAATTGGGTTGAAAGAGTTTTCACAGTTTGAGAAAAATGAGTTTTTCCACTGGTGTTCCTTAACTACACGAAAAGAAAGGAAAGTCCACACTAGGTATGTGAAACAAGTCTGTGTGTGTGTGTGTGAGGGAAACCAAATCTTCGCATCCTAGGTAGCTTATACCTCAATGATCAGCGAAGCACATTCCAGCGAATGTGTCGAGCGAATGCGGAAGTGTTGACTGTTAGCCAGAGTTCAAATAGAATCTAGAAATTAGGGGTCAACAGTGTGAACAGGGTGGCCGGTACGAGCGAAATACTCATCACACTCTAGTTGTTTACACTCGTACTCTAAAAGTCCCCAGTCAGATTCGACCGGAATCCGGGTCAGATTTGACTTGACGAAAATATGACAACTTATGTCGTATAAAAACAAATTGACAAACTTGGCCAAAATTACAAATGTCTTGGTCAAAATGACAGTTGTCTTGGTCAAAATGCCACTTTTCTTGGCCAAATTGACAATTTTTCTCCGTCAAAATGACATTTTCTCGGCCACAATGACACATACATTTTCGGGTCAAATGGCCCAGAAATAGACTTAGAGGAGTGTCACAATGACCCGGCAAAGTGTCAGGTTAAATTTTGACCGATATTTGGGTCTAATCTGATTTGGGGCTTGTAGTGTAGAGGAGCAGAACTATATTGGCATGAAGGGCAAAGGATAGATTGAATTATAATGGAGCATATATTAGGATCATGGTTGCTGGAAAATGCGTCAGTTAGGTCTCGGTATCAGAGAAAAAATGTGGTATTTGTGAGGCAATATCCTAAAAAAAACACCGCAAAACCATGCCCGTCGGGCAACAAAATATCTGCGTTCAATTCATTTATGAGTAAATGGCTTAAACCATGACTCAAACCTTCATTGTGATTATGATTTTTGTGTTTTCAGATGGCGATTGCTGAGCGACATCTGCAAGACTGGTCAAAATAAAAGAATACCTTATGGAATTACAAATCGCACGAAAAGGTATTAAGACATTCTTTAACTTTATTAACAAAATTTGCTCGTTACAAAATGGCGAGTGAAAAATTTGATAAGTAAATTGCACGTTTATGTGCACAAAATATAAAAGTATAAATCAAAGTGAAATGAAAGACTCGGATTTAGATTTTAAGGTTTAGAAACATTTTACTTTTAATGCAATGAATGACTGAGGGTGTAGGGTAGAGGGGTTGGTACAGCGAAGTAATGAATGCGTGTAGAGGGCTGGGGTAGGGTGTTAGTATATGGGGTGTAGAAGTGTGGTGTAGGCAGTATAGGGTTAGTGTTGGATAGAGGGGTGGGTACAGAGAAGATGTTAAGGTTGGGTGTAGAGGGCTAGGGTTGGGTGATAGTATGGGGTGTAGAAGTGGGGTGTAGGGTGCAGGGGTTGGTAATGGGTAGAGGGGTGGGTAGAGTGAAGATGATAAGGTTGGCTGTAGAGGGCTGGGGTTGGGTGTTAGTATGGGTGTTCACTGTTGGGTGCAGGGATTGGTAGTGGGTAGAGGGGTGGGTACAGTGAAGATGATAAGGTTGGCTGTAGAGGGCTGGGGTTAGGTGTTAGTATGGGTGTTCACTGTTGGGTACAGGGATTGGTAATGGGTAGAGGGGTGGGTACAGTGAAGATGATAAGGTCGGCTGTAGAGGGCTGGGGTTGGGTGTTAGTATGAGTGTTGGGTGCAGGGTTTGGTGACGGGTAGAGGGGTAGGTACAGTTAAATTTTCAATAAATTTTTCTGTACTCGTACTCGACTCATGGAAAAGTACTTGTCCTCGTACTCATGGAAATGAACTCGTACTTATACTCACAATAAAACATTTCCCTATACTCGTACTCGTGGTAAAGTACTCATACTCATATTCGAGGCAAAGTACTCATACTCGTACTCATGAGAAGCACTCGACTACAACACTGGGTAGAGGTATGTTATACACTTCTGCATGAAGGTCTATGAGTGCCCTCATTATACTACATCATCACTCCAGCCCTACACCCCACGCAAAAGTTGAAGTTTTTTAACCTGAGGTATAATTCGAAAATGGACAGAAATGCGTATAAGTGATTGCTCCTTTGGTGGGAATTTGTTTCGACTGAAATGGACCACCCTCAGTAAAGATTACAATACAAAAAAATAGAACACTGCCTTGCTTTTTCCACCTGGCTTACTAAAAATCAAGTCAACCCATTCACACACAATTAGAATTGCATTGGCCTAAATCCATGCAAAACCCAGATTCAGTATATCCAGGTGAGAGTGGCCCAAGTGAAATTTCCACCCTTTCACTTAATTGATTGTTTTTTTTCTGGATCTAGGGACCCAAATGGAATGGGGTAAAAAGGAGTTAGGCTTTAATATAATGTGTCATTTTTATAAAGAAAACAAAAAACAGGTTTGTTTTCTGAATGTTGCACATATATTGTATAGTTATGAATACAAAATTTATTTCTAAGTTATAAGAATGCAGCTTGGAAAAAAAAATTAAAAACAGTAAATGGCATAAAGTTAAAAGATTTAAATGTATTATAATGGCACCATGTAAAATCCTAGACAAAAAAATAAGTACTGTTACTAAGAAAAACAGCTTAAATGTCCCACTTTTCATCTGTAGATTTTTATGTGTAATGTTATTAGGCAAAATAAAAAAAAACATGTTTAGCGTCCTCACCCGCTTCCTTTTTGGAGGCTGCCTCCTTTTTTTTTCTTTTTTTCTTTTTAACCGAAAACAAAACCCGATAAATTTTCAACAGTTACATGTACATCATTTTGGCCTCTTAATCTGTTGTATCTAGCCCATATAAAGTTGTTATGTAAGCCCATATAAAGTTGTTATGGCCTATTTTGGAGTAGTATCATACGGGTGTAAATGGCGCTACCAACGTCAATATAGTCTGCCCCCCAAAAAAAGCCAAAACAAACAAACAAACAAACAAACAAAAAACAAAAAGTCGGGCAATCTTTTTTGCAAACTTCTAAACAAAATGTGACACAAAATTGTGAGCGCCCCCCCCCCTCTACCCCAGCCAAATCCTGGGTGCGCCACTGATTAGGGAGACATTTGAATGTCTCCCCAATTCTACAGGCATATACGTTTTTGACGCTAAATTGTCTCCACAAAGGTACCATTTACAGTAGTAATACCTATAGGAATCAGTTTACTTTTCTTCATGGGAACACAGTTCCACTGAAACCATGTGACAATACCCAGATGTGCTCTAATCAAGCAAGAACAATATGGGTATTAAGTGTGGAATTCCATGGATAGCGAGGACCCTTCAAACCCAATGTCATTATTTAATGTGAAGCAACACTACAAAGGCTGCCACCTAGCCCAGTCTGGAGTGCATTGCACATAGGAAAGGAACCGAGCACTGTTCCTGAACCAGGTGCTCATTGAAAGAGTCACACACAATGTACATGTATATGGTTTACTCAATTGAGAGTTGCACATCATTGAAAAATGTAAACGTTCAACTTGTGAGAAAGAAGATGGCACTTGTAATGCTTTGTAAATACGAGACATACTTGATTCTTGTAATATCAAACTGGTAGGCAGATAACGTGAATACAAGGTCCCATTTATATAATTTTGGTTTCATTTAAATGTGTAGGTGTCGCACCTGTGATTGGTTTGTGCATATTCAGTCATAATAATCAGTCATGCGAGAGAAGTGACTCTCATCACGTATGGTGCACACAGCAACAGTATTGGTGTGCATGGAAACTAGATGAGAAATGTACCTATCATTATTACCAGAATGGCTTTTTCCCGGTTGGGAACAAGATGCTTTCAGGGGCTTGAAAGTACCCCAAAAAGAGCATTCTGAAAAGAGCATTCTTAAAAGAACATGAATGTTGTGAGACTCCCCACCCCCCACGTCACACACTGTAAAAGCTAGCGAGCATCACCATTTGACAACTTCAAGCCAGGCTTGACAACCACTTCGCTCTTAATAGCCAAGGGATTCAGAGAATAAACAATGACAGAAACTGAAACAAGTAAAATAGAAACGGCCTTTGTGAAGTTGACAGTCGTACCGAGGAGAGCTCTGCTCAATATTGCAAGGGCAACCATCTCTATTGCTAAGGCAAATTTCTTCAAGATGGAGTTCAGCTTGTACAAAAATAGACCGGTGACCAATCCCGCGATCACATTGTTAACAACTATCAAAATGACGACTGGCTCAAACACCGACTTCAGGCTGGACGCAGTTAGCACTCCTGGACTAAGTTTTCCCGATATGGTCACTAACACTACACAACACATACTGGTATTTGCGTACATGAAAATACCTTGCAGCCAGAAGTCCAGCTGGCTGCTGTAGTTCTTGAGCAAGTACTCGTTGTAGACTCCTGCAAAGGAGGAGCATAGCACCTGGATGAGGATGAAAACGTCTCTCAGCTCCAAGAAGACTTCATTAGCTTCCTCCATGTGTGAAATGACGCAGCCTAATGTCAGGATGGAAAGCGAAATCCATTGCTGCCAGCTAAGGTCTTTCTTAAATAAGCACTGCAGGGTTTGAGGGTGAGATTAACAAGAAATAAAATACTAACTTTTTGGGATTAAGAATTAGAAGATAGCTGACAAAAAGAGCGCAGGCACACTAAAAAAAAAATCCCGTAAATAAAGGTTCTGCTTGATGTAGTCGGATCATGACTTTCAATTTTAATAAACATGTGCCTGCCGGTTTTAAACACCTGTTCATTGCCTCAGGTAATTATCAGCATCCAGACTCCAACCGGTCTTAAACAGAGTGTTTAATACAGGCCAAGCATTATTCCCATTCGTCAATGCCTTTTCAGTCAAAAACAAATCAACACTTTTTTGGTCCAAATGTCACACTCAAGGCACGCTCTCGCAGGTCTCATTTGCTGAAACAGAATTTCGGATTTTTTAAAATGGAATTTGCACTTTTCCGAAAAGGAAAATCATTGACCCTACACAAGTAACTGGGAAGAACAAAAGGAAGGATCTGCCTTTGTCTCAATTCATTTGAAGAGCTCAGATTTGATTTTGAACTTGATGACTTTTCATTCACTTGGTGATGGACTCGAATATAATGCGATGCATTTCATTGATATACAAAGAGGAGAATAGAACTGCAAAGCCTCAAGTAATGGTTGATGCATGACACATTTAAGTCTTTTACCTGATAAATCACACCAGTGATAACTATGCTGAACTGCAGGAGGATTGCATAGTTTGTAGGGTTGTAATTGGCTAGATTCAGGAACACCAAGTTGTTGAATATACTGTACAGGACCGAAGGAATCAGGTAGTAGGCAAAGGCTGTGGAACAAAGCGGATGTACTTGGGTCATTAACATGTAACACGGACAGGTATAAACAGGGACAGGGAAACATGGACCCTAAATGTACAAAATGACCCAGATGTCACCTGTTCATGTAAATTCAAACTAAAGTTGATTAATACATGTACCGGTAGGCCTTCTAGAAATGACTGAGAAAGAGTGAAATAAGTGTCGGTTTTATAATTAAAAAGCATGGCTTCTCATCCACGATCATTTTTTTCTCATGCAGTAATTCGTGGGCTTTTTTTAATAAACTGTGAATGAGATAATCATCAACACTGCCTTAAGTAACTCAGTTTATGCATGTTTGAAATTTGGCTTCCAACAGATGTTGTTTTAATCATATATACTCACCTGTTTTATTTGACTGCAGATCCGCTACTAAGTTATGAAATGAATATCTGTTGAGCATTGAAATGCAAAAGTAACAAAGAAACAATCAGTCAAATATGGATTGTATGACTATAAGCATTAAAAGAGTGATGTTTACTTGTACATTGTATGTATATAAAATGTACACAAGATGTAACTTCCCAATCTACAAGTATGTATTTGACCATGCAGAACAGCAGGTCTACAGTGATTGTTCAATGCGAAAAATCACACCGTGGAACCACATGGAGAATTTTATCACAACATGTGTTTATAGGTCAATAACCCTAGCATGCCTGTACATGCACAAGATATAGTTCATTCACATGGCCAGGGATTGTTTACAACTTGTCTGGACTCTGGGCGGCACAAGGGGTTGACACAAAGGGATCGGCAGCACTTAGGGCTGGCCACTAAGATCTCCAATTACTGCACAAAGGCATTGGGCGCCATCTTGGCTTCTGTCTTTCAACACTCCTTACTCCGGAGTGGCTAGGGTCTGGCCAATGGGAGTCTACAGGCTTGTGGTGTATAGTAGGGATGAGGATTACATGGAAGCTTGGCCTAATTGGCCCATTGAAAAAAAATTATGCCCATATTTGGAAAATGTGGACTATAAAATTACCGTCGGGCTGCTTGGAGGGTTAAAGTTGACCTTAATTTTGATTTTTTTTTTTTAAAGTTAATTTAGAAATTGATAAAACTTAGAAACACTTACTTGTGGCAGTAGAATATGGTCGCAACAGTGAGTTTGGACAGCTCTATCAGCAGCACCACTAGCACTGTGCTGTAGCTATAACTGTTATCCTTGTCTTTTGTGAAAGCTATCAGAAGATCTGTCAGAAAACAAAGGGAAAAGGAATATCTTTATAATTCATTCATGTCATTAGTCTCTGTACTGCCCCAAAGCGCCCTGGCTGTTTTACCACCTGAACTTGCTGGGGGAATAAATCCCTTGAAAATGGGCTGAAAGCCAGAAAATTTTGCATGCACAGGCAAAATTTTAAAAGAACAGAGCCAAAGTTACATGCATCTGTGGTGGTGGGGGGGGGGGGGGGGGTAGCAACAAATGTGGATTTCGAGGTATTTGTGGAACATATCCCAACAACCAAAATGTATTCAGTAGCACTGTGCAGAAACAAAGTACAAAAGCTTTCAAAATGCAATGTTTTAATGTAAGCGCGAGTATACATATCCTGAAGAGCGCCCCCTAGTGTAATGTGGTCTCCAGCCTCCAGCCTCCCCCCCCCACCCCTAGGGAGTATATCATTTGCAGCTATCCAAAAAATAGCTGACAAAATTATTGCTTAAAAGCATACATGGTTTAATTTCACAAAACTCCCTGTCAACATGGTGCAATTATTATTTCTGGCACGTTGTCATTTTGAAGAAAAAAATAAAAGAAAGTAATTTCCAAAGATGTGTCTGAAGATGCATTTTTGGAAATCCCCGTTAGTAGTTTGACTGGTGTGGGACCAGTTATACTATGCTTGCCAAGTCTTGTTAAATACGAAAGTACATGTAAGTTTGAGTTAAACAAAAAACTGACAGAACTGTAAATGACTTGTAAGAATGATGCCAAAACTTTGTTGAAAAAAATTGATCCCTTATTCTGGCAAGATTACAACTTGCAAAGCTGTCCCCCCCCCCAAAAAAAAATCATGGTCATGCATACTGTTTTCCAAGGTGATGAGATCAATTAAAGGGAAATTACAACATTTGCAAACATCGAAATATAAAATGACCAAGTTTTTACGAAATACCTTACAGGATGTTGGTAAATGACAGTCTAAAGCATCCTGTAAAATTATGGCACCTGGTGTGAAGTCATTTTCAAGAAAATTATATTTTTGTTTACATTTCCAACGGTGGTCGGCCGACCACCGTTTTCCAAGGTGATGATGTACATTCCCTTTAAAGATGTCAAAGTAGCCTGTTTGTGATTTTTTGTTGATCAGCAGGGGGAAATATGACAAGTTGTAATAGTGACTTACTGTTGTTGACAAAAAGTGTGACATACGCTATGAACACCAGCCAACTAGTACAGTCCACCAGGCCCAGCATGGTTGACTTGTAGAACGTATGGGCTCCCTATGCGCCTGTACCTCAAAATGAAAGACAGTATGTACAATTTTAAAGGTAGAGTACATGTACATATGTGACCCGCTCCAGGAAAAGGTGATATAAGTCGCACTATGCCTTTACATTTAATGGCCTGCTGAACGTTGAGAGGGTGAAATTTTTCATCAAAATTTGATTTTCGTTTTTTGTCTTGAATGACATCTTTGATACCTAAAGTTTAAGGATTCATTCACAGAAAAGTTGATTTCGATGAAAAAAGGGAAAAAAATAACCTTATTTTGTTTGCATTGTTCTCTTTATTTTACATCCAAAAACTATCATTTTAATCAATATGCGAATAAGCCAAAATATAGTAATCTGGTTTCAAACAGTCTCTTTTTCCCAAAAATCATTGAAAATAATCATTGTAGAATCAATATCCAAAGTTTAAAAGTGATAGTAAAACAGAAACATGTTGGTTGCTAAGAGATTAAAAGTGAGCTTTTCATGCCCAAATCTACAACAGAGCCAGCTATGTCAAAGCCTGTTTTCTCAGTTGTGTAATTTGAACTCCATGGAACTAAATTATATGCAAATTTGTTATATCTCCACAACGAGAAGCCTTGGCCATACAGCTGTGTCATATACCAAATGAAAGCCTACACTGTGGGCTTTCCAGTCGTGCATATAACTTAAATTTTATTTTTTACGACTTATATCACCTTTTCGTCCATTGACTTTGTAAACGCGCATGGCGTCAGGTTGCAACATTCTTTCCAAATTACGGAAAGATTCCCAGGCCATACATGTATCTAGCCATCGCTTATTTTTCCCTTAAATGACCCATCAGCCATCAGAAAGTGATAATATGTCCTAAAAATCAAAATTAGCAGTGATACATTTGGAATTTGTACTGAGAAAACACTTAGACATTTTCAGACCAGTCCCACAGGGTTTGCACGTGTGCACAGGTAGCCCCATAAATGTGGCCAATTTACTGAACTACCGGGTACCTCCGTAAATAAAGGCCACACTTTGAACATGTTCCCAAACATGTAGAACTTTGTCACATTTTGATTTTCACATTTCGGCTTTGTTTGTAATTCATTTTTGCTTTAGAAATATAGGCCTACTCACCTTCTTAATTATAGGAATATTTTTAGGATATTGTGCTGCCTTTTTCAGATATCTAGTATATACTAGGTCTATATACTGATATATTTTTTGCATGTAACTTCCATGTTGAAATTTTGATACGCAATTGTCATGATTGTGTGCAAACGAATCTGGAAATTATATGAAAAATAGACGTCTGACAAACGCAGCACTTTTTTTCTATCCTATAAATATGACAAATATAAATATAGTGTATGCTTCTAAAGCAAAAACAAACTACAAAAGTACAAACAAAGCCCAGGCCTAATTGTGAAAATCGAAATTTGACAAAGTTCTACATGTTCGGGTACATGCATATGGTCCAAGTGTGGCCTTTATCATGTTTATTTAGGGAGGTAGGCCTACATGTAGGCTAGTCCATTAAATTGGCCACTTTTATGGGGCTAGTGCACCGACAGCGGTGAAAAGTGATGGCCAGATAATGAGATATCATGGGAATCTTTCCAAATAAACCTAGGCCTATATCATGTATATCATTTCACTAGTCCTAGTTACTTGGACCCAACTTATCGCCAGACCATGTCCGAATGTTAAAAAGGCGATAAGTTGAGTCCAAGTTACTCGGACCTTCCTCCATGGCTTGAGTAACTCCAGCTGACAGTAGCATGTTCCATATTCATTCACATTAAACGAATATGGAACATGTCTTCCTCCATGGCTGGAGTTACTCAAGCCTCATCCCTATAGGCTTATTACCACACACGCTGGCGCTGCCCTAGCCCGACTGCGTCTGGCCGTATAGTACTATCGCAAGCTCTGTACTACAGACGCAGTCGGGCTAGCGCTGCCCAAATAAAATTTGCTCCGGCCGTGCTCGCCTCTTGTAAGTACCACATTACCAGCTATGGCCTATACGAACATGTAGGTTTGCCCTGTATCTTGTCACGTGTAGAGATCAGCACGAGCAGAAGTCTGGAAGACGCAAAAGTTGCAACTTGCAAGCCATCTTTCACTTTTCAGGCATGCATTTGTTGATCGAATGGGGCGCCCCCTACGACAGATACGCGACAGGCCGGTCGAGTGCTTTCCGTGGTGACCGTTTTAGCCGATTTTCGGCTAACTTTGACAGATTTTTTGTTATAAAACGAGTTTGACAGAAAATTTGACAGAATGGATTTTTTTGGGCAGATTTCTGGCAGAATTCAGCAAAAATGGTTATTTGACAGAAAAACATAGCAAATTTGAAAAAAAGCTTAAATCTTTTCAAACAAACCCTTGCAGAGAGCTGCAAGGTTCGTTTCAAACACCTATGGACGTGACACTAGCATCTCTGCTATCATGAAAGATCTGGATTTGACAACTTTGGAAGAAAGAAGAAAACAGCACCGCATCTTTTGTTTCTTTAAAATCCTGAATGGGCTAATGGACATCGACTTTACCAAATACATCACCTAAAAAACTGGAAGATCACGAAGAGGACACAACAGACAGTTCCAACTCAACCAGGCCAGGACCGACACATATGCATCTTCATTTTTTTTCTAACGGAACACTTAAAAATTGGAATGACCTCCCCGTCTTCGTCGAGTGTTTTGTTTAAAATTAAACGCAAATATCATAACATCTTTATGTGACTATAGATTGTTTACAATTACTTTGAACCTTAATTAAGGCAATACTTCAACATGTACATGCAGTGGCGTAGCCAGGAATTTTTCAGTGCGGGGGGGGGGGGCGCTGGGGGGGGGGGGCTGGAACATTTCATTGGGGGGGGGGGCGTCATGCAGGGGCGTCAATCGCTTCTCAAAAGTGTGGGGGGGGCGGACATACCTTGATCAGAACTGATGCGAGCGCGAAGCCCTTACGGCGTGGGGTTCGGGCCCGCTTAAGGGCCCCGAAAAAAATTGATTCTAGCCTTCTGTGGTGTGATCTGAAGCAATTTCTTACCACTTTCCTCCATGCTTTAACTAATATTTTCTTAGCAAAAGATAATTATTTGAACATCGTTTTCGAGGTTGGAGTCATTGAATCAGCTATCGGTATTCTAAGCTATAGGCGTGGGATTCGGCGGGGCCCGCTTAAGGGCCCCGAAAAAATTGGATTCTCGATGCTCTGTGGTGTGATATCTGAGGCAATTTCTTACCACTTTAACCACTAATTATCTTAGCTCAAAAGATAATAATTTAAACATAATTTTCGAGGTTTTTTCAGCTAAAGGCATAAGAAAAATTTTTGAACATTGTTTTCGAGGTTGGAGTCATTGAATCAGCTACCAGAATTCTGAGCTTTAGGCGTGGGGTTCGGGGCCCGCTTAAGGGCCCCGAAAAAAATTTGATTCTAAATGCTCTGTGGTGTTATCTGAGGCAATTTCTGACCACTTTTAATTAACCAATATTTTCTAAGCAAAAGATACATTGTAGTACATAATAGGGCCCTGTAAATGAGACATGAGTTCAAAAATCTGGGGGGGGGGGAACATTTGATATTGTGTCCCCCACCCTTCAAAAAGTGGGGGGGGGACATGTCCCCCCCCCCCCCCCATGAAACCTTGTCGCCCCCAGTCGGCCCCCCCCCCCCCAGTATTGACGCCCATGGCGTCATGTACATGATAATTGTTTTTAGAAACTCAAAATCTCAGTGGGGGGGGGGGCCGACTGGGGGCGACAAGGTTTCATGGGGGGGGGGCGGTCTCCCCCCACGCCTCCCTCCCCCCCCCGGTGGCTACGCCACTGTGTACATGTGATTTCAAGTGTTTATAGTGTATTTCGAGTAATTCTTGGGAATTTGGCCGATTTTTGATCAATCTGACAGATTTTTTAAGTCCATTTGGCAGAATTTGGCCATGACCTTACGGTCACCCTGGTCATCAGGCATGTCTGGCGGACTGGTACGGTGTTACTGTTAGTACGTGCATGGAGCAAGGAAAAGGCAGGTGTAGAAAAAAAAAACATTTGCCTTCTTTTTTGCATCGTGCGACCATGGCGGCCGAGAGATTGGAGGTTCTTCGCCGACAGTTAGGGACTTCGAATAAAGCACAGCAGCCATTGACAGAACTTGTATCCTTTCTTTACTTGCTGTATTTCAATGCAATTGATTTGTATTCGTCATCAGACCTCCTACTTCTTACAGGGGTGTGAAATCTCAGCTTTTTAGCTGATTTCAGCTTTTTTTGTTTGGGATTTCAGCTTTTTCTCCTCACTTGCTGTGTACAAAAGTATAGGAGATTTCCAAAATTCAGCTTTTTTTACACCCTTTTCAGCTATTTTTATCAGTGGTCACTCACACCCCTGTTCTTAGTACTAGTCCTACTGTAAAGCTACGCGCTCCTATTTCTGCGCACTCTTTATTTAACTTTAAAGTAATAAATCTTAAAATTAATGTGGCCTGACGTTGCCAACTTAGCAAGTTCTTCTTCAGAGGCTAAAACAGAAATGACAGAGATACATACATTAACATGGGGGTGCACACAAACATGCAGGGCTGAAAGAAGAAACACAAAAGGAGGATTAGGAGGGAAAGGTGTGGAAAGATGCAGGGGAGGGTGGATGAGAGAACAAAGAAACAAAGGGAGATGGCAAACCACAAGGGGTCTGGTGTAAACAGGGGGGGAACAGAAAGGGGAAGGATCAAAGGTCACAGGGAGTGGGAACGGACAAAAGAGTGTGAGAGTGAAGGGATGATGCGGGGGGGGGGGGGACAGTATAGAGGTGGAAAGGGATGAAAGATGGTGGGAGATGTGTTAACACAAACAAGGAAGACCAGATGGATTATCTGTAACAGAGGACAATGGAGGAAGAAAAGGATTAATCATTTCCAAGTTGGATGTTGAGACCATGTGGTTGAATAGTTCGAAGACGATTCATCCACACCTTCTCTCTGCTGAGGCGAACTGACTCTTTGCGATGGCCAAGAGATTCAATGCCCTGCAAAATCATATCAGAAATGGAGTGGTTAGGCAGGTTGAAGTGATGACCAACAGGGGTGTCTAGTTTCTTGGTGTTGACCGTTGACCGATGGGCATAGAAACGCTTCTTGAGCGTATTCTTAGTCTCACCTACATACTGCACTCCACAGACCCTGCAAGAAATGAGATATATGACATTAGAGGTGTTACAAGTGATGTTACCAATGGTTCTGTGGGTAGTGACAGAAGAGTGGCCAGAAAAGGAGTCAGACTCCTGGATATGAATCTGGCAGACAACACATCTGGAACTGCACTTGAAAGTACCATGCTGGGTGGGAGGGGATGCATCTAAGGATGGGACTTCAGCTCGAACAATCAAGTCCCGTAGATTTCGAGGACGCCTGTAAGCCAATGTGGGGCCGTTGGGGATGGCGCGGGCAAGGCGATCTGAAGTATGGAGGATATGATGATTGTCATTAGTGATTTTGCGGAGGGGAGGGAGATTGGGGTGAAACGTGGTAACCAAGGGAATCATGGGTTTGGCCATGGCATCAGGGGCCTTTCCCGTGAGAGCTTGATTTCTGGGGATAGATTTAGCTCTGGCAATGGCACGATGAACCTGGCGAGAGCTGTGACCCCTGGCCACCAAGTTGTTCTTCAGTATCTGTGTATGGCGGGAGAAATCGGAATCATTAGAACAAATTCTTCTGAGTCTGAGTGCCTGGCTAAACGCTATGCCAGTTTTGCTGTGCCTGGGGTGACAGCTGGAGGAGTGGAGGTACTGGTGGGTGTCTGTGGGTTTGGAATACAGGTCAGTGGTTAGTGAGTTGCCTTGCTTGCGGACGGTGACATCCAGAAAGTGGGTTTGGTGAGCCGAGAACTCCGATGTGAATTTGATGGTTCTGTGGAAGGAATTGATGTGGTTAGTGAAGGTCAAGAGACTGTCCTCATCACTGGTCCAGATGAAGAAAACATCATCAATATATCTCCACCAGATCCAAGGGCGACATGGGGCCGAGGCAAGAATGCGTTCTTCGAGGTCGCCCATGAAGAGGCAAGCCATCGACGGGGCCATGCGAGTGCCCATTGCAGTGCCGTGTACCTGTAGATAGTGTTCACCAAGGAAGGAAAAATTGTTCTTCGTTAGTATAAGTCTCATGAGGGTGCCAACATCACTGATGGGAGGAGTCGTGTGTCCTGCCTTGGCCAGAGCCAAGGAGCAAGCACGAACTCCCTCCTCATGTGGGATGTTGGTGTACAGAGATGAGACGTCGAAAGTCCCAATGATGGCTGTGCTGGGAATCTGGTCCTTGATTCCTTCAAGCTTGCGTAGGAAGTCTGGGGTGTCGTGAATGTATGACGAAATCTGTGGGACAAGGGGTTTGAGAAAACTGTCAATGAACAGGGAGATGCGTTCCGTGGGTGAGCCATTACCGGAGATGATGGGTCTACCGGGGTTGCCAGCCTTGTGAATCTTGGGTAGCAGGTAAAATCTGGCAGTCCTACAATCACAGGGAGAAAGAAATTTGTGAGCTTTCTTCGACAACTGGTCACGTGATCGCATATCGTCAAGTACCTGTTGTATATCTTGACAGAAAGTGCCTGTGGGGTCAGAGTCAAGGCGGGTATAGTTAGTGCGATTATCCAACTGGCGGTGGGCCTCATCAATGTACTGCTGACGATCCATGATGACCACAGCTGAACCTTTATCTGCTGGCTTGATGATGATGTCGGTGCGAGAGCGCAAGGAGTTGAGAGCCAGGCGCTCCTCTCTGGGGAGATTATCATGAGTCCTGTGGGGGAAGTTGTCCGGGTTAGTGACTTGGGAATTGATAACTTGAACGTATATCTCTATGGCTGGCACACGATTCTTGGGGGGTACCCATGAACTCTTGACTCGAAAAGGCTCTGGCTCACACGGTTCACTGTCCAGGAAAAACTCACGCAGGCGGATTTAAAGTAATAAGTTATATTTTGCAAGGCATGCATCCTAAAAAAAGACAAACTTTCACTGGGATCGTATGCTTTGATGCACGACTTTTAACCAGCAGCCGAACAAAAATTGGAAATTGAAGGCTTTACCATGTCCATGTTTACCGGGAATTCAGGCACAATATGAAAAACATCGGCTTTTTACAGCTAATTACTAAGTACAAATGCAGGCAGATGCTTCCGGGCCTGCAGAAGGCGAAAATATGACCGAAAGTAGCTGGAGTTACCCAGCCCTGAGTTTTATCATTGGGTTGTCATCTAGGGCTGGAGCGAGTTTTTCTCGTAACTTGTAGTATAGGCAAAAAAATTTGGAAAATGTTCAATTTTGTCCCCGTTACACACTAATTGCAACTGCAACTCACCCCAAACTTGCCTGGAATAACCGTTACACAGGTCCTTGAAGTAAAAAATGATCCACGATGAAGATTCAGCCTACAATTGCAGTGAAAACAGGAGGAATAACCGCTAACCTGACAACCTTTCAGGCATGGCCAGGACCGCAATTGGTTTGTGCACAAAAAAAATTGTGTACAATGAATGGCGGTCGATTAACAGGCACAGAGAGCGATCGCTGTCAACTACTCGTTTTTGCCGGCTGCGCTGGCTGTTGGCGCATGACGTCACGCGGAAGCGTAACACCCGATGACTGTTTCATGCACTAATGTAAGGTTTACCACTCGCATCACAGCTTTGGTTCTGGAACCGCAACCAATAGTGCATGAAACAGTCATCGGGTGTTACGCTTCCGCGTGACGTCATGCGCCAACAGCCAGCGCAGCCGGCAAAACGAGTAGTTGACAGCGATCGCTCTCTGTGCCTGTTAATCGACCGCCATTCATTGTACACAATTTTTTTTGTGCACAAACCAATTGCGGTCCTGGCCATGCCTGAAAGGTTGTCAGGTTAGCGGTTATTCCTCCTGTTTTCACTCAAATTGTAGGCTGAAACTTCATCGTGGATCGTTTTTTACTTCAAGGACCTGTGTAATGGTTATTCCAGGCAAGTTTGGGGTGAGTTGCAGTTGCAATTAGTGTGTAACGGGGACAAAATTGAACATTTTCCAAAAAAATTTGCCTATACTACAAGTTACGAGAAAAACTCGCTCCAGCCCTAGATGACAACCCAATGATAAAACTCAGGGCTGGGTAACTCCAGCTAGACCGAAAGGTGACCTTTCTTGGTCTCCCAATATCGTCAGTATTATAGTTAAGATGTCATAGATAAGAATTTTTAGTTTCTACGAGGGTGTAAAACTTACGGTGCAACTAAAAAGACACAATTCTTGTAATTTATATTTTTTGGGAATTTTTTGGTCATACGTTTTAAAATCCGACATCTTAAAAACTGTCTCCGTTGATTGGGATGATCAGAATAACAATATCATTGGGATCTACATTTAAAAGGTAAATATGTATAAAATGTATTTATATAAATGTATGTAAATTTAAGCCCTTGTATAAATCTCGAAAATAGGATATTGAAAATAATCTTGAAATTACGAAAAGTGTGTTGGCATTGAAAAAAAGAAAGGAAAAAGAAAGAAAATTTGTTTGAAAAGCTCAGAAAATATAATTTCCGGAAAGATTTGTATTGTAACTGGGGATATACATGTACACAGTAAGGTCCGGGATATCAGGCCTCTAAAGCCAGCATCAGGTCGACCTTGCGACGGACGACACAGATCAGTTGGCGACTGACTTTTCAGGATCCAGCTGTGCCTGAGCTACGACTGTCGGGAACATTTAAGTCGCTGAATTTTTGCAACCTGAGTGTATCTGCGACGATACTGAGTTGATCGGCATCAGTCGCCACTCAAAAAAATCAACAGTCGCAAGAGTAGACGGAAAAATTTCAACTTATGCGGCGCGTGTTCCGCGTCATCACACGATTTCTCAGTTTTGTGACCTCAGCATACTTTTTGTGCTTGATGCCGACGGTTCCGTCGTGGCGCAAGGAAATCGAGGCCGGTGTCACATGAAAATCCGACTCCTATGAAAATCGGACCCCTAATTTCCCATTATTGGTTGATCCCTCGCACGTGACAGGTCACCAGTCACTCTCCCGAAATGATCCTAAAAATAGCATAGTATTGTACTCACGCGTGCGCATTACTACCAATGAGTCCACATTTCATGGAGTCGGATATTCACGCTACATGTACACTGGCTTTACGACCCCGTTCTTGTAATGTAGTTGTGCCTCCAGATATCTAATGCGATAAGCATTAGAACTGGAGTTATTTCTAGCTAGGAAGAAGAGGGATGGGGGGTTAGCCCGACTGCCTCTGTCGTTAGTATTACCATGGAGCTATAAAACACAGTCTCCTCAATTGAAGGACTTTGTTTGTAGTACGGTTGCTATTGAGTATTACAGACAGGCATGCTGTCCTCAAAACAAAAAAATTGTTCAAATGCTAGCAAATTTGCTAACTGGATTAATTTGGTCCAAAAAAAAAATACTTCTGCTTCCGATCACATGGCATTTGAAAATAGGATAGGTAGGTAGGTAGGGAATTTTTTTTTGGGGGGGGGATTTTTTTGTGCTTGGTCATAGGCGTCTGCCAGTCGTCAAGGGTAAAAGGTAGATAATTATAGTTTTGGGTGTTTTTTGTTCTCATTTTTGCAATAAAAATTAAGGTAGGGCTGTCAGAATAGGGTAGGTACCAGTGTTGTAGGTCTCGAGACCACTTTTTGCTGGTCTCGGTCTCGGTCTCGGTCTCGGAAGCTGTGGTCTCGGTCTTGGTCTCGGTCTCGGTCCCCTTTGGTCTCGATATTTTGGCTGGTCTCGGGTCGAGACCGGCAATATGTAGCTTTTACAGCTCGATCGATTACTTTGTGTTCACTTCGTTCAGTACCGTTGTTATTTAAAACATTTGCTAGCCCATAGATCAAGCTTGTTATATATCGCGGTCGGTTTGGACTCGACTGCACATTGGAAAGTCCCCAAAGTACATGTAAAACTGCAGCAGTACCAGTCACTGAACGATTTGGAACAAGTTCGGCATTTATCCGTTGAGTCGGCCACATAAAGCAAAGTATAAACTTGTAACAATTTATGCAATAAGGGTCAACCATTTTCGGGGATTGTGTAGTTTAGCCCACCCCTGTGGGCGTAATCACTTGCATTTTGTATTCTGATAATAAATGAGGTGCTTCAAATTAGTTATATTTTCAACCCCACACAATGTTCTTTAATTTGGGACAGTATTTTGAAGAAAAAGTAAATTTTTCTACCTGATTTTCCAGCTTTGAACTCACACACTCTTACCAGTTACCACTCACTGTTGCCATGAGAGTGTATGATGAGACCCCATTTTCTGGCTGCTCATTTTAAAGTACCCCATTATTCCTCAAAAATTAAAAATCCCGTTCAGAAAAAATTAAAAATCCATATCTGGCACATTCTGGCTACCACCTCGCAACTTGTGGGTCTACATGTACAAGTCCACATTCTATGACAAAAATTTAAAAATTAATTCAACATTTTCTAGCTCCCATTTTTTAAAATCAAGTACACAAGTCTTGTTAGAAGTTAAGTCCTAAATTTATTTTAGGAAAAAAAGGGCAATGTAAAATTAAAATTGCATCTTTAAATATCCGTTAGAAGTCATAGCTGAAACCAAGGGGGTGACTGTGGAGTTTAGGATCCGAGTTCCTATAACAGATGAAACATCTACCTTTAACTTTTTACGATTGGGTGCAGACAACATGTCAAAGCCCATATTTCTTAAGTGTAACTGCTTTTTGCTCAAGTAAGGTGTGTCATGTATCAATCTGTCAACATTGCCACTGGTCAAAATTTTGGTCTGTATTCTTTGTGAATAGAAAGGTTACATTTTTCAACTATAATAACGTGTCTTGTTTTTTTTATTTCGACTATTGTTATTTATTATCAGCGGTCTCGGTCTCGGTCTCGGTCTCGGACCATATTGGTCTCGGTCTCGGTCCGCCTTGAAGGGGCTGGTCTCGGTCTCGGTCTCGGTCTCGAATCTTCAGGTCTCGGTCTTGGTCTCGGTCTCGGACTATCCGGTCTCGACTACAACACTGGTAGGTACATTAGGAATACCGGAAGCAGAACCATTTTTTTGTTGGCTTTACCAGTGTTAGACCACTCAATATGCACCCGTTACAAAGTTGAACTGAGAATTTGTATTGTGGTGCCCATGATTTTCCAAAAGTGCACAATGAACCCTTTTAACATTGCCCCAAAATAAGAAAAACATAGCTGCCAAACTTGTGGAAGGATACGGGAGTGTAGATAATGATGGTTTATCAGAATTAAACAACCTTACAAAGAAATCCTTAAATGCTAATTGTTCAAGTGCGCCACACAAGGAAACACTTGGCCAATTTTGAACCATGTCCGAACACCACCATTTTTTAAATTCGGCTTTTGCCGCTTGCACTGCTACAAGTGGTACATTTAATGTACGTGTACATTCATGCATTGATAGTGCATGCCACATGCCAGCGAGTCGTCGTCCCCGTCCCCCCCCCCCCCCCCCCAGGAGGTGGTTTCTGTTTTTTTCTTGGACTTACTTTGCACAAACGTTTTGTACATGTACACAATGTGCAGAATTGAATACTCCTTAACTGACGGCATTATCACAGACAAGGAATGAGACCAGTGCAGTCTCAGTCATCAGCCCACCTGGTACTCAGTATGTCATACCCAATCCATTACTGACACCAGAACAAGTGGCTTCCTATGAGAAGGATGGCTTCCTAGTCATCAGGAACCTGGTACCTCATGACAAGATTGATCAGTACAGGTATGTAACTCTCCGACTCCAGTGGTGGATCTATAAGGAGGGAGTGAACCCCTCCGTACCCCCCCCCCCCCCCCCACCACTTGGGCGGCTGCACTAAACCACACCCACCCCCCGCCCCTTGGCAGCTATACCCCCCATGACAGCTATACACCCCCCCCCCCCCGACAGCTAACACCCTCCCCCAGGATTCACGACCATGACCACATTAAAGCGAATGCAAATGCTACGTAACTTCCCGTAAAGTTTTTGCATTAAAACTTGACTAATGTTGAAAATATTTCAACTTGAGCAAATTTCACAGCACATTTTTTTGTGACAGTGTTTTCAGAATGACATCAAAGGCAGAAACAAAGTTCAACAAATTAGGGCTGATTTGTCAAATATTGCCACATAAACTTTGTGTGGAAGTGTGCACAGGCTTGGATTCCAAAGTTCATTTTGGTGGCCTGATTGCGAGCAGTCATGTGAGCTGATAAGCAAAGCGTAGGCAAGTATTGAATTGTTATGACAATTTGGAAAGTCTGCAGTAGGCATTTTGACATATTTTATTTCCTTTCATTGAAATGAATGAAACTGCTGCAAACTGCTTAAAACCCTCCTATGGAAACATGCATTGTCAGCCTGCTTATTACTTGGGTCAATATTGGTCAAGACCCCCATTGGTTTGTACACAGTAGGCCAGGAGGTGAGGAAGAAAATTTTGACCATTGGTGACCTTAAGCAAAGGGAGGGTTGACTGGATTGACCTGAAATATGCAAATCAACGAAGTTAAGAGGGTTTGATGTTTTTAAGACCGGAGCGTCACGCCCTCCTAATTTTAAAATGTTTTTTTTTTATATAAATTCATTTAGAGGTCACATATTCAGAACTAATTTAGATGTGAATTTTTAGATCTTTTGTTGACTTTGCCTCCAATTTGGATGACTATAGATGACAATGTGGCCTTTGATCAATACTTGTTTATCATACGATTGTATGTAAATGTCATATAGACATAAGGTATCTTTTCCAGTTGTACCCATGTTTAGACACAAAAACAAGTGACCTTTTGGGGAAATTGCAATGTACATGTATCTTTCAAATATACACTTTTAGTCAGATCTGAGAGGCTGGACATTTTACTTCACTACAAAATGAGACATCATGAAAGAAAGGACTCATGTTACTTCTTTATATTTTCAAATTAAAAACATTGATAATGTAGAGAATGAAAATGTCCAGTCTACTTGTACAGCGGATTTATTTTGTGCAACGTAAAAGCCCGAAATGGAAACAAAAAGTCTTTTGTTATAAAACAAACACATTGTTGAGGGCATGGCATCGTTAACGATTACTAGAAAAATGTATAATGCAAGTACCTGGGCTTTACCATTTTTTGAATTTGAGGGTCTCGGGGAGTTATGGTTTAATTTACAATTTACTTTTATTATGATGCCCAGCAACAACAAAACAAGTCTTTCAACATGTTCAACTGGTCTCAAGTCTCTCAATTGGTATCTCAATTGCACTTTTGCATTTGTCCTCAAATACGTTTAATGGCTCTTGGGTTGGCACTGCTTGCATTAAGAACCTATTGCAAAGAATGAATGAAAAAGAACAGAAATAGTTAAAAAAAAACACAATCAATTTCACAAAGTCACGGCCAGCTCTTTAAATCAAGATGCGTAGCATTTTTATTGTTTTTTGTTTAATTTCCTGTAGGCAACGTTTTGCAGACATCTGTAGTCGACAAGTAGACTCGCGAGGGATGGTGGTTATGCAGGATGTTGCCATTGTCAAGTCAGAGTTCAAGGAAGGAGAGCAAGCCGTCACTAAGATCCAAGAGTACCAGAATGATCCTGTGCTATTTGAGTACTGTCGCTTGCCAGAGGTACGTACATGTACATGTATGTTCACTAGAGAACTTACCCATAAGGCAAAAAAAAAAAATATTCAGTCTTTGGTCAGACCAAAGTTCCGGAATTGACGCGGCGATGCGGCTGTTTTTTTATGCCCCGCGGCGAAGCCGAAGGGGCATACTGTTTCCGCCTTGTCCTTCCGTGGGTGGGTGTGTGGGTGGGTGGGTGGGTGTGTGGGTGGGTGGGTGTGTGTGTCCGGACAAATCTTGTCAGCGCGATAACTTGAGAAATACTTAACATATGAATTTCAAATTTGGTTTGTGGATTGTCCTTGGTAATCCTAAGAAGCCTTTTGCATTTGGGGCCGAAGTTAAGGGTCAAGGTCACAGTGGCTGAAACAATAGAAATTTTGTCAGCGCTATAACTTGAGAAATACTTAACATATGAACTTCAAATTTGGTTTGTGGATTGTCCTTGGTAATCCCAAGAAGCCTTTTGCATTTGGGGCCGAAAGGTCAAGGTCACATTGGCTGAAACAATAGAAATTTTGTCAGCGCGATAACTTGAGAAATACTTTACTTCAAATTTGGTTTGTGGATTGTCCTTGGCAATTCTAAGAAGCCTTTTGCATTTGGGGCCAAAAGGTCAAGGGTCAAGGTCACAGTGACTAAAACAAAAGACATTTTGTCAGCGCGATAACTTGAGAAATACTTTACATATGAACTTCAAATTTGGTTTGTGTATTGTTCTTGGTAATCCTAAGAAGCCTATTGCATTTGGGGCCGAAAGGTCAAGGGTCAAGGTCACAGTGGCTGAAACAATAGAAATTTTGTCAGCGCGATAACTTGAGATATACTTTACATATGAACTTCAAATTTGGTTTGTGGATTGTCCTTGGCAATCCTAACAAGCCTTTTGCATTTGGGACCAAAAGGTCAAGGGTCAAGGTCACAGTGGCAAAAACAAAAGAAATTTTGTCAGCGTGATAACTTGAGATATACTTTACATATGAACTTCAAATTTGGTTTGTGGATTGTCCTTGGCAATCCTAAGGAGCCTATCGCATTGGGGGTCGAAAGGTCAAGGGTCAAGGTCACAGTGGCTAAAACAATAGAAATCTTGTATTTATTCTGAGATCATAGGGATTAGGGATTAATTCATATAAAACCTACAGAAGACACTAATGCTGTCAATGAATGTTCCATGTGACCAAGGTACATGTAAGTTGATGTTAGAGTGGTGTTATGTCATGGAAACAGTCACGGTTGCGGGGCATTTGTGTTTGTAAACACACCTGACTTGTTTTTTTTTTCCTTTCTTTTTTTTTTTTCTTTTCTTCAAGCTTGGATTGTACAGACAAGGTGGGGTACTATTTAGCTTTTTTGGTGTCCTCATGTACATTGGTGTCCTCCATATTTTGCCTTGGTGTTCTTGATCATTTGCCTTGGTGCAATTTCCCATTCCTTGGTGCTCTTTGGTAAAAAAAAAGGAGGAGGTGCGGCAATAGAGGGAGCTGTTGGAGCTACCGCGGAACATTTTGGGAAAAAAAAAAGATTGACGCGCATGATTAAAATCGATGCGCGCGCTGACCAGAGACCGACTTTTTTTGGGGGGGCCTAATATGAGAGTAGTATTCTTAATTTAATATTCTAGGACCTGTAGCACTCAATATCTTGAGTAGAATGTTTACAAAGTTGAACCAAAACCGATCTGAACCAAAACCAATCTGAACTCCCTAAAACTAACCCGTATTGGGTAACTGTGTCTGCTTTTTGCGCCTGGACTTACCTGTGTCGTGTGAAAATCGTCGTGTCTCAGTAACTGAGTCCTCCCGTACGGTACACACAACATGACCTTCATGTACGTGTACTGGTGGGCCTACATGTTATAGACCGTGCGTGATAGACCGCAAACAATTTTGGTAGTAACGGGCACAAAGACTAAATATTGCACCGTGTCAATTTCCCAACTGTTTCAGGTTTCCTTCGGTTTATTTAGGTTTATTTTGGGTTTTTCCAAAATGGCTTAACCGACCCGACCTGACCAGAAAATTGCAAACACGAGAACCAAAGCCGACCCGACCCAAGTTCCCGACTAAAATGATGACCCGAGGTCGGTTTCGGTTTCGGGTTAGCACAGCACTAGTGAGTAGTGAGTATTGAGAATGCACTTTTTTGGATTAAGGCTTATCAAAATATGTGTTGGATTTTTTCAAAAGGGTAACCGGTAACAACACTAGTAAATGTAGCCCATTTTTCTGGGTTTGTTATTTCTTCAGATCTTGAAGTATGTCGAGTGTTTCACTGGGCGTAACATCAAAGCGATGCATACTATGCTGATCAACAAGCCACCAGATCCTGGTAAATATGTAAATTGCTAATGTACAGCGTATACTGTGAGATATATCTTGTCATCTCACATCATACTTCCAATGATTGAAAAGTACATGCTGCCACATAGTGTGTGGTTTTCTTGTTTTTGCTTGCCTGTTTGTTGTGTTTTGCTCTTCGCAATCAACGTAAACATTGTGAGTGTTGCCCTTGCACATGTACATGTAGGTAGAGAAAAAACATGTACTTCCATCAGGTAAGTGTACCTTAGAACCCTCCTCTTGCTTAAGAGGTCACCAATGGTCAAAATTTTCTTTCTCACCTCCTGGCCTACTGTGTACAAACAAATTGGGGTCTTGACCAATATTGACCCAAGTCATAACCAGGCTGACAATGCATGTTTCCATAGGAGGGTTAGTGTAATTAAAATTGGAGCTCAGTGCCCTGTTGCTAATATCAAGGGAAGTGAATGGTTATTAGAAAGTGCCGGTACCAAGAAATGAGGAGACAAAAGGTGGGAAAAGAGTGAGGCTACATTTCAACTGAATGACCCACTTACTTCACAATGCCTGAATAAACCCCCGTCATCTGATTGGCGGGTCGTTGATCACATAATGTCATTGAATTATTCGTCCCAAGGCACAGCGCGGCCCGGCCCGGCCCATCTCAAAAACAGAAGTTCCAATCCACAGTAAGGAGAACTTCCATTGCAGGGTTACACTATTGGTGGTGTTTTCACACAGTTGTGATCGCGCCAGCTGATGCCTAAAGTCATAGTACCAGTTTACAAAGTTACCAATCAGACGACGAGGATTTATTCAGACATCGTATAAAACAAGTACGGAATGTTTCACATTCGTGCAATGGAAAGAATACTATCATTCAGTGACAGTTGGAATCATATCGTTCCACTGGGTGACATTCCAATTGTCACCTGTTGCAGTTATTTTTACCATCGCACTCAAACATACATGTTATTACCTATCGACCAGGAACCAAGTCCTCCCGTCATCCCATGCACCAGGACCTCTACTACTTCCCCTTCAGACCAGCTGAGCGTATCGTGTGTTCCTGGACAGCGATGGAGAGAGTAGATCGCTCTAACGGTTGCCTGGTGGTGCTACCTGGCACGCACAAGACTGAGTTACTGCAGCACGAGTACCCAAAGTGGGAGGTAGATTGGATTCTTGTACTGTCTTTTCTAGGCCTGTTTTTGAGTCTATGAACATTGAGTCTGAGTAACCATGTCTCTGGAACTAATCAAATGTGAGTGGTAAATTATACAGGTTGAGTCCAGTCCGAGTCATCGCTCCAAAGAGTAGACCATATCTGAGTGTTGAGTAATAAGCCTACAGTTTAAATGAAGCATGAGACAGTTGGAATCCCAAGTCATGAAATCGAGTCTGAGTCTTGCATGTTGAGTCCTGAGTAATAAGGCTGAAGTCTAGTCACCACTCTCGAAACGGAGTCCTGGGTCATAGGTCATACAGGTAGAGTTTGAGTTCAAGTCCTGAGTCATAAAGGAGAGTCCGAGTCTGAGAGCCACGCCTGAAAATAATGGACTGTTTAGAATTGAGTCATGCACGTTAATTCAGACTTCATGTCATGAATTTTATGGTTTCTGGTGAAGAGAGTGTAAACGTTTGCCTTTTTTTCCCTCAAGCATCTAATTCTATAGCTTTCTTCTGTCCATGTTTCTTCAGGGCGGTGTGAATAAGATGTATCACGGTATCCGTGACTATTCCCCTGATCACCCTCGCGTCCATCTCGTCATGGAGAAGGGCGACACTGTCTTCTTCCATCCACTCCTGATTCACGGCTCTGGGATGAACCGCACCCAAGGATTCAGAAAGGTATGTGTGTGACCTTCAAGCTCTAGATGGCATCAACTCATATGTCCTGTTTATTTAGATATGAGGCTTCACTTAGCCGCCGACCGCCCCACGCTTCCCGGGCAAGCCACCCACTTTGCTTCATGTGCGATGACTCTGCGATTAACTCGTTAACACACATTTTACATACCCTGTGTGGACATTGATTTTTTTTTTCTCGTGCAGTTATGAGAAATCACTTTTGAAAACGACATCTATGGAAACTGTTTTTTGACTCAATGTCGAAACAGCTGATCGTCTGCTAGCTTGCTGCTCCCACTCATGTGTGAAAACATGGTGAAAATAGCGTGGGTACCAACGATATAAGCGTTTCACACAGGATGTACCGTACGTACAAAGTCATATGGAAACGTCTATGGAAACTGTTTTTTGACTGATTAACAATTGTTGACTGCTGTGATGTGGGATATGACGTTTTTTGAACACCTGAGGGGCGCATAGCAACCCGAGGCGAGGCTGAGGGTGCTTTGAGCCCAGAGGTGGTTAAAAACGTCATTTCCCACATCACAGCGGTCAGCAATTGGTTTGTTATACCTCTGTCTAGGATTCTTTGGAATTTGATGTAAAAACCACGAACACAAACAGCAGTTAACACAACAATCATGACAATTGAATGTCAACTCACATGCATGTCGCGTGCTCAAAACAGCCGATCGTCTGCTAGTTCGCTTCTCCCACTCGTGTGAAAACATGGTGAAAATAGCGTGAGTACCAACGAAACAAGCGTTTTACACCGTACGTACCGTACGTGCAAAGTCATAGCACACTCCATATCACGTACGTGATCGATATCCCACAGGGAGTGTGCCATGACTTTTTCATGAAGTTAACACGTGATCTTTCTAGTCTGATGAAACCACAGTATTCAAGACAGTGGCATAACAAAAGCACTTATTACACTCTGCGCTGTAGAAGATCTGAAAAATATTTGGGTTTTGTTCGATATTTTTGTGGTAAATGGTAATTGATAAACATTATTTGTTAGTAGTGGATGTGCTCCTTATTGAAAATCAAACTTTATATTTATTTTCATTTTCTATTTGAGAAATTCGTGTACAGAAAACAGTTCTTTAATATGTCTTTATACCGGAGATCCCCATCCTTGCCTAGTTCTGTTGGAAATATTTTGTTTCGATACTTTCCCCCCCCCCCTTCTTCAGGCAATTTCCTGCCACTACGCAGCATCGGAGTGCCATTACATTGATGTGCAGGGGACCATCCAACAGAACATTGCCGATGAAGTGATCGCGATAGCCAAGAGGAAATTCGGCAGGGACGTGGACTTCAAATTTGAGGTGAACATTGACGGCATTTATACAAAACTCAAAACATTTTTAGTGGACGAGGCTAGAATACATGATAGTGTTAAGTTCCCCTTTTTTGATTCATTAACTTCCTTGCTCCGAGACACAAATTTTTCTGAACTCTACCTGTGATGAGCTCTGGAGATTGAGAACGGTGCCGTTCATCAGTATCCGTCCTATCAACAGTAAAATCACAAGTTGAGACCAGACAGGATGTAGAATAGCTTGTCACCTGACTGAAGACCTGGGCCAATTTCACGGCGCTGGGAAACACACAGATTTGCTTAGCACAAACAAAAGTCTGGCTTATAAAAAGCAGGTTACCAGCCAAAACTCCATGTGATGTATATTGTTCGTGATAAGTGTTCAGCTGTTGTTTGCTATAGCATGAAAATCACATGGAATTTTGGCTGGTAAACTGTGTTTACAAGCCAGGCTTTTTTGTGCTAGGCAAATTTGTTTGCCTAGCAGCGCCGTGAAATTGGGCCTGATGTACGACTTGTGATTGACTTTTATGACTTGTAATGGCTTGCTTACAAGTCTGGTGTCCTCATCTGGGGTATATTACCTCAACTCAAATCAAGTTCTTGATCCTTTTCTTTCACAGCATTTATTACATCTTTTGGGATTTAATGTTCAGTACTGATGCTCCTTGCCAGGGTCGCAAGGAATACAGGGACGTGTATGTATCCCCTCCCTCAAATGTATGTCACCCCCTCCCCCCCCCAAAAAAAAACCCCCTGATATCTGTAAATGCACTGAGTGTTCTTGTTATTCCCCCCATTGTAAATCTTACAAATGTTCCACTGCAGGATGCGTGGAGGTTGAAAGGTCGCTTGGTTCTTGGTCAGGATGTCAACTTGTAGTGACCTCATGAGGCCAGGAGGACACAGTGTGAGTTCCGCGAGACATCGACGACCGGAAGAAAGAAGTACTGAATCCAGTTGGCCAGGAACGAATCATTAAAGGGAAAATACAACATTTGCAAACATCAAAAAATAAAACTACCAAATCATTTTGATATACCTTGCTGGACTGTTAGTGAATGACAGTGTAAAGCATCCTGTAAAATCATGGCACCTGGTATACTGTCATTTTCAAGAAAAGTGGTATTTTTGTATCAATTTCCAACGCTGGTCGGCCGACCAGCATTGGAAAAAACTGGCTTTTTTTCAAATACTGGCCCCAATTGACCATCGCACTTGTTTGCAATCGATTTCACACCTATGAACGGGTACAAGCCAGCTAGACTGGTTCCCTGACCTTACAATTCCCCAATGTATGTAAACTGCTCTGTTTCTTCTTATATGGAGTCAGGGAACCAGACTACAGGAAAATGATTGTTTTTCTTGGTTTTTATAGCATTTTCGAACCCAAAACCTCAAAAAAGTCAGTGTAACTATATTTGCTATATATTTCCAACCCCCCAATTCTATCCATTTCTGAAAATTACAGCAAAAGCAAATGATGTATATTCCCTTTAAGTGTGGATGGTGTAGGTTTACATTCACGTTTGATGTGATCTGTAACATTTGATGACTAAGACAGCAAAATGTGTTACCTTCATGCTGATTTCAATCAAAAAAACAAAAAATTTGGTTCCCATGACATTGTGCACACACTTTGAATTTAAAAATGACATCAAATGTGCTCTTAAATGGACAATCTTTTTAAAGCCGAATTGTTTGCTGTCATGCTAGTTAACACTGTGCTTTCCAGCCAAGAATCAAGTGTGCAAAACATTATATTTTTTTAAGTTTTTTTTTTAAATACAAATCGCCCATCACAAGGTCAAAGGCCACTCGAGGTTTGGGCTACAGAGGAAAGTGTGGAAGAACCAGCCCCTCACACTGAAACAATATAATCTCTTCACACTATGAATAGGGATGGGATGGGTAACTAGTCCACTGCAAGGCGTTAATAACGCCTCTACCCATATTAGTGTCACTTTAAAAAAAAAAAATCTAACGAAATAATATTACGTATTTTAGTCCATATTCAATTTTAGCCCATATTGCTGAGAATAATCAAAATGTATGTCTTTTAATAAGAGCAATTGATAATATAGTGTGCAGCCTTAAGCCCACCATGGAGAGGCCATGTTTGTAACAACTTATGAGAAAGCAGTCAACAAATGTGATCATAATCGTTTTTCCTTTTGAACAAGGGCACGGGAATGATTACGTAATTAATGGCAGGATGATATATAAAGGAAGTGGGCTAAAAATTTGAAAAATGTTCCAAGGCAAAAAACGTTTGGTGACACACTGAATGGTGCCTGTTGCATCATCGCATGTTTTTGTCCCAATAATACGTGTTTGTTGCAAATTATGACCAAGGTTTATTGAAAAGCTCAAAAATACTTTTAAGCGTAGTGTTCATTTTAATTTTACCATGGTATGTATTCTAATTGAAAGCATTCATGATTGTATGGTGCATATGTTTTGAAAGTATGAACTGGGCAGCTGATGTGGCAAGGCATGTGGTGAATTGTTTGCAATAGTGGGATCATTTGCCCAATGCATCACAGATTATTTATGGGTATTTTAAACTTCTATTAAAAGATTTGATTTTTAAAATATGTTGGAATACATGTATGTACATAAATGAAGCTTAGGTACACATAGTTAATATGGGGTGTTCTTATCGTTGTAGGACATTGATACATTATACAAGGACAAAATGATACAAAATAAGTATTTTTTTAATTTCCTGTTTTGCATACATTTCACCTTTAATAAAAATACTAATGATTTTTTTTTTTTCACAGAACACCTGTGAATCACATCAGATTGATTTAGATACCGACCTCTGGAAAAAAAGTTATTTTGATGTAACAGCCGTTTCAGACTTTTGCTCGTGAATCGCCCTGAATTAAATAATCTAATTATTACACTCTGCACTAAGTACAGTGTTTGGAATGATTAGGAGCAACTACGACAGCAAGACATGGAGAGATCAACTCTTGCAGTCACTTGGAACAACTTTAGAGTCTACTCAATGCAAATTACTGTATAAAGTTTGATTGTCTGAGCCAAAGTTTAGTTAGGCAGACTAGAGGCATTAAATATCTTTTTCGGCGAGACTCTGGAATACCACCCTGAAACTAGTGTTGATCCACTGGGTTTAGAGATTATTCCCCAAATACAGCCAGTCCCTGACAAGCGCGATAAAGCCGCAGCGTCATGAATCAAATCCAGTCTTGAGAACATCGGCAGTGCTACCCAGGAAAATTCTGAGTGTACTCACGCGCTTGCATCAGTTTCAATACTGTGCACGTGACGTATGCTTGGAATTTCCTGGGTAGCGCTGCCAAAGTCGCAAAGACTGGATTTGATTCATCTTGTTGACAGCGACCTCAACTGCTGCTACAGTTTGACCACTTGCCAGGGACCGGATGTTTTAAGGGAATCAAAAACTTAATCCAGTAATGTACTAAGACTAGTCTGATACATTTGTTACAGCATTCTGCAGCATATTGAGCAATCTTCAGTTCTCAGTGATTCCCAAATCAACTCATTGTGACATTTGCTAAAACAATTCAGCAAATTAAAAAAATTAATCCATTTCAATTTTATCTAAATACTGACATGAATTTGAAACAAAAGAATGTGTTAAATTGTGACATTAACTATTATCCAAAGTTGAAAAATAAATTATAATAGCAAGAACAATCTTTGATTTCTTGTCCTTTTTTAATTAAAAAAAATGGCCTCTGCGGAGTGTAATTTTGTTCATTCAATTACATTGAAAAATTACAAAGTTATATAACTGCAAAAACAACCAGAAGTATATGTATAGGGTTCTAGCCTTTTGACAAGGCCCTTGTTACTTGTGCCAGTTGTTCCGAATAGTAAAGCCGCAATTCAACTGCAAAGGAGACTACACATGCCAAGTGAGATGTGTCATTCAGTCTGTACTTTCACTGTGAACGGCTAACAAAAGAAAAATGGTGCGCTAACAATGAACATCCCTTGTTACTTGGGATTATATCCATTGATACTTGTTCACAGTGTATGTACTATCAGCCTATACTAATTAATCTGTACTATCTTTGCTCCATTCAACTATGTTGCTCGCCATGAGCGAAAATAACTTTGCCGAAAGTCTAATATGACCAATATAGTCGTTTTCACGACTAGTTTAACTATCCTGTCATCCAGTTTTATCACCAAACTCCGTCAAAATGATGCTCAAGGCGCTTTACGCTGAATAAATATTAGCAATAAACTAAAAACCTCTAAAATTTGTTAGAATAAAAAATACATTCATGTTACTTTTAAAAAACTATGAGATTAATACAAAATTAAAATGGGGGGGGGGGGGCCCTCTCCCCCCCCCCCCCACTCCGTCAAAATGATGCTCAAGGCGCTTTACGCTGAATAAATATTAGCAATAAACTAAAAACCTCTAAAATTTGTTAGAATAAAAAATACATTCATGTTACTTTTAAAAAACTATGAGATTAATGCAAAATTAAAATGGGGGGGGGGGGGAGGGCTCTCACAAGTGAAAAATGGCCGGGGGCGTAGCGCCCCCTCCGCACCCCCTAGATCCGCCACTGACTGTATGGCTGAATTAGGTATTTTGTTGTAAGATTTTAGGCTTTGCATGGTGGAGTATCTGTATTGTTCTGTTTGCGGTAACACCATGTGGTAATAACTACTGTCGCTCAGTAGATATTTAGTTCTGATAAGATTCTCCTGCTTGTCCTGCTTATTATCATCTTTCGCTAAGTAGGTTTTAGTTCTGATAAGAACAGTCACAGGCCTGCTTAGTTCTAAAAGAACTTGTCTTTGGTCTTGGTTTTTTGTCCTTAATATTTCCTTGAACGATTGATAGCCCTGAAATGTTAGTTCTGTAAAACTCAAACTGTTACACAAAGCTTAAAACATAAAGTGTAATTTGACATTAAATACCCAAACCAAAAGAGCAACACAATTACTACAGATAATTTTTTTTTAAATGGTTAGGCTTTGATACACAAGCAAGAAATATAATATAAAAAATAACTGCTACAGCTAAACATTTGTAATATCTCCAAATTATAGATGTTTTTATTAAGACTGGTTTATACTTAACGTAAATGCGAATGCGAGAAATATTGGACATCAGAAACATTTGCTGCAAAATTCGCCGGAGTTGAAATGTGCTCAACTTTTGCAAAAGCATATAGCAAAAGCTTGGCGAGATGTCACAAGTTCGCGTTCGCTTTCGTGCCGAGTATGAACTGGCCTTTACATTACTTTCAGTTAAACTAGCTTCACTGCTTAATCAATATTTTAAAAAATCGATTGAATTGGTTAGAATTTCAATTAATAGTGGATTTTGCCCTTCTGCGCCATATTGTCATAAACACTACATCAGTGTTGTCCGAGGGACAACACTTGTGAGAAAAAAACGTCACAAGCTTATTTGGGTAGGATTTGAACCCACGACCTCCTGCTTACTACTGCAGATGTCTTACCACTCGACCACTGAGCTTGCCAGGGTCAGCTGGCCAGTCCAAGGGCAAAACCCAACAAATTCCATTATTAATACAAAACGTTCATTTTTAATGAGCTTAATTCATTTACTTCTCGTATTTTTTTCATTGTCTTTTCATTACTCTGTCATCCTATCGTGCTGGCAAGCTTGGTTCAAGTTAATTGTTCACAAAGGTTTTTTTGGTGTTTTTTTAAGTAAACGGAAACCCATTACTTACTATCAATATCTAGATGTTTTCGCTCAAAAATACTCTCGTAAAAAATGCAATTTTCAGCCAAGCATCATTTTCTACAAGGTTTAACAAAAAGCCATGTTCTCTTAAGAAAGGCTCAATGACTATTTTCAGTTGCTGGTTATGATGAGAGAAAATTTCTGTTGTGTTGTCCATTTACATTTTATAATGAACTTGCAAATTGGCCAGCAAGACTTTTCAAGAAGTTGCAAGCATGATTTCAGAAAACAAAATTGGAAGGAATTTATGGGATTTTTTTTGGAGATACGAAATATGTGCTTGACCAATTCTATATTCTTTGACAAAATTTAAATAAACCATTTGGAGAGTTCTCAACATTATTTGAAATTATCAGGACAGAAGGAGTATAAGTAGGTGGTGCTATCTTATTTCGGTTTATCCCCAATCATGCCGACAAGTAGATACCTCAGTCGAAACGTCTTGTGGGTGCAAACTAAATCCTGGCTTCGAGTTACACGGAACTTGACGATGGATGTGGTACACTCACAATAGCCTCTTGACCCGTTGCCACATAAGGTCGCATGAATGTGGAGGATCCTGGGTTATCCCGAACCTGAGAGCACAATAAATAACAAACATTATTGCAATACATCCTGTCTGCTTATGCTTATGATGTGAGATAACATGCATGCAGTTTCTCTATGTTATTAGCTTGTTGCCCATAATTATGGGCATCAAGAAGGGAATTTTATAATCTAAGATCAGAAGTGATGGTCACTTTTTTCTTAAGGGTACGTGAGTTTACAACTCAAAGAATAAATGAGCTTGTGACCAGCTTAAGTCTTAAGTCGCTCTGGTCATGTCTCCAGTTACTATGGCCAAGTCTCAAGTCGCTCCGGTCAAGTCTCAAGTCACTCTGGTCAAAGTCTCAAGTACTTCTGGTGTGATTCGAAGTCTCAAGTTACTCTGGTCAAGTCTCAAGTCACTCTGGTCAAGTCTCAAGTTACTATGGTCAAGTCTCAAGGTGCTTCGGTCAAGTCTCATGTCACTCTGGTCAAAGTCTCAAGTAAATCTGGTGTGATTCGAAGTCTCAAGTCACTCTGGTCAAGTCTCAAGTCATTTTGGTCAAGTCTCAAGTCACTCCGGTCAAAGTCTACACTCACTCCGGTCAAGTCTCAAGTCACTCTGGTCAAGTCAACAGTCACCCTGGTCAATTTCAAGTCTGTGGTCAATCTCAAGTCACTCTGGTCAAGGCTCAAGTCACTCCGGTCAAGTCTCTGATCAGTCTCAAGTCACGCCGGTCAAGTCTCAAGTCACTCTGATCAAGTCTCAAGCCACTCTGGTCAGGTCAAGTCTCAAGTCACTCTGGTCAAGTCTCCAGTCACTCTGGTCAAGTCTCAAGTCACTCCAGTCAATCTCAAGTCACTCTGGTCAAGTCTCAAGTCACTCTGGTCAAGTCACCAGTCACTCTAGTCAAGTCTCAAGTCACTCCCGTCAGGACTCAAGTCACTCCGGCCATTTTAGTCTCCAGTCACTCTGTTCAAGTCACCATTCACCCTGGTCAAGTCTCCAGTCACTCTGGTCAACCTCAAGTCACTCTGGTCAAGGCTCAAGTCACTCCGATCAAGTCTACAGTCACTCTGATCAGTCTCAAGTCACGCCGGTCAAGTCTCAAGTCACTTTGATCAAGTCTCAAGCCACTCTAGTCAGGTCAAGTTTCAAGTCACTCTGGTCAAGTCTGAAGTCACTCTGGTCAAGTCTCCATTCACCCTGGTCAAGTCTCCAGACACTAGGCTGTCAAGTCTCTCCAGACAAGTCTCACGTCGCTCCGGCCAAGTCTCAAGTCTCTCCGGTCAGTTCTAAAGTTGCTCTGGTCATGTCAATTAAAAGTACTCTGGTCAAGTCACAAAGGCATTGTGATCAATTCTGTTAAGTTCAGTTTCATGTCACTTCCTGGTCAAGTTCTAAATCCCTTCAACTGCAACCCAAACCGGCGTGTCAAGTCCTAACCAACTGGTTCTCATCACCCAGAGAGGAGTTCAATTTGAAAGAAAGTCAGATTACCAATTGAATAACCAGCGAGGTTTGCAATGATTAACTATACTACTCAGCTGAGGACAAAAAATGAATCAGTTTTTTTAAGGTCACTGTGTGTGAATATTTCAAGTTCCCATACAAAATACAAATCCCTCTGTATCACTTAAAAACAAATGTACTCACATTTTCTGTGAGGCTGTGATTGCCACCACGAGAATACACACTCCTTGAAAGCGAGGCAAAGCTTATTGGGTAACTGCCTTTAGGGTAGCATGGGGGCTCCGTGGCCGATGATGACTGCTGTAGAGGCACAGGCCATGACGTCGTCGGGAACGAGTAACGCTGCTGGACATCACGAGTGTGTGGATGCTTGGGTTGCTCCTTATCAAGACGTTTGCAGAGGAAGATGCAGCACGAGATGAACAGACCAGTCAGGATTAGGAACAGTGCCACGGCAACTGCTATCATGGCAATGGCCAGTGGTGACCAAGCATCCATGATCTCACAGCGGTTGCCGGAGTACAAACTCTCACATCTGCAGTAAGATGAGGGGGAAGCCATAGTCTATTTAGCTTGGGATGACCATTTGTCTCGCTCTTTATGTTACCAAAAAACTCCACCCCCCCCCCCAAAAAAAGGGGAACAAAATAAAAGCTTGATCACATCAAATCCTCAGTGCCCTCTCCAAGCCATCCAAAACCCAACTCCAACCACAAGCAACTGCAACACAAACACTAACCAAACCAAATAGATTATAGAAACAACATAAAATTAAATTTCCCATCAATCCTCATCCAAAAATCCTTTTTCGAAACTGTCCATAAAACCCCAACTGACTTACGTGCAGGTGTTTTCGTAAGTGATAGGATCTGGTGAGCATCTGCCGCCATTCTTACAGAAGCCGGAAGGGCAAATGTCTGTGGAAAAAAAATGATTTAAAACAATTCACCATTACATTTCCCGAAAAAAGGTTTGTCTTATAAATTTCACGGTATGAAAACAACTTGTTTATGACCAAATAAGAGTTACAATACGTTGGTGAAGGGCAAAACTCTACATTTGAATTCAGAAAGGTTGTGTTTGTTGCTGCAAAGATTTCGGGTTATATAATCAAACATTTGAAAGGATTGCTGGCATTTTCGGTTGGATATCAGGTACCAAGGTATCAGGTTCCAGTGTTGGAGCAAAGGCTTTAACCTTAAAGGCCAAGGCCAAGGCTTTGACCCTCAAGGCCAAGGCCAAGGCTTTGACCCTCAAGCCTCGAGGCCAAGGCCAAGGCTTAACCCTCAAGGCCAAGGCCAAGGCCAAGGCCCTGTTTTATGAAATGACCACTGATATAGAACTAATTATAGTCACATGAGTGACACATCATCACGCAAGGGCGGATCCAGAACACAATGTGGGGGGGGGGGGCAAAGAAATTTTGGTCCCCCCAAAAAAAGTGGGTCAAAAAATTACGGCTTGGGCTTCGGGGCCCGCTTAAGGGCCCCGAAATTTTTTTAGATTTGAGATGCTCTGTGGTGCGATTTGAGGCAATTTCTGACCATTTTAACCGATGTTTTTTGAGGAAAAGATGGTGGTGTACTATCATTGCCTGCCTTTATTACGACGTCACATAAAAAAAAATGGTTTCGTTTTTTTTTTGGGGGGGGGGGTGCATGGGCCCTTTTGGCCCCCCTGGATCCGCCCTTATCATCACGAATTGCTCGTTACGAAGAACAACATTTCTTTAATTGCAATCAACATGCTCGCATAGGCCTACGCCGTTTTATGACTGCACTGTATCTATTAAAGTATAAGTTCATGTCTTCAATATTGTTTAACTAAACAAAATAATGATTTACTTCTATATTGACACACAATTCTCCCAAGTGTAACAAAAGGGGGATCCAAGAAACTGATTTGGGAAATTTTTATTTGCTGGCCCAACATGGTCAGAAATATCAGCATTATCTAAAACAGATAAATGCAAATCTTTAGCACTTATCAGGGAGACATATACAACCAATCAGATCTATTCCATATGCAATTAAAGTGATCATCTCATTAGCCCCACAAGTATACGGAATATTGTTGCATCAAATCTACTACAATGGTAACAAAATGTGATGCTACAAAAGTGGAAGTGTGCCCAACACACAAATCTACAGGGTGCTTCCCTCCTCCATGGTAATACGATTAAAATGGTAACAGCAAAATTTCGAACAGATTTATCTGGAAAATGCAAAAATCTATGGGCCTTGAAGAGCCTTGACTCAAAATTGCAAGGCCCTGAATCATCAAGGCCAAGGCCAAGGCCAAGGCTTTTGCCCTCAAGCCTCGAGGCCAAGGCCAAGGCCCTAAAATCCAGCCTTAAGGCAGCCTTAAGGCCAAGGCCCAGCATCAAGGCCCAACATCACTGTCAGGTTCCAAGGTATCAGTCCCAGCTCTACAGTAAAGTGTTACTTACGGCTAGCGATGGTCAGTGATGACAGTCTGATGTAAAGGGCACTGCTTCCAATCTCCCCGTCCGCTGAGACACTGCTACTCATCTGCCTGGTAACTGCGTCCTCATTCATGCTGGTGTCCTCAGTGAAGACAAGGACGTATCGGATCATGATGCTGCCGCTAGACATGCCGAGGACACGAGATCCGACGTATGAGCTCTCATCTGAGAAGATACTGTCCAGCTATAGGAAAGTAAACAAGAAAGTAATCACTTATAGTAGGATGCAGGCAAGAAAAGTCAAATTTTTGGGAGGGAAAAGATTATAAAAACCAGAAAATTGTGGCGTTACAATGTTTGGGATATAATAGGAGGTCATTTTTAAGTTTTCTAAAGTTGTTGATATTCTGGCTGTTTTCTTGAAAGAAACGTTTATAGGAACGATATGCAACATGCAGAGGGAAAAAATGGCTGAGATAAACTGTACCGATGCAAAGTTTTCTCTGAATTTAATCTATACAATTTACAGATGAACCTTATTCCATTCCATTGACATTGAAAGTTAAGCAAAAACTATGTGCTTTGTTGTGAATACAAAAACACAATGAAGCATTGTCTTACCACACTAGTGACATCTCCAACTAATCTCTCGTATCGGTCTGATGTTGGATCTTCCAGATCTGGGGTAAATCTTGCCTCTGAGCTGCCAATGCGGGTGATGGCAAAAGTCCCACTGAACTCAGATGTTGCTGAAACAAAGCCAATATGATTTGTACACAAACGTTTCACTTGGGACACGACAAAATGACAAATTTACGAAGTGACGGTTCATCTATGGACTTTGTGCAACCGTCCACGATACGTCACTTTGTTGTATGACAACTGCCAGGGATAGGTCACGTTGTGGTGCGATCGATGATTTGAACAGAGACGTCTGCAGAGAAGAGACATTTGGGAACTGAAGACAGAGAACCCTTAAAGACCTTAATGACCACAAATTCAATGATTTAACTAGCAGTGTTTAGCCTCATCAGCATTAGAGTTGTAGTCATCACAAGCGAGCTAGTCTTGATTTAAATTAATACAAGGTATTGGAAAGAAACGAAACAAAGGCATTCCTTATTTATCCCTCACCAAACTACTGTCTTGTGATTGAATGTATAACTTCAGATTGCTTTGTCTCTGCTTACTGTAGCAGAGGAATTAGCAAATTTAAAGGGTGAGCGAGAAAACTTTGTTGGTGCGTACTTCCAGTAAATAAGGATTCTATGTTTACAGGTTTAGTGCATAACGTTTTTGCTAGTCGCGCTAGCAAAACATTGCGATCGCAAGCGCGACATTTTGTGGTTAGCAGAGCCATATGAAATTGGGCCCATGACATTCATTCTTGATTCAGGTTTCTTACCCATACACGTGTCTCCAACAAGAAAGAAGCCAGCAGGACATCCGCACAAGAAGCTGCCTTGAAGATTGATGCAGACGCGGTCGCTGGCACACGGATTATTCTCAATACACTCATTGACGTCTGGTAAACAAAACCGAGATATACACATGTAAAATCAAGGATTATGACCAAAAATAATTAAGCACTTCATACTCAGCGCCATGTCAGCTAATGTAAATGGGAGTTTGTGACATTCGTTGATGGCGAGAATTCACACATTAAACACATTTCAAATCTGGCTCATTTCACTGTAAAGTACATGACACTTTACATTTGTCAACGGAGCATGTATGGGCCCTCTTTTTGTTTGGAATGAATTACCTTAATTGATGGAATTCAAACGAAAAACTCAAACGCAATTTCCAGCCAGCACAATTTAAGCCAGTATAATGATTGAATGTATGCAAAGAGTTAAGAAGTAAAAACAAAAGCAATTTACAGTCCATATTAGAGGCATATAGTATAATTTGCTTGTCACACATTTTATTCGTTTTCAATAATAACACTACAAACAGTAGAATGTGCAAACCCTAACCTGTGGAAATTTCAGCTCAGTTAAAAACCATGCACAAGCTTTAATATGCATGATTTGTGAGTAGGAACTTTCCAACGATCAGTCAATTAACCAATGTTTGGAAATCACATATAATTCTTGATTTCATCTATAAAATGACAGCAAGCTGAACGGAATAATTTAATTGACGGGGTGTTGAGTACCAGGACTTACGATCTTCAATCCGAATAAGTTTTTCGATAATAATTCGCTAGATTAATTTCGAGATAAATGCAAATGTAACATACCTTTAACTGCCCGACACACAAACCACAGCAATATTGGATCAATGACATTTATTTACATGTACCTGTTTCACAATAGTCCCCTGTCCAGAATGATGTACACATGCAGATGAAGGAGCTACCTTGCGGGACACAACTACCTCCATTCTCACACAGCGTCTGTTGACACTCGGTAAAACCTGGTCGTATGAAAAACCACACACGAATACATTGTAGCTCAAATAATCAAGTTGGTACTGACTAGTCTGTGGAAAATCAGATAATGTATACAAACGGATCGACAGTAAAAATATATATATATTATAATTGAGGTATAGAAATGGTTGCAAATCGAAGGGCATAATCACAGAGGTAGCAGCAACAGAGAGCATTGATACAAATGATACCAACAGGTTATTGGTTCATCTGTGTTCCCAAGGAAATTTCAATCCAGGAGCATTTTTTTTTCTGTGTAAAAACCTGAAATTGTGGTCCTGATTTTGGTTCACCTAGGATATCTGTTTCCCGGCACCAGTCTAGGAGGGTTTGACGGTCGGGGATTAAAACGACAAAATTCGGCAAAACTTCATGATCTCGGACTTAGCAAGCCAATCTAAAAAACCCAATGGGTAAAGTTTAAATGTGGATAACGAAAATGAAGATCACTGAGTGTGCTGTCTCCCTGATTGACAACCAGGCCTGGGGCAACATTTGACCATAATGCACAGGAACTACAGCTCAGAAGCCTGCAGAGATGACGATAAACTCATTTGGGAGAAAAACCCAAAGACTTAATTTTTTAAAGGAAAACGTGTGGAATTAGGCTGGGACTGAAAACCCCAATCCACTTGCCGGTATGAACGGGATTCGAACTAGGGTCACAGAAGTGGACGGAAAGCATCACCACGTCATCAACTTGACTATTCCATGACAGCTAGTGTACTTACTCAGCATGAATGTGCCAGGTCTGATCTCATTCCCAGTCTCAAATTGGTTCTCAACTGGTCCAACGGCGGCATAGAACGCTTCTGTTATCTGCGTATCATTGGGGGCAGGGGAACCAGTGAAGAAAATGTCAAACTCAATGAGGGCTTTGTCACTGGTTTCTACTGAGCTCCCAGTGAGGGTGATGCCAGCAAAGTCACTGCTGACTGAACTCCTCCGGAAAAGTGCATCCATCTGAGAGGGGGATAAGACGGGAATTTGAAGTATTAGAAACTCAACAAGCAAGATTTATTTAAGTCTAATTAAACACACACTATTAATCGAGGAGACTAATAGCAATTTTCATATTCTCTCCATTATAATATCCCATACCGAGGCATCAATACTTACATCATCCCTTAAAGTAGCAAGTCTCATTGCCACATCGCTGGAAGTAAATGGGCTGACCATGGAACCAATACTGATAAACTCAACACTACCAACAGTCTCGTACGTTGCTGTCATAAAAAGTCAGAAAATATTTTTTCTTAATTCTCTATGTTCTTCATAGAATAATTTTGTACATCTTTAGGTAGGCATAAAAGAATAGTTGTCCGCACTGCATGAATACTACATTCAATCCCAGATTCACACCATCTTCAATCTTACTGTTATTCATTCAAGTATTAGGCTTGACTGGTGATCACGATGTAAATGTGAAATTTCAAAAGTATGTATCTCTAGTCCTCAATTATACAGTTAGATAGAACGGGAAAAAAACAAATAAAGAAAAATTAAATTTAAGTTAAATTTTCATCAAAAGGTTTATTTTGTTTGTGGTTCTGCAATCACAACTTTTTCGAATCAAATTTGTCAAAGGAAATGTTAAAGTATCTAGAAATCTCGAAATCAGTAGGAAAATAACATTTGAAACAGAATTTGTTACCAAGACAGAAATGACAAACTTACGGAGTGTTTCTTGCACAATCACGGAAAAAGAGCAAGTGTCCATGTTACCAAAAGAGTCTGTTGCTGCGTACGTGACACGGGTGGAACCAGACTCAAAGGTATCCCCAGGGTCCTTAGTAGACGTCAGGGTAAAGTTACTTGTGTCATTTGCCGTTGGAGGTGTCCAGTACACGGCAGCTACGTCGGTCGTGGACAGAACACAGACGGTTTGGTCGGATGGACAGCCAATGATGACAGGGTCGCCGCGATCTATGAATATACATCAGAAGTTTCTCATGAGGCCGAGCATAGTCCATGTTTTGTAAGGTACACATCATAACAATCAAAAGTGGCATGCCATCAATGCTTTTAAACAATTGTTTTTGTCGCTGTGAGCTTAAATATCATAGTGTCAGAGGGGGCATCATCAGTAGGAATTATTTTAAGGTAGATCACTGAACGCTCTCCAAAGATGCCCCCTACCCATAGGATTTTTTTTAAATTTGACCCTCTAAAATGACTCTGAGGCAACCTCAATGGATATTTCGAAGTCACACTTTGTTCGATCATTTATAAATCGTTTACCTTGGACAGTAATGACAAAGACACACTCTGCAGACTGACCAGCCGAGTCGTAGGCTGTGTAAGTGATGGTGGTGTCACCGATTGGGAACTGATGCCCAGGCGCGTGACTGCCAAACAGCGAAGGGTTGCTGCGATCATCAGTGGGGCTGGGGTAGGAGAAGCCGACTGTGGCGTAGGACTGGCCAGGATCGGTGGACACGGAGGTGCTAGGAGGACAAGAGGTGAACTCTGGAGGGGCGTCGTCTGGGAAAACAACCACAAAATCACATTGTACATACTGACATCCAGCGCCAACATGACAGGCGTTAATAGCTCTGGGAACTCAGGAACAAGGGCGAGGCTTGGTTGTTGTAAGATAAAACTGGTTCAGATGACCCTTTGGTTGGTTAGTAATCACACACGATGAAATCACTGCCAAAGTCGCCAACACTCTCAATCAATGATGAATAATCAAAATTGTTTTTGTTGGCAACTGCCGCAACACCCTCCAGGATCGATCATTAGATGCAGAAATACGAACTCCTTAAGAATCACGGTCATACACACATAATATTGCATACAAGTGTTCAATGAGTTACATATTGGTATTGGATTCCGCCAGAAATTGGTTGTAATAGCTTTGCTGTGTGACTTTGCTGTGTGACTTTACGACCTTCTGCTTCTACTTGGCTTTGTGGTACCTAAGAACTCTGAAAACAGTTCAACGCTGTGCATAATAGCCATAAAGACCAGTTATTACAGACATCTCATTTTAATTTTGTTCCAACAAATAAAACAATGTTCACTCATGCCTATCCACGCGATATAAAACCATTGCCTTCTTACTCGGCCTTTTCGAATAAAATCTGCTGTCAAAATTGCAATGTTTTGGACACAAGTGTACTTATATTGAAAACAGCTGAAGTAAGGTTTCCTATACATGATGTCATAAGTTAATATCAAATTTTTCAATTTTCAAAGTAATGGCGTGATGCGTGCAGACGTTTTGTCGGAGTATAAGGATCCTGATCCAGACTCAGAATCTTAATTATCAGGCAGTAATGCTGAATGTGGGCCCACAGCTAAATTCATTCTTGGAAATGCAGTCTCCAAATTATAAACTCGGTAAGGAACCAAAATACCTCAAGACTTGCCGAAATTGCATCAGTCATCATGAGTACGGTAACAAATCAATTTCCTATTTTCTATAGTCCAAGCCTACATAGATGAAAATAAAAATAGGCATCACAAAAATAAGAACAGGCATCACTTACTTTCGATAATAATTTCAAATTGGCAAAGGGCTGTGTTTCCGCTTGGATCCGTGACTTATAGAAGACCTCATACGTTCCAACATTCAATGTTTCTCCTGGCGTGTGGTTCTCGTTGGCTAGGAGCGTGTACTCTCCTGAATTGTCTCTGGCTGTGGGCGGAGTCCACATGATGATTATTGGGGCGTTGTCTAAGGTGATCTTGTTAATGTCTGCAGGACAGCCCTGGATCACTGGATCTTCTTGATCTGAAAAGTAAAAGAAAACAAACTTTTGAGTGAGAGAGAGATGTTTCATATGGACCGTGGGGCACTTTTCAGTTGTGCTGTTCCGGTCCAAACTCCACAAAGTAACGTGGGTTCAAATTGTATGGGAGGCACTGACAGGGGCCTCATTTTCTGGAGGGGGCACTCAATACAAGTTTAGCAATGAAAACCTCATTTTGCATTCCCCGCCCATGCCCCCCTTGGTTACGTCGCTGCCAAAATCTGCATGAAAACAATATATCTCTAGCATGAAGTCCAAAATTATTCATGAGTAACAATTTTTGTGCATAGTACATAAATAAAATGAAATTTGGTCTTTCATTCAAACATTCATTTTTCTTTTGCAATTCCTTGTAAGGGAGAAACTAATTTCGTAGAAATTTTTTCAGTGGAGTATGGATATACTGGCTTTAATGTGTGATGAATCATTTATAAATCAAAAGCATTCTGCTAATGCCCCCAAAAGGATTGAAAGGTTTATTGTTCAATTGTTTTAGTAAAACAATATCGCAAGTTGAGTACGTACCTAGCACAGTGATGTTGAATTCACAAGTTGCAGTCTGTCCGATGGAGTCCGTTGCCACGTACGTGACCATCCACATTCCCATAGTGAACTGCCTGCCTGGCGTGTAGCCATTCATCTCAATGACAATAGGTATGCTGTCATCATCCTGGGCCTGTGGTACAGTCCATGTAACCACAGCATAGCTTTGTCCCATTGTGGTGTTGGTCACAACGTTGGACGGGCAAGACGTAAAGAACGGGGCTGCGTGTCCTGAATTCATTAAATACAAACAGTCACCTTTTATAAAGTCAATTTACAAGTAACTTAATGCCAAAATAGGCTTTAAAAATGAAATTAAAATCTTTAACATGAAATTTAAACTTTGGGACAAGAAAGATGGGCAACCAATACAATGACTGAAAACTTAATACATGTACATCAAAAACGATTCAAGTAATTGAAAGAAGTGACAAAGGTTTTGAGACCTATTTTGAGAAACCTTTTTTACTTTTCTTTTCCAACATTCCGTTGTTTTTATTTTTATCAAAAAATGTGTTTCTGCATGCTGAGAAAGTGTGACGTCACCTCCTCCCCAGGTCAGGAGAACTTCCTCGACAACAGTTCACGTGTATTCCATAACAACAACTTTTATGTTCGTTTAATACAGGCGACCACAGACAGCAATATAACATCCTACTTTTAAAAGAACATTTTCATCAATTAGTACCTGAAAATTGTTCGCTGCCTTTCAGCAGATTTTCACCAAACCAGTTAATGCAACTACTGTCGTGCTTATTTTCGCTTCAAAGAGGAGAATCAACAGTCATAGCGATAGAATTCGACTCCGAGGAAGAGAATTAGATAAGTAAAAACAACAAAATTACATGTAAATATCTCAAAATCGTTTGTCAAATTTCGTATGTATCCATACTTTTTCCCGCTTCTTTTTAATCTATCAACCAATCACAGCAGCTTTTATATTTGAAATGGACAACTACCCCCTTATTGGTAAAGAAAAAAATAAGAGGAACTCTGACCGGCAGTTGAGAAACCTTTCAGCAGTGTACCCATATGCCCAGCGATATAAGTGGAGGGGGGGGGCGGAGCTGGATGTCACAGGGGGCGGGTGGAGGAGACGCCCAATGTCTGTTAAATCTGTTAATCATTGTCACTTATATAACTTACAAATTTCAAGGTGGGGGGGCGGCACTGGAAAGGTGACGATTGCCATGCCCCCTCACTACTCCCCCCCCCCCCCCACAGCTAGGCTGCTTCCCATTCTGCAGTTTTGTTCATATTCAAATCAAAAGCGCTCACGCATACTTCGCACCACATCCACGCACATGCATCCAGTCATATGGAGATACAGTGCAATTTACTGGTTCAGCACAGACTTCCATTAAAAGCTATTACCATATTTTGTCCATACCTGTAACAGTTACGAAGAAGTCACAACTAGCATTTCTTCCATCAGTGTCTGTAATGGTGTAAACGACCACAGTTTGTCCCACCTCAAAGCGGCTGTTATTGGCATGGGTGCTGCTAAGGTCTGCCAGCAAGCTGCTGTTATAGATCGGTGCGGGCCATGAAATCCTGGTACTATTCAAACCAGGGTCGGATGAGAGGATCACATCAGCTGGACAGGCTATCATGAGCATGTCCATGGCTGTAAAAGGATAAAAAAAAATAGTTATGTGATGCTGATATTGAGAATGGTGCCTTGTAAAATTAGACATCTGTCTTAAAGCACTTCACAATTATGACCCTAACCATCAGGTCATGACTGAGATCAATTTTTCTGCAGCCGCTTGAGATCAGAGATCAACATAATCTGTTCTCTACCCACACAGGTTCCCATTTTACTCCTGAGTGTAGAGAGGCAATTGAAGTAAAGTGTCTTGCCCAGGAACACAAACACCCAGATCACTGTCAGGATTCAAACCCATATACCCCTGTACGTGAGTTGGATACTGTAACCATTGGCCCACGGCAATCTGCAAATGTGGAGCTCAATAGACTCTTCATAAGATTTTCGGGAAGAAATTCGATGCTACTTGAGATATGTTTATTTATTTACTCATACAATGTCTTGGAACAGAAGGATTATGCTAAATGTAGATGGTCAACTATAGATTTAAGATGAAATATTGGATTGCTAAACTGTTCGGGGTGGGGAGGGGAAGGGGTAGGAAAATAACTTTATGTGATAAGGACTGATACTCACAAAAGACAATTATGTTGAATGAACAATTTGCTGAGTTTCCAGATGGATCGGTTGCCGTGTAGACAACAGGGCTTCTCCCAATTGGAAACTGTGCAGGCATTCGGGACGGCAACGAGACGTTGACGGATCCAGAGTTATCGGTGGCAACGGGGTCTGTCCAGTTGGCAAATGATGTGTTATTTGCTCTCGTGGCGATCACTTCCACGTCAGAGGGGCAGATGGAGAACTCGGGGAGCTCCTTGTCTGTCATCAAACGAAAGGAAACACTCGAGAGTGGGAAAAGACACCTTCTTGATACATTTAAAGAGTAGCTTTTTTTGCAAACATTCAAAAATAAAGTGGGACAAAGTCATGAAATATCCTACTTGATTGGAAGTAATAGGATAAAGCATCCTGTGAAATAAGAACGCCTATAGTATGCTGTGATTTTCAAGACATTTTCCAGAGGAATTACCGTCATCGCACTTTCAATGGAAACTTATTCTTTGCGTCGAAAAAAAGGAAGATGCCTTTTTAATGTTTTCTCAAAAGTATGATATATACTGAGCTAACATTTCGTAAAGTTATTGATAATAACCTGCTTCAGAGTTATTGTATTGTTGTTTCTAGAATCGGCAAAAATATTCTTTTTGCAAATGGTGTCCACTTCCTTAAATCCACTCCAATTTCAGATCTTGAACCTTCCATCACAAAACAGTTGAAGTAATCAGATCCCATCACTGTTAATTCAGTTTTACAATTCTCCCATGACATCTGATATACAGTCACCATTTCCATAACAGTAAAAACTCATTTCAAATGGCAGCAAACAAACAAACTTGCAATCCTCATTGTAAAATTGCCAGAACTTCAAACAAGCCTAAAACAATAATATTTTGGCATTGCAAAAACTGAAATTAACAAAAGCATTTATCACGCCAGAAAGAAGTTTTTGAGAAGGCAAGACAAATGAAAAACAGGCCATTAAAAATGTTTTTAAAACATATTAATGGATGTTCTGTTTTGATTACTACATCAGTGAAAATGTAGATGCCTACAATTGTGTGGCTTAATTAAGTTAGTCAAACAGTGCCGTCAACATTTTCTGTACGGTGAAGGCAAAAGTGATTGTACTCGACATTTTGCCTCTTTTGTCATTCTAGGGACCTCGCAAGATCAATGCAAAGTCAACACTGGACCACAACGGGCCAATAGTAAACTCACCAACCACTATGACCTCAAATTCACATCTTCCAATATTGTTGTTGGGATCTGCCACGACGTACGACACCGTTGTGGAACCAATGCTAAAGGAATCACCCGACCGACTGTTGCTGGTCGGCGATACCGCTGCACCGCCGTTGTCAATGGCAACCAGTGCATCCCACGTGACGATAGCCATATCACTTCCTGGGTCAGTCTCCACGGTAACGTTGTCTGGACAGTTTTGGAAGACTGGACCCTCCTCATCTGAGAGGGAGAAAAGGAACATCACATTCTGACATCTTGGTTCTGCAATTTCAGTGCTGTTTAAAGACTTCATTTTTGTCAGCTGTTTCAATTTTCAGCGACAAAACTGAAGTAATAATGAACACGTGCAGTATCCCAAGTTAATGAAAACATAACTATTTTTGAGTCAATGGTCAGCTTCAAGTGAATTAAATTTTTGGAATCAGGGTCTGCCGGAGATCATTTAAAACCATTTAAAGATGAAGCTTCTCATCATTCACCGAAACACCCCCCCCCACTTTGCAAACTTGCAACGGCCGGCCGGCACCAGTGGTCCTTTGCCCCCATCCAACCACTTTCAAAACTCACATTATAGGCATTCAGATGATGTCTAGAAAAGGTATTGCTCACTGCCTATGTTATTGGTTTAACAAAAACTGTATTTTATGATCTTACATAAATATAACCACATATTCTCACCGTTTATTGTAATAGTAAAAGTGCACGTGTTGTTGTTGCCTGCACTGTCGGCGACCCTGTACATCACATCCCTCGTACCCAGTGAGAAATTGTCATTAGGCTGGTGGGACGCTTCAAAGACAGTCACGTTGACATTGTCAACGGCTGTTGGAACGGTCCAACTGACAGAAGCTTCATCGCTACCAGCGTCTGTGGGGAACGTCATGTCACTGGGACAATCCACAAACATTGGGGCCTCATTATCTGTCAAGAGAAACCAAACATTTATCACAAAGTAGCAGTGTTACTCTTAGTCTTACGGTTCTTATAATTTCATTTTGTACAGGAAATTGCTGACCAGCAGACATATTACATGCATGCTACGGACTCCCGGATCGCAGAATGAACGGTAAATATACTGTGTGACCACTCACAAGGGCTACATCAATGTGTGCAACAATGTACCGACTCAGTGCACAAAACAATATACGGGACTTTGTGATCACTTTTGAAAGCCCCGGTGGGAGGGACACAGCGTGTGCTGCAATTATTTTAGAACTTCTACAGTAATTATTCCATAACTAAACGTGGGTGAGCTTTTTTTCCGTACGTCTCCCACAAAATGTAAACACTTTGGTACAGCTAGTAAAATACTGGTAGCATTTTAACAAAAAAATCTATTTTTTCGGGCTGAAAGTCGAAAATTGCACAGACAGTTAATCTTTAAGTAAGAGCGTCAGCATGCTCAGACATTAGAGATGGCGATGCAACTTGTACCTGTCACTTGAACATAGAAGCTGCAGTTGTCTTCATCAGTGTTCCCCGATGTGTCTGTGGCAGTATAGATCACCTGGGTCATACCAACCGGGAATGCAGTCCCCGATTCCTGGCTAGGAATCACAGATGCCACTTCAATGTTGTCCTGGGCCATGACTACCGACCATGAGACATTGGCTGTCGGCTTACTAGGGTCGGTGTTGGTGCTCACGTTTCCCGGACAACCGACAATGACAGGAGGTGACAGATCTGACATGGAAAGTGTTGAGAAAATAAATTATTAACATATTATTCATGTGACAATATTGGTTTAAGCCGACCCTTTTGCTTTCAAGAGGAAAGCCACTACCTGTCCTGCTACAGGCCTTTAACAGTGTTAAAGTGGTATTATACAACAGGTAATGATGAACAGAAAATTAACATTCAACAGAATATGATATGTCATCCCATATGAACTCGACCAGAGGTTCCATGGTGACCGACTTAAATGTAGTCATTCTTCCTATTGCAGACGGACTTGTCCACAAATAAAAGGAATGCAGCATCATAAAATATCTGCAACAGATCCTGGGCTGACATCAGGAGCCCCTTGAAAATTGAATGTTAGATTTTCGCCGATGACAAGATTAATATTTGAGGGGCCAATAACTCTGAAATGAGAAAAGATAGGCCAAGTTAGTCTGATGGCAGATTCTGCATGAAACCCTGGTGCTAGTTCACCGCGAGTAGCAGTTTCAGTACAAATCCCTGATTCATTTCCAATATATTGGCCTCTCAAACCCTATAAATTAACGTTCGCGACTCGTGAGTACAAAAAGTGTGCGTGGCACCCTATCGTTGGACGGCCGTATCTCAGAAACCCTTAGGAGTTGACACCTAACATTTTGCAGGTGTTCATAATACATAAAAAGGTACTGGAAGAATTGTCTTTGAGCCAAATCTAAGTCGATGGCCTTGGAAGATTTCTGGACTTTGGTTCAGTTCATATGGAATGACCCTGATATTTAATCCGGACTAGGATAAGTGGGACTATACAGCTGCTGTATGGTTATGAGATTAACAAACTCACCAAAGACAGTGACGTTAAAAACACATGCCACTGTGTTGCCTGCTTCATCTGTAGCATTGATAACGACTTCAGTGATGCCAAACGAAAACGCATCTCCAGGAAAGAACTGCTGCTCAAGAGTGAAGTTGCCTGCATTATCAGAAGCGCTCGGTTCAGTCCAGGTTGCCGTTGCATTGGTACTGTCATTGTACAGGTACAGCTCAATGCCATTGGGACAGCTTGAGAACACTGGAGGTTCCAAGTCTGCTCAGAATTTTTGTTAGGAAAACAAAGTAATTCAAAAGGTGAGATTACAGTGGGACATCGGACAAGCGGCTGTTTGCTGTGGACAACTGCCAGCAAGCTAAAAAGTCTTGCTTTGGATTACTGGAGGGTATCTACTATCTTGATTATTTAAAACAAAAGACGAGTTTGTAAAATGGCAAATAAGACGACAAACATTTGGAATTCCAGGAAGCGTAAAGGTCGAAGCTCAGTGTTGTAGTAGAGTCCAGGTTTATCGAGGACGAGTCCGAAACCTGGACAATCAAGTTTTTGAAGTTGGCTTGAGTCTAAGAATGGAAAAATAGGCTCAAGTCTGGACTTGAGCTGGAATCTTGTATGTTTTACCAGTTTTGACACAAACTATTTTAACCATCTACCCAACGACTCGCTAAATATGTCAAAGTTGTCACGAAGTTGAAAAGAACATACAATCCAGATATTAGTTGACATTTTGAAGACTGGCATCATGTCAAATCTTAACCTCAAACTGTTATTATTAAAATGCTTTTATATTCAAGTAAACAAGCAGACCTGGAACTGATCAATCAAGACTCAACTACAGTGGCTCATAAATATAAACAGCAGGATTTAATTACCTTCAACAAATACTGTGAAATTGCAAGTGGCACGGTTTCCGCTTTCATCCTCGGCAGTGAAAAGAACGACCTTGTCACCAAGCAGGAATTGCACTCCAGATGGATAGTTGCTGGTGACATTAACAGATCCTCCAGAATTATCAACCACGGTCGGCTGGGTCCAATTAAAGACTCGGGACCCGTTCGAGATGAAGACATCATGGGCACAGTCCAAAAAGACCGGCTTTTCTGTATCTGAAGGAAATACGTTATCATTGCAAAATTCAATAACTTTAAATGTACCCACGAAGTAACATATTTGATTTTTGCAGAAAAAATTGTGCATAGATATACCTAGCAGTAAAACTTAAAGACAATCGCCAACCTGAACTCCTTATTGACACTGAAAGGAAGCATTTTCATTTTCGTTTTCTTTTCGAAAGTCTATTTTTATTAGTATTTGATAAACCTTTTACTGTCAGTATACACTCTGTATGGAAGTTCTGAAGCTTTATCCGCTTACCTACAACGTGTACCCTAAAACTGCAAGAGGCATTATTCCCTGCACGATCAGCGATGAAATAGGTGACGAAGGTGGTACCAAGGTAGAAACGGCTGCCGTTCTGGTGACTGACATCAAACACCACAATCTCCTGATTGTCTCGGTACTGAGGGGCGATCCAAGTCAAGTTTGTTGAATTCACTCCCTGATCAGTGGGCCCTGAGACGTCTGGAGGGCATATGATCATTGGCATGTCGCTGTCGTTTGCTGCGAGTCGGAGAAATGTAAAACAAAATAATAGTTTTATCAACAAATTAAATGCAATGCTTATGCTACATCCGATGCTGACTCTTTAACCCTAAAGGTGCGGGGGGGGGCGGAATACGCCCCACCCCCTCGACTATTCCCGCGATAGCTTTGAAAAAAAAAATTGCGACCCGAGCTATTATGACGTTTTAGCCTCGAGCCTTGCGCATCTTTTGATACCAAAAACATACCAATCGGACCACGGGTTACCGCGCAGCGATATACGTAGTGTACACAGAGCAGAATTACCATTCAGGCATTTGAATATTTAATTAGCCATAATTCCAAAACCATTTGACCTATAGTTATGAAATTTCTTAGATATGTTTATGATAAGGTGTTCTATGCAGCTACCGAGTTTCATAATTTTTCGTCGCTCGATGGACGAGATCTTTTCACCATTTTTAGGGTGAAAGCCATTCCAAAGAAATTAGTGCAATGTACAAGAAACACTGTTGAAGATAGTAAATTCGTCAATTTTTTGAGAAGCTCATTTTTACTTTAAACCAAGGATGGCTTGGTAAGAATCAAGATCCCCTATTACACTTTTTCTGCAAATAAAAAAATGTCAAACTATTTCCCAAGCCCAGTGATTTAGTTCAAACTTTATACAAATTGCAATTTCATTCCCACAAAATGCCACCAATGGCTTTCGGGAATGCCTCACAAGTCCCTGCAAGTCCATCACAAGTCCTCCAGTCCCAATTCAAGTCACAAGCTATTCAAATGAGCTTTGACAAAGGCATTCCTTTGTTACATTTTATCCACTCTTACTTGTGACTGGACTTGTGATTTACTTGTGACTAGACTTCTGATGGATTTGACTACATCCCTGATGTCTTTCTAAAAATCACACCAAATTTATATTACATCTACCACTGCATGACCTACATCAGTCGACAAAAAAAGATGCACAAAGGATGGTGGCAATTCCAGATCTGATTGTGTTCAATTTCAGTGTGGGATTTGCAGTTCAGTAACTTCACCAGTCATAGCTTGAATTAAAATGTTGATGCTAACCAATGACTAACACATACTTACGATAGACAATGGCACTGAATGTACAGTTGGCTGAATTTCCAGATGGGTCAGTGGCTGCGACCGTGATATCGGTGGTACCGACCGGGAACTCCGAGTTCAGCTGATGGGTAATGTTCAGGGTCAATCTGCCAGAATTATCACTGGCTGTCGGTAGCGTCCAGTTGAGGCGAATGGTGGTGCCATTGTCCGCGAAGACCTCAATATTTCGGGGGCAAGTTATCATTGGGTCTTCCATGTCTAAAACAAGAAGAATCAAGCAGTGACAGTAACTAAAACGTAACTTAACGAATATGAGTTTTGATTTGAAACACTTCAAACATGATAATTACAAAAATCTTCCTGCGATCACATTGTTACGCCTACAGTGGAAACCATTGTAGACAAACAACGATTTGATGAAGTGACAACCCACACAGCAGCAAACTGAGTTTTGAGAAAATAGGCCAGTTCAATGCAAGTTGGAAAAATTTTTCAAATTGCGTTTTAGTATGCATTTCTCCCCATAGACGAATCCAGATTATCAACATGAAAAACTGAGTTGCTGCACACTTACCACTTGGTGCAATTAGCATTATTTACGAACGGTACAATTTTGCGTCTTAACATTTGATAAATCATGAAATGAAAGAATATCAAAACATCTCAAATTGCTTAAAATACCGGTATTGAGCGTTTCTTAACTTCGTCAAATCGCCATCGAGAAGTGCAAAAAATAAATTACCACACATTAACTATACCCATATCAACTCACCATAGACATGAATAGTTAGCTGGCAGGTTTCAAAGTTGCCGGATGAGTCTAATGCATTGTAGTTGACGACGGTGCCTCCGATTGGATACATGCCGTTGACATTTCTGTCGCTAGTCAGAGTCACCATGCCAGAATTGTCCATTGCTTCAGGCTGAGCCCACTCCAGAATCGCCATGTCGGAACCCCGACTCGTGTTGGCATACACGTCTGACGAACAGTTTAGAATCTGGGGTTTCTCGTCATCTGCAATTAATTAGGAAAGTGTTTACTTAAACATCATAATTTAATGTAAACTTCATGGACACCATTTAGGGCCAACCAAACGTGTTAACGATCTCAAAGAGAGAGATGCATGTTCAATTTGTGGTTTTGCCCTTACCGATATAATTTCATAAACCACTGTGTACTCAGTGTTGTACAAAGGCTAGCGAGTAACAAGTCATAAGCTTACTCCAATGGGACTTGATTATAGACCTGAACACTGAGTACACCGTGTTTATGCCATTACAAGCCTTCACATCACTTATAGTGCAATGACAATGTGAAGAGTTTATTCTCAAATGCTTTATGTTCAAAAGTGAAATTGTGTTCTTAAAATCCGTTTCAATATATAACAGAGCTTAGTCGAAACTGACTTGGGCAGCCAGAAGGGGGTGGGATTCCAAAAGGTAACAAAATGACGTTGATCACATTTTGAAAACAACCTCTACATCATTAAGAACTGAAAATATTTAAAATTGAAACTATTGAGGCTTACGTTCATACCTTTAATTGTTACAGTGAAGCGGCAGATTGCCTCATTGCCTGCCTCGTCCTGAGCGTAGTACTCAACATGAGTAGTACCGACTGCAAGCTCGTCACCGGGCTGGTGAGTGGAGTTGGAGAACGTCACATTGACGTTATCAGTTGCCGTGACGGCAATGGAGAAAGTGCCTACAAACCGGCCGGGCAAAGTGGAGTTGGTGAGGTCCGAAGGACAATCAAACATCGGGCTCTCGTTATCTAGATAATAAAAACCAAGGTCAAATAATAAAATATACAACAAGGAATTTTTTATTTAGCAGGTTTGGTACCTTTAGTAAAATAAACCGGACAACTCCTTGCTTGGACTTTGTCAAAATAATTGGTAATTATATTGACGGAAAAAAACGAGAGATTTCGCAGGTTGAGTCCTGAGTCAAGCATGTCGAGTCCGAATCCAAGTCTGATTCCGCAGGGTCGAGTCCAAGTCGGAGTCATTCGTCATCGTTACTCGAGTCTGAGCTCGAGTCACGGAAAATAAGACTCGAGTCGGACTCGAGTCCGAATCTAAGTCACGAGCCATACAAGTCTGCAAATAGGTAGCATTTATCCACATTGATGCATTTATCCACATAAAGCACTATTGGGTTTAATTGTGGGCTCACCATTACTAGAGACAAATTTCCACTTTATCTATTACTATTCACTTTTTACAAGCAACTACAGCAATATGCAGTACCATAAAGTGAATTTTTATCAGTTTTTTTCATGATTTCCAAGTTCCAGGAACAGCTAAGGTCATTTCATACTTCACATGGAAGCAAACATTTCATGACGCCAACATTTCATTTGAAGTTTCAGCACGACATTTGCTAAATAATGCTGCTAAACATTTGCTGTTTTCCTAATCAATTCAGTTTAGCACTGAAATTTACGTGAAATAGAAACCGGCATTTACATGTGGTGGAAAATGTGAAGAATCTTTTGGACAGAAAATTAACATTGACCAGAAACGTACCAGTGACTGTGACGTTAAAGGCACACATTACAGAGTTGGATGAGTTGTCGGATGCTAAGTAGACCACTTCGGTTGTCCCAACTGGGAATGCTGATGGCGATGGGTGAGAACGATCAATGTCAATGGACCCAGAATTGTCGGTAATCGTTGGCTCGATCCATGAGACTGTCGCAAAGGCTTGGCCTACATCGGTTGTTTGATTTACATTGACGGGACAGTTCACTACAACTGGATCTTGCATATCTGTTGGGGAACAAGTATTTAGAAGAACAAAAATGTAAGTTATCTCTGCATTGCAATACCTATACTTGGCCGGGTCTCTTACCAACCCAAACAACTTTGCCAACATTGAAGGCCACTTTCCAGACCCAACACTGTAACATATTTACTTTTCTTGCAAACAGTATACATGTGCTGCGATTCGTGCCCAAACTTCATAAAATGTGTATGGTAAAAAATAAATCTGGCATAAAATAGACTTGCATATTTTGGGGACAATAAACAAGTGCCTACCAGCCATGCAACTGGGAATTAACACACAAAAACACAGGAAATTCCAAACCACACAAGACTTTGTACAGTGTTTTTCGATTTGTAATGACATTGACATAAAAAGGAGTAACAATATCAGGAAATCAGGGCCAAAGAATCATGTTAACGATCTCAAAGTAAACGCAACAGAAATGTGCATGTTCAATTTGTGGTTTTGCCCTAATACCAATATCATTTCATCAACCTCTCTGTACTCAGTGTTGTCAAAAAGGCTAGCGAGTAACAAGTCATAAGCTTACTCCATGCATATAAATGCTTCAGATTTATCCTCCTAGATCCTAATAGCATATATGCTTCAGATTAATCCTCCTGAAACTTTTAAAGGATTATGCATGATTGGAAACGGTACAAGTACAGCCCTGCCAAATTTAAACTGGATTTTACAAAGTGCTTGGCCAATTGAAGTCCAATATTCAACAAAGTTCCCACATGAGGGAGGATTTTGAAGGATTCAGGGAAGTCTTCCCTGCTAAAAAAAAACCAAGGGATTGTTGGATCAGTTTGGTTACGATTGAACAATTTAATTTTCTTTTAAGTATTTCTCATTATCATTTCTCCTTGGTGAGAATCTTGGAAGTAAAAAAAGAGGAAATTCCAACCTTTGCTAGACTTAATACAGTGTTTTTCAATTTTGAATGGCATCAATGCGAAGTGAAAAACGAGGAAAATCAGCTGCTCCGAGGAAAAGTTGCATGCCTGAAGAATTAAGTTATCTTCATTACCTGTAACTGTGACCCTGAAGCTACAGGTATCATTGTTGCCTACTACGTCGTAGGCTACGTACTCCACAACCTCAGTTCCAATGTAGAACAAACTTCCGTTTTCCTTTGAGACGCTGACGGATACTACTCTGTTGTTGTCCATGTATGGCGGTGGGGGCCATGTCACAACTGTCGAATTGGTACCATTGTCAGCGGGAACTGTCACATCTGAAGGGCAGATGATCATTGGTGGTTCCGTATCCGTGGCTTAAAAAACACAATAAAAAACATTATACAGGCGTAAATGCATGCTTGACTTGTTAAATTGGTAATTCCTGTAAGATGTATTGAGAATATCAAATCTTACAGGAGCAAGGACCACGAGTACGCACACAGTAGATAAGAGATATTACTCTTCGAACCATTCAGTACACAAAAGTTCTACTCAGAACCAACACATGACATACAAGAAATATTTGTCATAGGGTGGCACAGCAAAATTTTACTAATTATTACTAACCTCAACATCTTATCAACACTTTCCAAAACATACTTTCAACAATCAAAATATGACAGAATTGCATAATGAGACTCTGAAAGGTAAATTTCGAACATTTTAAAGAAACTTCTTAGTCAAAAGCGTTATCATTAATTCATGATCCCCATTTCCCAGGTGTGGAGGCTGTTAGCAGTACTTACAGCCAGAATCTATGAGATCTATAGTTTCTGACTAGCACCCAACGAGCCTATATTGGTATGGACATATTCAGAGTTATTTTGGCAGAATGGCTTTCCAGGGGTTACAGCTGTTCAAATCTTGCTGAAGTGGAGCGCCATTGTCCAATGGTTACCGTGTTAATTAACTCGTGCCATGGTTCATTTGTTTGAAACCAGACGGGGTACATGGTGCTTGTGCTCTTGGGCAAGACACTTTACTGCAATATCCTCTCTCCACCAAGGAGTATTAATGGGTACCTGTGAAGGTAGTGACCAGATTGCGCGGATGGCGAACTGCTGCAGGAAAAATTGTCTCATGGTCTGATGAACGGGGGTAATAGTGAAGTACTTTGGTATGAAGCTCTTTATAAGCACGACATAATTATTCTTATTAAAAAGGTGTTCCTTCATTAAGACAAATATTTTGAAATATAATCTCACTTACAATTCACTCTGACGATGAAGGAACAGTTGACAGTATTACCAGATGCATCGGCAGCCGTATAAGTCACGATGTACGTGCCATTCACAAACCTATCTCCTGGGCTGTAGTTTGAAGACAGGTTTACACTACCAGAATTGTCCGCGGCTGTTGGCTGAGTCCATGTAACGGATATGTTTGTGCCCGGGGGCGTAAAGATGTCTACATCCATTGGGCACATCGTTAACGTTGGATCTTCCAAATCTGAAAGCAACATAACACAGATCGAGTATATCACACAACTCATGCTTTTTTCAAGTTTTTGGGGACAACTTGCTGAATACATTACGATATGAAATAATCTCATACCAGCAAGTCCTAAAAGCTTCCCAATTTGATCCTGCAGGTTTTTTCCTCAAAAACTTCAACTGAAAATTTCACTGATAAACAGTGATTGTGAACAAACGGCAAAACAGCATATAGGTTCTAACAAAGTACCTGAACAGAGTTGAAATTTACTGCGATTTGTTTATCCACTTATGGTTTTTCTGGGATTGATTTTGTTAACTGCAACTCATTCTGTTGATTGTAATTTGAAAATATTCGGATGCAAGACCACCAAAGGACTATTTGGCTACACATTGGCCATTTCATGGAAAATTACTAAACATGCCAAATCCATAAGAGATTGAAACGCATGCTTGGATCTGTTACAGTGTGGTAAGATGAAGCGAAAGGTACGGTCTATACACACCTTCAACAATAATGCGGAATGTGCAAGAGTCGACGTTGCCAGCTCCGTCCAAAGCAATGTAGGTATTATCCGTTGATCCGATTTCAAATACATCGCCTGGTCTGTTGGTTGCAGTTACAGTGACTGAGCCAGAGTTGTCGGTAGCAGTGGGTTCATTCCAGAATGCCTGAGCGCGGGATGTACCTAATGTTGTATTGATGACGACATCTCCAAGACAATTGAGAATCATGGGGTCTTCTTCGTCTATAGACAGATAACAATAAAGATTGATTGATTGGTTAACTGACTGACTGACCGTTTCTGTCAGACATTTGGAGAGGAACCAAAGATATTGCAGTAGAAGCGAGTAACGAATCTTATTTTCAACAAATCTCATTTTGATTTATATTATTGATTAATCTTGTTGGTTTTTGAACTTGAATAAAGAAATTGACTGGAGCAAGGTTTACACATGGGGCCTCCGGATGCCAATCCGGTGCTCTACCAACTATGTTGCCAGTTCCTTATTTTGTCAATGTCTTTGTTTAAGGGCGCAAGTCAGAATCCATCAACCCGTACATGCCATGTAGCCAGGGATCGCGCCCAAAGTCACGATGCTAGCAACATTAGCAATGTTGCAAACCTGGAAAATAGCAAAAGAGAATCACTCGGAGAGGATATGACTTTGGACGAAATATGCACCCAGTCAGTTTCACTTTGTGGTTTATTTGACAAAATTAATATTGTTTACTTCATTTTAAGAAGGTACACATATTTATCTTGAGCAATCCAGTTGACCTAAAGGAAATAATTACATAAAAATTATCTTTATTCAATACATTTTCTGTACCCACCTACGACAGTGATTTCAAACTGGCAGGTGTCGTTAAACCCTGCAGCATCGTAAGCAACGTATACAACCGATAGAGTCTCGCCAAGGTCTACAACTGTCCCAGGAGCTGTGCTGTTAGTGATACTGATGATGCCAACATTGTCATCGGCTTCTGGTTGCATCATGAAGATAGTAGCATTGGCAGAACCAGCATCCGTAGGTATCATCATATTAGAGGGACAATCTCTGAAAACTGGAGGTTGATTGTCTAGGAAAAGAGAAGGCAAGTTCAGTTTTTCAGCATGGAATTAATCTACTTTTTTGTTGAAGTTATAAAATAATTATAAAATAATTCTCTGATTTCTTAATACATCTAGATTTACCAGAATTATACAGTATCATATTTGTAGCAATTGACAAACCAGCATTTTTCGGTGTTAATGCACAATATTTGTATATTAATGAGAGAATTCAGTACTTTATCTGCATTAATGTATAAATTTCACATTGAAAGATATATATGTCTCAATGGCAGCGCTATGGGAGGGGGGTATAGGCATGCCCCCTCCCATACACACATACTGTAAAAAAAATAATGGGTAAAACACTGTTGGACAATGTAATTTTACACAACGATGGTTTGAAATAGAAATAGTCCAACTATTGGGAAGAATTTTGTCCAAGCGTTTAACCTGTTGATATGTTGACCAACGTTGGTCTACATATCAACCATTTTGCCATTGTTTTTACAGTGCACAGCCGCTTACATTTCGTTTTTTCCACGGCCGGGTGATGATTTTGTATATGTGCCCCCCCCCCCCCACAACAGCCATTTTTTTCCAGCAGGAGAATAACTAAAAGAAAAACACCACTGCAAATTGAATATGCAAATTGAATATGCAACAGTAATTTATGCATTATTAACTTTATAACTGAGTTGCCAAAACACTCAAATAATGGCAAACAGCCAAAACAGCCAAACACGTTTTTCGCTTTGGACTGCCAAAATCACTCCCGATTAATATCATGTCAGATTTTGAGTGAACAATTTAAGACTACCTAGAACTGTGACGAGGAACTCGCAAGTGTCATTCAGACCACTGCGATCGCGGACAAAATAAATGACCGTTGTATTTCCAGCCAGGTATAAATGACCAGGGGAGGGAGTCTGCATGATGGAGTAGACGTCATTCTCAATGACTTTAGGATCGTCCCAAGTGACGCTGGCTCCGTTAGAGTTTGGTGCGGTGAATGCCACGATGTCGCCTGAACAATTGGTGATCACGGGTGGTTCGGTATCTAAGCATGAGCAATTAAAAGATATATGTGTTAGACATTGAACTAGCAGGCAAACCAAATTCCCCACTTCTGGATGTCTAGTTATCCTGTAAAAATCTTGCAGTAATTTTGTTAAAACTTTATCAAAATGTACCCTTAAAAATTACAGGATAAGTAAGGTGTCTAAAGGTAGAGCATTAGATTTTCCCTGCCTTTTGGACGAGATCAGTAGCTTCCATGTTGGATATCATTGGAAAAAAAACAGTCTAGTTTTGAAATTAGGCACACACATTTTCGTGAAATTTAGCAAGCATCTCTGTAACATGGTATATTGAGAAATTCTTGGGGCTGCAATTTCAACAGCTTACGCTCCCTCTCAGGCCTTCTTATAATCTTACCTTCGACAGTCACAGTGAAGTTACAACTCGCTGTGTTACCGGCAAGATCTGAAGCAATGTAACTAACCATCACAGATCCAATGTAGAACGTCGACCCGTTGGGATGTGACACGTCAAGAGATGTCACACCAACATTGTCACTGATAACAACGGGTGGCCATGTGACAACGGTAAAATTTACGCCAGGATCTGCGGGTATGATGGTGTCATTGGGACAGCTGACGGCCATTGGAGCTAAGTTGTCACTTGCTGTTTGAAAACAAATAGGATATATTTTGGCCTAGATCTTCATGTTATTCAGCACAAAAGAGTCACCTCTTCAAAGTTAACTCAGCTAATGAGATATTGGGTGCAATGTATTTAATCAAATGCGCAGGCCTAAAAACAAAATGATGCTGCTGATCGTTATAAGGTGTTGCCATTTTAGTTACTGTATTAGAACGCTCATTTGTTTCATTAACACTTAATTAAAGAATCCATCAATTTTGTGACGGTTTATAAAAAAAATCTCCGGATTGTGATACTTTTTAATCCAGAGAAAGTAACCAAGTAGTTTTAAAGCTAAAGGTTCCTATTGGAGCCATATCAGCATGTACTTTTCACCAATTTATAAATGTTGATGACTGAGGAGATTCTTGGACTTATGGAAAGAGTTTAGTCTAAGTGATCATGTCATGGGATATAACATTAAAACGTTCCTTCTATAAATATATTTTGGAAGTATTATAAAAGAAACAAAAAAGTGGGACGGAGGATTAACAATTTATATTCCCTGCAAGTGATACTTACGATACACAGTAATGGTAAAGTTACAACTGACTGCATTGCTAGACAGATCTGTGGCTGTGTAGATCACAAGATATGTCCCATTCATAAACCTGTCCAAAGGACTGTAATTGGAAGTGACGTCTACAGCTCCAGAGTTGTCTTGAGCCGTGGGCGGGGTCCACGTGATGGTTGCATTCATGCCTGGATCTGCAAAGGCTTCTATGTCATCAGGGCACATTGACAGTCGTGGCAACTCCACATCTACAATGCAAAAGAGGGACCTGGTTGACTAACTGACTCATGACTGATTGAACAAAATTTGTTGCCTATCTCACTGACTGATCGTCATTCGCAAATTACATTCCTATATCACATACATTCATGATCGAGAGCCCAACTTTTACTGGTCCATTTACTTTCCCGTACCATTTACAGCTGTATTGCAAACGAACTGTACTAGTGAAGTTGAGCAACAATATTCCTTTGGTGAGCTGGACAAGTTTCTCTGAAGATTTTGTTAAAGGTGCACATTGAACGGAAAAAAACCGGCAACTGAATACAACAAGGGTTATTTCGGATGTAGACAGTCGATATTAGCTCCCCTCGGTATTGTAAGTTGACAGTCAACTTCCAATAACTCAGGGAGCAAGTATTGACTGTCCAACCTCAAACCATGTGATATTTGTGTACTGGCTATTTGTGTACTGGCTTACTGAGGACCACTATATATACAAGGCTTCCTATCCACGTGGGTCATGCAGCATACAACATGTGAATTAGTCTCGCACCAATTGTTTCTTGTACATAGTACTTCCCTGATACATTGGTAGACAATAGGTCAAATCTTCATGCAAATGGCAAAACTGGATTGTCTCTTTTCATCACGTTATATACCACTACAGCTTATAAACTTTTTTAGCCATTCGGAATCAATGGACTATATTTTCGCATAATTTGGGACAAGCTTTATCCGGTTTGCCTTGGTTTATTTAACGACAAAACTATTTACCTAGAACAGTGACTGTAAAATCGCAGATGTCAATATTTCCCGCCTGGTAAACTATTTACCTAGAACAGTGACTGTAAAATCGCAGACGCCAATATTTCCTGTCTGGTAAACTATTTACCTAGAACAGTGACTGTAAAATCGCAGATGTCAATATTTTCCGCCTGGTAATTACCTAGAACAGTGACTGTAAAATCGCAGACGCCAATATTTCCCGCCTGGTAAACTATTTACCTAGAACAGTGACTGTAAAATCGCAGACGTCAATATTTCCCGCCTCGTCAAGGCAGGCGATAGTGACAGGAGTGTCGCCAATGCTGTATTCTTCATCAGACTTGGATGCTGTCAGAGTTACAGACCCTGCGTTGTCATGGCAGACAGGCGTGGGCATTGTGTAGACTGCTGTTGATTGGCCTCGAGTAGTGTTCAGAGTGACGTCCATGGGGCAGTAGGTAATGTTAGGCATCTCATTGTCTGTATAAAACAAATCAAGCACACCCAAAAATTGCTACAAACTTTGACGACTTGAGCTGTGCTGTTCTTTCAGTTTGCAGGTTTCTTTTAATTTGTCAAAGATTTGCTCTTGTTTTCGGCATTCATAACATAAAACAGCGATTGAAAGCACTGGCGTAAGTGAGGTACACTTATCAAGGAGGGGGTAACTTAAGAAGTCTCATATTTCTAGAGTGCATTGTGGAGGTTACTCATTTCGTTTCGATAAATAATCTCCTCTGTTTTAATTTGCTTCAATTCCCAAAAATATTGTTGGGCAGCACATACGGTACAGGCCTTGGTGGCTCAACCCCACCACACCTCCCACTTATACATCACTAATTTGAAGACACAAATTGAACTATGATTATTAAGATTGCTGTTTGTTACCTTCAACAGTTATATCGAAATTGCAGGTGGCATTATTCCCAGCAGCATCGTAAACAATGTATGCCACTGGCGTCCTCCCCAAGGGTAGACTGTCATCAGGTTGGTAGGTGGAGCTGTTCATTGTCACAGCTACGTTATCAGAGGCTTCAGGTAACATCCACTGCAGTGTCGATGTGGCTTGTCCGGGATCCACTGCAACTGTGATGCTCGAGCAGCTGCTGAAAAGTGGAGCCTCGGTATCTACAAACAAATGACAATTTTTTTTATTGACATGACGTCAACTTTTCGTAAGATTCATGGATCTAAACTGCCCCAGATATTTAGGAATCAACAGGTAACTGTTGATTTTTTTTAACGATTCAAATTGATCACCATCTTACCTTCAACAGTGACGACAAATGAGCAATTGACTCTGTTTCCAGAGCCGTCAGTGGCAGTGTAGGTAACAGTGGTGTTTCCCAAAAGAAACACATCTCCTGGATCGTGTGTGTTTTCGTCACCAGCAACAGCCACATTGTCAAAGAAAATCGGCTCTTGCCAGTAGACGAGGGATGAACTCAGGCTAGGATCAGTACCGTTGACTCGGTCGGTTGGACAATTGGACACGGTTGGATCTTCAATGTCTGACAAGAACACGATGAAATATCAATCAAAATAACTCCAAATATTCTGTCACAGGTAAAATAGCAATTTTTGGTGACTTCAAACACAAAGCTGTGAGTTCCATCAACCTTGATGAGCAATGACAAGATCCATAACGACCCTCAACCCTTTTGGATTTGAGGCGAGTGCCCTTTTCCACATCTAGAAAAAATATGATCTTGCTCCACCACTGAAGTGGAGTTACGTCAGTTGAGTAAAACTTTCCGTGAAATGGGCTGCAGAACGTTTGCCCTTTTTTTTACACAGAATGGTCAAATGTTACTTACCCTCAACAGTCACAACGAAAGAGCAATTGTTCATGTTTCCAGCTTCATCGCTGATAGTGTAAGTGACAGTAGTGTTCCCGAATATAAACACGTCCCCTGGACTGTGAGTGTTGACGTTACTTGTGATGCCGACATTGTCTGAGAAAGAAGGTTCCCGCCAGTAGACGGCAGTTGAATTCTGGCTGGGTGCTGTGGTGTTGAATGAATCGGCCGGACAACTGATAAACATGGGAGCTTCTTTGTCTGTTAAGTGGGGATAAACAAAATTGTTTATGAAAATATATTTGTAACTTCTATATGAATTTAATCTTTCTGACAATAGGCTTAGCAGAGAGCATTAGTTTCAGAAATATTGAAATACATATACATGTATGTATTTCAAGTAGTACCATACTTTACTCTGGAATAGTTCTACATGTAGGTAAAAAGAAAAACCTACTGCAAGTGCTTCTAAGGAATAAATTAAAAAATGTCTTTGCTTTAAAGGGACTAAAGAGCTACACAATTTCAAGACTTGAATGAACATGTTCTAATACTGACAAATTTCAATTTGGCATCGAAACCGAGGGCCTTGGTGCTGTCCAAGGGCGGATCCAGAACACAATTTTTTGGGGGGCCAAAAAAAATGTTGGTCCCCAAAAAGTGGGTCTAAAAAATTATGGCGTGGGGTTCGGGGCCCGCTTAAGGTCCCCGAATTTTTTTTGGATTCGAGATGCTCTGTGGTGCGATCTGAGGCAATTTCTGACCACTTTAACAAATGTTTTTTGAGGAAAAGATGGTGGTGTACTCATTGCCTGCCTTTATTGCGATGTCACATTTTGGCCCGCCCCCCCCCCTGGATCCGCCCTTGGTGTTGTCTTTTGTTGGAGAGGATTTAAAAAGAAAAGGTTCTCAATGTCATTCAATGACTTAGCACCAAGTGCATCGGTTTCACTATTCCAATTGGAATGTTTTTTCAAGTGAGGCTTCACCTCACCGGCTTCACATGGCAAACGCCTACTTCAAAGGGCGAAGCCAAATTCACCTCGCTCGCTTCGAGAGGGATGGAGGCGGCTTCCCTGCCTGACCCACTTTGCGGGGGAAAAAAACACATATGCCCGAAACCAAACACACATATTGCGCTCTATAATATACCGGTGACGTGCGTTTTTTCCCAAAGAGCAACATTTCAGCTATATAGACCAATTTTCAGCTATACAATTTTAACGGTTACCTGGAGTGGCTGCCATTATCTGGGACACAATCCAAAGCCCAAGCCCACCACCCCCTCTCCCCCGGTTAGAGGTGTCTACTTCATGAGACATATGCTAACCCACCAGAAGCTTACCTTCAATATTAACAAGAAATGAGCAGTTGGCCATGTTCCCAGCGCTGTCACTGACTGTGTAGGTAACGGTGGTGTTCCCCAAGGGGAACATGTCGCCTGGACTATGAGAGCTTTCATTTCTAACGACACCAACATTGTCAGTGAACATGGGATCTTCCCAGAAGACAACAGAGGAATTCTGACTAGGATCCGTGCTGTTGACCACATAAATTGGACACAGTAACTCAGGAGGTTCGTCATCTGAAAACAAGTTTTAAAACAGAGGCGGTAATCTTGAACCAACAAAATGAGAATCAGTAGATCACCGAAAACAAGACAAATATGTTGCTTAAAGGATAAAATGTTCTACAGGGTGACCCCAAAAAAGGCAAACCCGAAACAATTGCTTTTTTCAAAGACGCATTCTATGAAAGTATATGTTATGGATATCAGATACCGTCATAATTTGGTTTTGATGTAGAGGTTATATAAACGACACGTACATGGAACCTTTTGTTTAATGTCAAAACTTGGAACTACTTCATACTATATGAGACATACAAAAAGTGTAACTTACAATTAATAATGAAATTTTTGCAATCGTTATCAGTTAAAGAATAGGCCCAGTTATTAAATCCCACCCCAATCATTTTTTTAACCAATCACAGCTGTGTAAAGCAAAAAGTCAAACAAAAGTTTGACATGCGTTCAATTACGTACAATGCAGCAGTGGAGAAGCCAATGCGTAGCTGCCACTGCGCATGCAGTGGGCAGCGCTAAATGGACATCTGTCTTTGGAAACCCAAAACTTATATAACTTTCTGAAAAATTGTTGGTAGAGCACTGAAATGGCAATCATAAGCTCGCAGGTTCAAATCCCACTCCAGTCAACTCCTTCGTTCAACTTTGAATATTAAAAGCACCTGGCCACGCAAACTCACCTTCTACAAGCACGACGAATGAGCAGTTGTTGGTGTTCCCAGCGCCGTCACTGACATTGTAAGTGACATTGGTGCTCCCAAGAGGAAAGATATCACCAGGGCTGTGGGAACTACCGTTGGTGACAACTCTAACATTATCCGTGACTACAGGCTCTTGCCAATATAGGACGGATGAATTCATTCCAGGGTCAGTGGTGTTGACTACATTGCCGGGACAGATGTTGAAACGTGGTGGTTCATCGTCTAGAAATAGCAATGGATACAGGAGGCGGAAAGTGAATTAACATTTTTTTTTAGAAATCGTCGCAGATTACAAGAAGTTTAAAGATTGGAGTTAATTTCAAAACAATCAATTTTAAACATAGCGAAACGGTCCACTTTCTGCAGAATTGGATGGATGATGGTAATAATAAAAATTGTGTTTTTGCATGACGAGACTGTTAGACACAATCAAATTTAACGACTGAGGGCCACATAAGACAGTTACTGAATGAATCTCATTCCTTTTATAGGAACTACAGTCATTTTAAAAACAAGACTTCTATTGATCTTTACACGTATACACGTGGAACACGTTAAATTGATCACAAACGAGACCCATTACTTTTATTTGAGGTTTGGCATCAGGATAACATATAGAGATGTTCAATCTCTGGCACACTTAGTAAGTCTCTAGCGAATGTTGTATCCCTGTGGCAGGACTTAAACAATTCGAAGCTAAAACTGGATTACGGCATTCAAGCTTTCATGGAAAATTTGGCGCTGGAAATGGAGTTGATATAATAAGCCTGCTGAAGATATGTTTAGTAGATACAATAGGACGATGCAATTTGGTTTTGGTGGATGTCTTTTGATTGTGTCTGCCATATCTCAAAAAGACTTACTGAATTTGGTACAACGGAAAACAAAAAATCTGAAATGCATGGCTACCGGTACTATAGTGAAAAAGTATCAACAGATAATTTACTAATTATCACAACCAGAAAAATGTTCTGACAATCTTCACTAACACATCATATTTCACCATCACAGACTTATTATTTTTACAAATTCATAAAGGAAACATGCTTCATGCCAACTTACCGACCACAGTGACGACAAAAGAGCAGTTGGCGGTATTCTGTGCTTCATCCGTTGCAGAGATAGTCACACTGGTGTTTCCAAGGTTGAAAGTGTCGCCAGACTCGTGGCTGCTGACCACATTATCCACACCAACATTGTCCTGGTACTCCAGTGTCACCCATGTGACGTTTCTTGTGGCTTCGCCAGGATCCGTACCAGTTAGTATAACCTGTGGACAATTGGAGAATGTGGGCGGCTCATCATCTGTCAACAAAAAAGATGAAAATACAGTTTTATTAAAAATGGGTCAAATAAAGTCCATAATCACCCTGTGATAGAATATGGGTTGATTTGAGGCAAAATTGGACAAAAACAATCAACTGGCTTCTTTAAGATGTCAGTCGTCAATTGACACATTTTTATCTTCATATTTTATTTAGAAAGTGCGGGAACCACTTGGGATGACAAAAACCTTTCCATTGCATAAAGTGCAAAATACGAAGAATAAAGTCGAAATAACTCTAAATATTACCTTGGACGGTGACCAGGAATGTGCAGTTTGCCATGTTACCGGAGATATCAGTGACATTGTACATGACGGTGGTGTTCCCCAGTGGGAATACGTCACCTGGCCTGTGTGTACTTTCATTTGCAGATACTCTGTCATTGTCAGTGAATGTGGGCTCTTGCCAGTAGACAGTGGCATTACTCAAGCCAGTGTCAGTTATGTTGGTTATATCAGCTGGACATCCGGTAATAGTAGGAGCTTCCAAGTCTGTAAAATAAACCAAAACAACAGACTCAACAATTGAATGCTGAGTAAGGGATTATGTGCAGGATTGGCAATCTCCTGTCCGAATATGTTAAGGCCAACAGGGGCACTTATGGCTTCTGACTAGGGACCTTTGAACAAAGACATTGACAAACTGAGGAACCGGTAACATAGGGCTGGATAGCTGAGTTGGTAGAGCAGCAGAATAGCTATCTGGAGGTCACAGGTTCAAACCCCACTCCAGCTAATTTCCATATTCAACTTTTAAAATATTCTTAAATTTACTTTTAAAAATCCACAAATCTGTGGCAAAAAAGGGAAACTGTAAATTAAACAAGATGAGATATCATAACTTGTATGCAGTCAGCGGCAGCGGAACGCTTTTCAAACGGGGGGCCGGCATCACCAAAAAGGGCACTTGCTCAGAAAAAGAGGCACCTTCCGTCCGTGTGAAGGAGGAGAAGTTGTGGAGGAGAAACTTGTGAAGGAAAACATGTTATCCGGGACAATATTTACTTACAACATTGAAATACACTTTTTCTTAAATGTTTGCTTTAAAACAAAGTTAAAGTCTTAATTCCCTTACTCAAAAAAATTACAGTACGTAGACTTAGTGCTGAAATAATCTCAATAAAGCCGTATAGTTACGTTATTGTTCACTTGAGAGAGCCCTTCGGCCTCCGGCACACCTCCGGCAGTAACCTCTCTGGGTCCGCCCTTGCATTTGACTAGTTAGGCCTTTGCAAAGGGACCCTTTTGTTATCATGAGAGGGACACTGTCTACTTTTGATGGCCAGTTCAATGACCATTTTATTCGCTTAAGTAGCACTTTTATTTGTGTACAGGCCCGTTTTTGAGAGGCACTTTTGCATTACAAGAGAGGTGACAATTTGTAATGCTTTCATGTGTGCGTTTGAGGGGCAGTTTGTTTCCATCTCGAGGGGGCACATTTATGACCGCGAGAGGGACACTTTTGTTGGCGTGGCAAAATCGGGCGGGGAGGGAACTGCCGCGCCTGTTTGCAGTTCATGTAAATAGTAGAAAGTATAAGTGTTTGAACATTGATGGGATATTCTATTTTCACTGTTTCTTAATGATTCAATGTTCAGACAAGCAAAGGCCTTTGTTTAGACATGACAAAGAGAAATCAAAATAAGTTAAGTTTGCTTCTAGCTTTGCCTAATTATGAGGTATAATTCATAGAGTGTTTGTACTGACCAACAACTTGAACTTCAAATTCGCATATGGCAGTATTTCCAGCAGCGTCATAAGCAATGTATTGGATGGTGGTATTTCCAATGGGAAGCAATGCTGGACTTGTATAGGACGAATTGACTGCGGTAACTGCGACGTTATCTGTAGCCATAGGAGCAACCCACTCATAGCTGGCCGTGTTGTTACCGGGGTCGGTAGCGAGAGGGTGCACGGAAGACTGTGGACAGCCAGTGAATACTGGACTCTCTTCATCTACAAAGCACAAACATTACACAGAACAAGGAAAAAGTTAAACGTGTCTTAATTTCGGATCAACACTTGAAGATAAGGTCATCCTTGGATGGGACTCAACAACAATAGCGTGAAATGTAGGCCCAAGTTATCTTTCAAACGTGTCTCTTGGGGAAGATGGGTGCTACAATTTAACAAAGAATATCATATTTTGAGGTCAATCGTCGCTGATACAAAAAAGTTTGTTTGACATTCCCCTTTTGGCCATCAGCCTCGGTTGACAACCGGTATCAAATGAGGGGAATAATCCTCATAGCGATTTTTGGCAAGGTATACACCTCCGGAGTTGGAAAATATGTGAAAGCACTGCAGCGGTGGCAGCTTTTGGGGTGCTATCACCTTTTTTCCTCAAAATGTCCATCAAAATGCTTGTTACCACTCTAGGGGCGATACTACCTTGCGCATGCGCACTACAACCATTTATGCCCTAATTCGATACTGACCAAACCCCCAGGCTGATGGCCTACTTCATCCCTGGAACCAGTTTCGTTTTTGCATTTTCTTTCAGCAAGTTCAATTCTGTCCCTAATTCCTGATACGCTTGTAAAGACATCAAATAAAATAATTACATGGTCGCATAATCAACCTAATATGTGTCTATGTCAATACATATTTCATATGTCTCTTTTAGTATATCACGGGGGAAATTCTTATTGGATAGCATACAGTTTCATATGTTACCTACCATTAATAATCAAAGTAAAGACACAAGGTTCAGCACTGTTTCCCGACGCATCTGTTGCATTGTAGCTGATCAACATTTCTCCAGAGGAGAAATACGCTGGGAGCATAATTTGTGGGTCAGACACCGGAACGATTACTTCACCAGAATTATCCTCAACTCTCGGTACGGCAAAATCGACAAGAGCCCTGCTCTGTCCTGCCGCAAGTGTATACTGCAGCCTATTTGGGCATGTGATAAACACAGGAACACCAATATCTGCAACGGACAAACGGAAAACAAAAAAAATGACCCAATTAGATACAAAACGAACACTGCAAATAGAGTATATAAAAATGAATTCAAGGTATGAACTGGTGAGGAACATGTCATGGTGAGGATGATTGTTTAGTTACGCATGGGCCCCATTCCTATTACTTATAGAGAACGAAAATTGATTTCTGGGTTATTGGACACGCCGAGCTGGTTAGCGATATTCAAAACCAACAGGAATGACGTGGATAGAGGGCGGGTATTGTATTTTGAGGGAAATTATGAGGTAAAACGATGTTGAAGACAACAAAACACAACACTGAAAATAAAGTTGGTGATCACTGCAAATGCACAGTAGATGCGGAAAGCCACATTGATAAGCATTATTGCATCAGTATTTTCTAGAAATAGATAAAATTGTTTAAGATTTCACAAACATAATGGGTCATTAGAATTAAAAGAAGACTGCTTAAAGTTACACAAGTCATTTCGCTAGATCACACAAGATCATAGGCTAGCTAGTCGTCTAGGAAGCAAAACACAATTGCCACACTGAGGTAAAGTCGGACTCTAAATCATCGCGGCATCTCTATTATCGTTGCATGAGACATTTTTTGTGTGTGTGTTGCCAAAAACCCTTCATGTGGCGGTTTTTATCTTGTTCAGGCATAAAGGACTTTTTGCTGAGTTGTATAAAAAAGAACAATTTTAAAAAAGTTGCGTCTTTCGGGACTGTTAATAACGTTCAACAAATTTCCACGTTTTCCAAAACTTGCAGATTTTCCCTCACCGTGTCTGCTAAAAGTTATCGTCGATATGTTAACATAAATCTTTAACGGCGCACCGTGTAAAGTGAATTTTGCCCCCACACTTGCCAATCAGTAGACTTGTCTAAGTGCTTTTTGTCTCTTTTCGGGGGAGTGGCATGGTCTTAAGAAATCATCCTGCAGGCTTTATAGGGAAATATTAGACTTTATTCAGGGGATGTTTTGGTCAAACATTAACTATGAATAAAGAAGTTGAGATCGATATAAAAACCACTTCCCTTCCGGCCGCCTCCCCTACCGTGATAGTATGGAGTCCAACTCCATTCACATACTCCGAGCATGTCTATATTCACAGGCATCGTACATGGAATCAATCACACCACCGTCGAATTTGATTTAAATCAATTTGAAAAGTAAGAGTTATACAGCACAAAAGAGAGGACAATTCAGGACGGTTGGGGAGCAATCTCTATTCCGATCGGGAAACGTGGTTCGTACCACGATAATACAACGTCCCATCCTATATTTTTGAATCTGCACTATTTGGCTACTTACCTCCTAACCAGCCAAGCAATCTATTTACCCAAGAATGATGGAAGTAAATGTCTTTATGATTGAAGTCCTGAAACATTTCATCTAATTTTTGTCAAAGCCCATCGTGGCATTCTGAAGAACCTACGTTGCGTTTGCGTTTGCATTTGTGTTTGCGTTGTGTTCGCGTTTGCACTCCCGTTCCCGTTTCCGTCAATTCAAAACTTCTATTTACATACTTTCCAGTAAGTCGAATTAAGTTTTCAAATAAAAAGGGTAATTATATAAATTAAATAAATAATAATAGTACATATATCTGAAATTACAAACGACTAATTGTATTACAGGAGGATGAGAAGTATGGGACTGTTCATTTAAACCGTTGCTTGTGGAGAACAGCCTAACACATATAAACAGACAATATTATACAACACCTGAATAAATCCCCGTCATCTGATTGGTGAATTGTAGTGACATATTATTATTCGGTATAATGCACGGTGCGACCATGCGTTATACCCATGCGTTATACCGTTTCACTTTGCGCATGCGCAGTAAGGACGAATGCCTTCGACTGGCTGCGGTTTCCGGTTCGTTAGTGTGACGTCACCTCCAGCACTTTCTGCACGATTGGAACCGGAAGTTAACGCAGTTCGAGCGTTTGCAGCCAATGGGCGCTAGTAATCAATGGTGGGCGCGCGTGTATGACGTTTTTACTAACGAACCGGATACACATAGCTACTGTGCGTAAACAAACAAAATGGCAGGCGATTGTAGTAGAGGGTTTAGGCCTACAACCTCGTGCGACGTGGGTACGATCTTGCAGCGCCATGTTGTTTCCCATCATGCCTTGCGCGACCGTAACCCCTGGAATTGTGTAATTTAAATATACCGAAATACGGTATATTATAATTCGTACGTGACGTTACGTGCAAAGCCCGGCGTGCAATGTTCGAAATGCCCGCGCAGTACGCCGTGAATAGCCATTCAGCGTCATTTTACGTCATCATCACAGTCGAGGCTGGAGGGTTTATGGTCCTTACCGATGAAGAAAATAACAGATCTTTTAACTAACACAGACGCTCCCAGTACAAAAAGACAGATTCAGTATGCTGTCCGACGATTGGAAGACTTTGCACAACTCGTAGGAGGAACGTCCATTGAAGCACTCAGTGATGCAGAACTGGACAACTTTTTGTCGCGATTTTATGCCGCACTTCGGAAGAACAGCGGTGAGTTGTACACCAAGAAACTATGCACGCAATCCGGAACGGACCGCATAGCCATTTCAAGTCGGTAAACATTTATTCAGGTGTTGTATAAAACAAATAACGAATGTTTTACGTTCGTGCGATGGAAAGAATAATTTCATTCGGTGACAGAGGCTTCGCCTCGTGGAATAGAACATTCAATCTGTCACCTCATGAAATCATTCTTACCATCACACTCACAAACATTCGTTATTTGTATAATGGTATACAATATTGGTATACTCACCAATCACAGTAATGTTGAAGACACATGTTGTTGCCGTGTTGTTTGCAGTATCCGTGAATGCATATGTGACCTCTGTGACCTGAACAGCAGTGAAGTTATCCCCAGGGTTATGTGATGAGGAAACTGTTATATTTTCCGTCGAGTCGACGTTATCGGTTGCGTTTGGTGGAGTCCACGTGAAGCTCAGTGTTGCCTCGGCTGTCTCATTTACCATATTTTGAGGACAGTATGCAATCACAGGGGCTTCAACATCTGATAGTATAAAGCAAAAACCGCATTAACCCATTTCTTAATTAAGCGTCTTCGCGAAAGTCAAGTAAAACACACATCATCGCGACTGTAAGCAATTCATTTTTTTCACGTGCCAACCGTGACTTCAGAGGACAGTGAAATCGGAGCACATGCCATTTAAAGACCAGTGATATTATATAACTAAGCCTCTCCATTAAACACTGCATTTTGTGCTTCCGAACACTCTTTATGCCTTTTACAAGAAACGTGACACAAAGACATGAGACAGGCAGACATGAGACAGACAGACATCAGACAGACATCAGACAGACAGACAGACAGCGTAGGATCTGTTAATATAGGATGTCGCTGTTGTTGTTTACTTAATTTGTCTTTTTTTCTCTTGTTGTTTCTTGTTTGTACCATATTTGTTTGTATTTTTTTCTGTGCTCCGGTTTATCATCCTTCATTCTTGTCTTGTATTATCGTTTTAGATGTCGTCTTTTTATTTGATCTAATTCTGTATGTCTTTCAAGTCTTGTCGTCAATAACGCGTTGTAAATTGTGTTCTTTCGTCGATTCTGTCTTCTTTTGTATCATCTTCTCGTTTTTTTCTCGTTTTGTATCGTATTGTCTTAACTCGCCTCGTCATGTTCTCCATTCGTTTTTCTCCTTTTGTCTCGTCTTACTTATGTGTTCTTGTGATGCCATTTATCTCGTTTGTTTTGTTCCGTCTTGTCTTTTGTCTAAACGTTCTGCTTTTGTCGTTGTTGACTTTTTTTTCAAATTTACGCTTTATCCTTTCTGTTTTATTTTTTTTTAATGTTAATGTTACAGTTTTACTTGATCTTTTAATTAATGTAGTTTATCTTGTTTTTCTTGAGTTCATTGTCAGTTGTATCTATATTTTTATATTCAGTTTTATTGTATTGAATCACATTTTTTTAATGGTCGCCATGGGTCTGGTTATCCATATATTTTGATGGAAGTTTCTTACTTGTGTAAAGTGGAATCCGGAAACCAGAATTAGATGCTTTTGATGTTTAGCTCATGCGCATGCCACACGCATTCTTAGAGATGAAGCGCATGCGCATTTTGGTATTCCTATTAGCCCGGGGCATATGTACTACCTGAGTGCCACTCGCACGAGCCTTGCGCCACCGCAGAAAATGTCTTCCACCGGATTTGACTCTGTTCTTGACAGCTGCTTAAAAAGCTTTCGTTAGGCCAAAAAAAAAAAATATTCGGTCTCTGGTCAGACCAAAGTTCCGGAATTGACGCGGCCACGCGGCTTTTTTTTTTTTCCTTCAAGCTTGAATTGTACATACACGGCGGGTACTATTTTGCTTTTTTGGTGTCCTCGTGTACATTGGTGTCCTCCATAATTTGCCTTGGTGCTTTCGATCACTTGCCTTGGTGCAATTTCCCATTCCTTGGTGCTCTGTGAAAAAAAAATTGAGGAGGTGCGGAAATAGAGGGCGCTGTTGGAGCTACCGCGGAACATTTTGGAAAAAAAAAAGATCGACGCGCATGGTTAAAATCGACGCGCGCGCTGACCAGAGACCGACTTATTTTTTTTTTGGGCCTTATGTATAAATATTTAAAACAAATAAAATAAAACATATATAACTCGAAATTCAGTCAAAGTCTCTTTGTAGGAAATATATATGTCCTCCTATACCCCGAACCAGAGCAGGTAAACGATCTTTTCATTCTGTTGGGACACAGGTTTGGAACAACTTGGCACCTAATGTAAAACTGGCCAATGATCTCACGTCTTTTGAAACTCTGTACTTGGCAAATAAATAGATGATTGTTACAGGTGTAAAAGGATTAACCATATATAAAACCCACACCACTCTCCAAGAACCTTAAATTTTAAGGTTCTTGGAGAGTGGTGTGGGTTTTATATATGGTTTTTACTTTTAAAAACAGTTGCCTTCTTATGGACAAGGGACAATCGATAATTCACTTTCTAATATTAACAAGCTAATGTAATTTTTTTAATTTGGGATTATTGTTCCATTTTAAATCTTTGTATCTATAGATAGTCTGTTTTAATCTATGGTTTAAATTTTGTGTGGCTTTAATTCCTTGGGTTCTTTTATGGTAATGTATTCATTATGTCTTTTATTGTGTGTGTGGGGTTTTTTGGGGGGAGGGATTTTTGCCGTTATTATTATCATGTTATCATGTTTTTATGTAATCCAGGGCCCACAGGGAGAACGGTTCTTTGATATTTGACGGGGCTACCCTGGTAAAATAAACCGAAATAAATAAATGAATAAATTATACATAACATTAATTTTGTGTTGCTGAAAAAAAAAACACACCCTTACCTATGACTGTGATGGTGAAATTACATGACCCTTCATTGCCAGCGACATCAGTAGCATTGCATGTCACTGTCGTCAAACCAAATGCATAAGTTCCATTGGACGCTACAATGTTGCCAGCTTCATCTTGACATGTGATGTTACTAGAATCAATTGCGTCCACATTGTCAGTAGCTGAAGGCTGTGGTGACCAGGGTACAATGGCAGTTGACATTCTACTGTCTGTACTCATGGAAGGGACACTAGTAGGACAAGTGACTTCCGGAGCTTCAGTATCTGCAAATTAAGGAGTTAGAAATCACCAGTGCAGGGCACGTCAGTTGCCTTCTCTTTGTATCTTAGGAATTAACAAAAGCCAAAAGCTTTGATCTACTTGCGTGTGAGAAAAACCCAAAGGACTAACCGACTCATCCTTGCAAGGCCTAAAAGATTATTCATACTTATTTTAACAAAGCAGATGTTTCTTTTTAAATAACCAATTCAAGGTCAAAATTCGTCAAGAAAAAAATCAATCAAAATTGTTGATGCTTGCCCACTTCAATTTATCCAAATTTTTTTAACAAGATATTGTTGTTTGGTATTAAATATAGCGCTCTTCAATCAATCACCCATCCAACTACTAGCTCCTCCGATCCTTCCCTCCAGCCGATTACCTTATCCCTTTCTTGGCCTTTTACACTTTTATGTTACTCAGCCTTTAGGATCGACAGTCCTTTTCTTTAAAAAAAAAAATGACAGACAAAAACTGCTGAATGTGACCAAAAATACACCCTCCATTAGAGAGCCTGTGACTTACAGGAACACACTTACCTATGACTGTGATGGTGAAATTGCATGACCCTTCATTGCCAGCGACATCAGTAGCATTGCATGTCACTGTCGTCAAACCTAATGCATAAGTTCCATTGGACACTACAATGTTGCCAGCTTCATCTTGACATGTGATGTTACTGGAATCAAATACGTCCACATTGTCAGTAGCTGATGGCTGTGGTGACCAGGGTACAATGGCAGTTGACAGTCCAATGTCAGTACTCATGGATGGGACACTACTTGGACAAGTGACTTCCGGAGATTCAGTATCTGCAAATTAAGGATTAGAAATCATGAAACTTGCTTTCTCTTTGTATCTCAGGAATTAACAAATGCCAAAAGTTTTGATCTTCTTGTGTGTGAGACAAAAGCAAAAGACTAACCGACTCATCCTTGCGAGGCCTACAAAATCATTCATACTTAATTTAACAAAAGCACTTGTTTCTTATTATACGACACAAACAAAGGAAAGACTCGTCAATAGATATCATTCAAACTTGTTGATGATCATAGAAAGTAATTTTTCAACGTATCAAAAGGTTTGTATCGAGATTTCGTTGTTTGAAATTTAAGATAGCGCTCTTCTATCAATCATCCATCCAACTACGAGCTCCTCCGCTCCTTCCCTCCAGCCGACAACCTCATCTCTTTCTTGCCCTTCAACACTTTCATTTTACTCAGCCTTTAGGATCGACAGTACTTTCTAAAATGGAAAACAAGAACTGCTGAATATGACAAAAAATACACCCTCCACCAGAGAGCCTGTGTCTTACAGGAACACACTCACCTATGACTGTGATGGTGAAATTGCATGACCCTTCATTGCCAGCGACATCAGTAGCATTGCATGTCACTGTTGTCAAACCTAATGCGTAAGTTCCATTGGACACTACAATGTTGCCAGCTTCATCTTGACATGTGATGTTACTAGAATCAATTGCGTCCACATTGTCAGTAGCTGATGGCTGTGGTGACCAGGGTACAATGGCAGTTGACAGTCCACCGTCTGTACTCATGGATGGGACACTACTTGGACAAGTGACTTCCGGAGCTTCAGTATCTGCAAATTAAGGAGTTAGAAATCACTAGTGCAGGGCACGTCAGTTGCCTTCTCTTTGTATCTTAGGAATTAACAAAAGCCAAAAACTTTGATCTACTTGCGTGTGTGAGACAAACCCAAAGGACTAACCGACTCATCCTTGCGAGACCTACAAGATTATTTATTGTTGTTTTAACAAAGCAGATGTTTCTTCTTAAATAACCCATTCAAGGTCAAAATTCGTCAAGAAAATCAATCAAAATTGTTGATGCTCGTCCAGTTCAATTTATCCAAAATTTTGTAACGAAATTTTGTTGTTTGATATTAAAGATAACGCTCTTCAATCAATCACCCATCCAACTACTAGCTCCTCCGATCCTTCCCTTCAGCCGACTACCTTATCCCTTTCTTGGCCTTTTACACTTTCATGTTACTCAGCCCTTAGGATTGACAGTCCTTTTCTAAAAAAAAAAGGAAATAAAAACTGCCGAATATGACCAAAAATACACCCTCCATTAGAGAGCCTGTGACTTACAGGAACACACTCACCTATGACTGTAATGGTGAAATTGCATGACCCTTCATTGCCAGCGACATCAGTAGCATTGCATGTCACTGTCGTCAAACCTAATGCATAAGTTTCATTAGACACTACAATGTTGCCAGCTTCATCTTGACATGTGATGTTACTGGAATCAAATACGTCCACATTGTCAGTAGCTGATGGCTGTGGTGACCAGGGTACAATGGCAGTTGACAGTACACTGTCAGTACTCATGGATGGGACACTACTTGGACAAGTGACTTCTGGAGATTCAGTATCTGCAAATTAAGGATTGGAAATCATCAAACTTGCTTTCTCTTTGTATTTCAGGAATTAACACAAGCCAAAAGTTTTGATCTTCTTGTGTGTGAGACAAAAGCAAAAGACTAACCGACTCATCCTTGCGAGGCCTACAAAATCATTTATACTTATTTTAACAAAAGCACTTGTTTCTTATTATACGACACAAACAAAGGTGAACATTCGTCAAGAGATATCATTCAAATTTGTTGATGATCACAGAAAGTAATTCTTCAACGCATCAAAAGGTTTGTATCGAGATTTTGTTTGGAATTAAAAATAGCACTCTTCTAACAATCGCCCATCCAACTACCGTCTAATCCGCCCCTTCCCTCCAGCTGACAACCATATCCCTTTCTTGCCCTTTAACACTTTCATTTTACTCAGCCTTTAGGATTGACAGTACTTTTCTAAAATGGAAGAAAAAACTGCTGAATATGACCAAAAACTACACCCTCTACCAGAGAGCATGTGACTTACAGGAACACACTTACCTATGACTGTGATGGTGAAATTGCATGACCCTTCATTGCCAGCGACATCAGTAGCATTGCATGTCACTGTCGTCAAACCTAATCCATAAGTTCCATTGGACACTACAATGTTGCCAGCTTCATCTTGACATGTGATGTTACTGGAATCAAATACGTCCACATTGTCAGTAGCTGAAGGCTGTGGTGACCAGGGTACAATGGCAGTTGACATTCCACTGTCTGTACTCATGGATGGGACACTACTTGGACAAGTGACTTCCGGAGCTTCAGTATCTGCAAATTAAGGAGTTAGAAATCACCAGTGCAAGGCCCGTCAGTTGCCTTCTCTTTGTATCTTAGGAATTAACAAAAGCCAAAAGCTTTGATCTACTTACGTGTGTGAGAAAAACCCAAAGGACTAACCGACTTATCCTTGCGAGACCTACAAGATTATTTATTGTTGTTTTAACAAAGCAGATGTTTCTTTTTAAATAACCTATTCAAGGTCAAAATTCGTCAAGAAAAAAATCAATCAAAATTGTTGATGCTTGCCCAGTTCAATTTATCCAAAATTTTGTAACAAGATTTTGTTGTTTGGTATTAATGATAGCTCTCTTCAATCAATCACCCATCCAACTACTAGCTCCAACGATCCTTCCCTCCAGCCGACTACCTTATCCCTTTAATGGCCTTTTACACTTTCATGTTACTCAGCCTTTAGGATCGACAGTAGTTTTCTAAACAAAAAATGGGAGACAAAAACTGCTGAATATGACCAAAAATACACCCTCCATTAGAGAGCCTGTGACTTACAGGAACACACTTACCTATGACTGTAATGGTGAAATTGCATGACCCTTCATTGCCAGCGACATCAGTAGCATTGCATGTCACTGTCGTCAAACCTAATGCATAAGTTCCATTGGACACTACAATGTTGCCAGCTTCATCTTGACATGTGATATTACTGGAATCCAATACGTCCACATTGTCAGTAGCTGAAGGCTGTGGTGACCAGGGTACATTGGCAGTTGACATTCCACTGTCTGTACTCATGGATGGGACACTACATGGACAAGTGACTTCCGGAGATTCAGTATCTGCAAATAAAGGATTAGAAATCATGAAACTTGCTTTCTCTTTGTATCTCAGGAATTAACAAAAGCCAAAAGTTTTGATCTCGTTGTGTATGTGCGACAAAACCAAAAGACTAACCGACTCATCATTCTGAGGCCTAAAAAATCATTCCTACTTATTTTAACAAAAGCACTTGTTTCTTATTATACGACACAAACAAAGGTAAACATTCGTCAGGAGATATCATTCAAACTTTTCGATGATCACAGAAAGTAATTCTTCAACGCATCAAAAGGTTTGTATCGAGATTTTGTTTGGAATTAAAAATAACACTCTTCTAACAATCGCCCATCCAACTACTGGCTAATCCGATCCTTCCCTCCAGCCGACAACCTTATCCATTTCTTGCCCTTTAACACTTTCATTTTACTCAGCCTTTAGGATTGACAGCACTGTTCTAAAATGGAAGACAAAAACTGCTGAATATGACCAAAAACTACACCCTCTACCAGAGAGCCTGTGACTTACAGGAACACACTCACCTATGACTGTAATGGTGAAATTGCATGACCCTTCATTGCCAGCGATATCAGTAGCATTGCATGTCACTGTTGTCAAACCTAATACATAAGTTCCATTGGACACTACAATGTTGCCAGCTTCATCTTGACATGTGATGTTACTGGAATCCAAGACGTCCACATTGTCAGTAACTGATGGCTGTGGTGACCAGGGTACCGTGGCAGTTGACAGTCCACTGTCTGTACTCATGGAAGGGACACTACTAGGACAAGTGACTGCCGGGGCTTCAGCATCTAAAATATATAATAGGATAAGATTTAAAACAAAATATTACAAATACCAAACATACAAATCATTCCTGATGAGGATTATCTTCTGAAGAGTCAAATGATTAGTTGATTAAAAAGATGACAATTCAAGAGAGAAGTAAATGACAATGTCTTCAAACGAAGTGATTCCCGTAGAAAAAGTATGGCTTTGATGATTAAGCCCAAGTAGTCACCCTGATTCATTATTATGATAGCACTAATAATCCGACAGGTAATTTCCCTAAATCATTAATACATTTGTTTCATGCTATTATTTCAGCAGTTATTATTATTATTTTTTTTTTGTCGTTGAGATAGATCATGCTTTTGGCCATTCACAATGCAGTGCACCACCAAGAGTTTGCCATGGAGGGTCCATTTTTTAAAGTTTATAGTTGACATAAGATGGCCCATTTGAATAATTGTCAGTAGACAACTTGAGCTAATTTGTTATAGAATGGGGCAAAGCGTTCTCCCGTCTTACAAAAAAAGCCCACCACATTAAAAAAGAAAAGAAAAAGAAAGGGCAACATATACTCGAATCACACGCGAAGCTACTGGCCGGAAAAAAAACTAACAATTTCAAATGTCCTGCTCTGCGAATTTGTCGACCATCTCCCACAATGCACTGGGAAAAATGAACTCTCCGTGGAAAACTCTTGGTGGCGCATTGCATTGCGAATCGCCGAAATAACTTTTGTTTTGTTTTTATTAAAGAATTGTTGACTATATGGGCATGTTTTGACCAAAATTTCACATAATTTTGACCATCCTTTCTCGTATCATTTTCGAATGCTGACTTTCCACTGGAAATTCAAGTGCAGTCAATTTGCTATACTGAATCAAATCTCAAAAGCACCCAACCCCTGAAGATTTAAAAAAAAAACAATGCCTTCAAGATCTGATTGCCAAAAAGGCAAAAAAAAATCCCTTTTCAGATGGATATCAATAACTATATAATCATTAGTGAAGTGAAAATATTATTTATTTTAAATACAATTTTGAACACTGTACGTACTGTATGCATGTTACTATAAGTACAAACCTCATGATAATGTGGCGGAAAGTGTTCAGTTGTGACGTCATACCATAGCACTAACGCTTAATCACTTGTGTGCAGTGACCGGGCGGAGCTTACGAGCTCCGTGGCTGCTGCGCGTACATGATTGGCCAATAATTCCCCATAAGTTTAGCGCACCATAGGGTTAGTACACGCACATGGTTTGTAGACATGACGTAGCGTCTGGTACATGTATATAAATGCGTGCCTGGGGAGCGCGCGGGGTTTAGTTCTGTTTTCAGATCAGGTTTTTGTAGCGGTTTGGTTCTAGCGGCTTGTTCAGAAGATAATCGTTGTTAGGTGAGATACTAGTGTGTCTAGGTTCGGGGCTCAGCTGTTTTGGGTGTTGAGTGCCGAGTGTCTGGAGGTAGCGGGCTAGAGCGTAGCTGCGACAGCGGGCAGAGAAGTAGGTAAATTACTTGTGCTCTGCTATGTGAAATTGCTTAGGCGATTTGTGTACAAAGTCTGTGTAGCTGTACTGGGGTTGCGCTGGTATGTGTAGCTGGATTCTTGCTTACACACACGGCGTAGCGAGTACCCTGCTAACGGACTGTATACATTGCTAAGCGGCTGTTGTGTGCTTGTAACGCTGTGTATTGCTGACTCGGTGATTCATTCCTAGCGCTGTGCATAGTTGCTCATTGCTGCCATTGTTGTCTAGTGCTTAATGCTGTGTTCGTTGTTGCATAGGCAAGCAGCGGGCTATCTCCAGTAACTAAGGACCCTGTTAATAAAACAACCCACCGAATCACATCCTAATTGTTGTACTTGATTATTGTTGAATAAATTACGATCATTGTTGTTTGAGATTACCGACAATTCTGCTTCCGGTGTTTATGTTTACAGGTTTATTGTGCAATTAATTAACAGAGATAAATAATCAACACTTATTCATAATCGGGCGGTAGATTTCCACCAAAACGGACCTGCACCCTTAGCCTTGAAGGTCGCTCTGAGTGATCTCTCGTCTAGGGAAGAGCCTTGGTTTGGGAAGATTGTCTTCACCCCACTAGGAGTCAGACTTATCCTAACAGACTTGGGTTGGCCCGGGGGGTTCCCGCCACAAATGGTGTCAGAAGTGGGATGATTGTGAATGATTAAGTTCATTTCTCTGTTGAATAATTGAATTGTACAATTGTTGAATTGTTGTTGTTGATTTCTGCGGTGATTTCGGTGGTTGTTTGGAATTATGAGCAAGGGCTCGAAGTGCTGAGGCCGAGGTGCAAAGACTGCGTTTGGAAGCCCAATTTCTGCAATGGGAAAATGACCTCATTGCAAAGAAGTTGAAGGCTGCCATGGAGTTGCAGTTGGGTGTTTCCCCGAAGGAAGGAAACATGGGCACGCCAGGTGGAAGCCGGCGTGTGCTCCATCGGGTTGATTCTGATGTTAAGCTCAGGTTGCCCGAAGAGACTTCCGGTTTTGTCTCTGGAGCAACGGAAAGAGTTTCAGGCGCAAATATGGTGCCTGAGTTAGCCCCTAAAGTGGGGAGGGAGGTGACTTTCATGGAAAGTTCGCCTCAGAAAGGACAGAGCTCAGGGATATTCCCCCGAGCGCAGTCGACGCCTGTTGCCAGGAAGACGGATGATCCAAATGGTGATCTGATGTCGTTCATCCCTGAAGGTGGCGTGGAACGGGGTTTGGCGAGTACCAACCCGTTCGTTGGTGACATGGGGATGGTAAACCCTAAACAGGTGAAGAGCGAATTGTTAAGTTTTGCGACTCGACCAGTCGAGGCGAAGAACAACAGTTCAGCTCAGGTTGACATCTCGTCGGTAGGTCCGTGGCCACTGAAAAGAGAGGCACGGGTCCATAGTGATGTGGGTCAGATGGGTAGTTTGGAGCGACCAAATCGCAGGCCAAACATAACCCCTGATCGGTACAGCGGAAAGGTGCTCTGGAAGGAGTACTTCCGCCATTTTGAGTCGTGTCGTGAGGTGAATATGTGGAGCGAGGAGCAGGCTGCGAGGTGGTTAGCCGCAAGCTTGCAGGGAGACGCTCTACGGTTATTCGGTGACTCTGGCCACAAGTATACGTATAGTGCGCTTGTAAAGTTGCTGGAGCGCAGGTTTGGGTCAGCTCGACAGAGTGAAAATTATCTCGTCGAACTGAGACATCGGCGCCAAAAGCCGAAGGAGACTTTGCTTGAATTAGGGCAAGCGATTCACGAATTGACAGCGAGAGCATACCCTGAGTTGCAGGAAGATGCTCGTGAGAGGTTGGCTAAGAACCACTTCATAGATGCTGTTGACAGTCATTCAGTTAGGGAGGGCATCAATAGGGCTCGTCCAAAAACTTTGGATGAAGCAGTCCAGGCTGCCCTGGAGACTGAGAATTTCGAGAAGGTGGAACAGCACAAATTGCTGGACCGGAAGCCCGCTAAATTGGCAAGAGCTTTGGGTTCAGTAACTGAACAGAGGCTGGACGCTCTTGAGGAAAATCTCAATAAGCAGGCCAAAACTTTGGACTCTGTGGCTGAATTGGTGAAGTCTTTGTCAAGTCAGATTAAAGGTCAAGGTCAGGGTAAGGGCGTGTTGTCTCCCCAGACTCACAAGCCCGGGAAGCCTAAACCTGGGGCCTTGCGGTGTTTCAGATGTGGTGACAAAGGGCACTTTGCCCGGGAGTGCAAGAAAACTCCAAAGCAGGGAAACGTCAGTCAGCCCCCCGTAGAACCCGCGGGAAGGCTGAGTGGTCAAAAGGGTTCAAGAGACAACACGGTGACAGCGAGGGTGGTGGTGGAGAGAAAAAGTCGAAGCCTGGGGATGGGCAACGAGTCATAACTCTGCCTAATCCCAGTAGTGGAGCTCGTTATGGTTTGTTTGTTGATGGGATGGTCAGGACGACAAAGTGTCGATTTTTGATCGACACGGGGTCCACCGATACTTTGATAAATAGTATGGTGTACTACCGAATTCCTAAGGAAAAGAGACCAGTCTTACAGACAGAAGACGTGCAGGTGAAGCAAGTTGACGGTAGTCAGCTAGCCGTGTTGGGTATAGCTTGGGTAGAGGTACAAGTGGGTCGAACCACGCACCAAGTCAGGGCAGTGTTTGTTGACATGAAATACTGTGGTATCCTGGGCATGGATTTCCTGGTACCCACAGGTGGAAATTTAGATTTCCAGTCGAAAGAGTGGAGGCTCAATGGTGAGCGAATCAAATGTGCGAACGGTGCTGGCGAGCATTTTGTTGGTCGTGTTGTAGTTTCTAAAACTACGGTGATTCCGTCAGGTCATGAGGCCGTGGTTCCGGGTATAATTGCTCGGATGGGTGCCGACTTGATCGGGCCTGCCATGGTAGAACCGATGGAAGGTGGCAGTGACCTAGCCAAGAAGGGCTTGGTGTTGGCAAGATCTCTGGTTGAGACTGAAGCCGATGTTGTTGCGTTGCGGGTCTTCAATCCCGGAAGGGAGAAAAGAGTTGCACGTGAGGGTACAACAGCGGGACTGATCTCCCAGGTGGAAGTTAGTTCAATTCATGGTAATTTGGATAGGGTGACAAATGCTGGTGAAGAGTTACCCCAGCACTTGCAAGATTTGTTTGAGAGGGGTACAGCCAATGTGGAGGCTATCTACCATGAGGATGTCCGGAAATGTCTTGTAGACTTTCAGGACGTGTTGTCCAAGGGTGACCATGACATTGGTCGCACGGACGTGGTGCAGCATCACATAAATACTGGTGATGCCAAGCCGGTGAAAGAACGGATGAGGCGTCATCCGTATTGCCATCAGGAGGAAATCCAGAGGCAAGTCGGTGATTTGGAAAAGAGGGGGGTGATTGAACCTTCCGACAGTCCATGGGCGGCAAATGTTGTTTTGGTTGACAAAAAGGATGGTACGAAACGCTTCTGTATTGATTACAGAAAGTTGAATTCGGTGACCATCAAGGATGCTTATCCTGTGCCGCGCATTGATGAAACATTCGATGCG